TTAATATACGTTGGGTAAGGGCAAAACCTGTTATATAAAAATAATTACCATCGGTTGGGGGGGGGGTTCAGTACTGTTCATTCAAGTTTGTGCAATCCCCAGCCAAGAACTTGATTGCAACCTGATTGCAAACACAACATTTTTTTCAAGCATATTCCTTAAGATGATTTACTTGTAAATGATTTTTTATCAGTATTTTGTTCGATGTAGCAGCTTCAACAGCAACTGAAGCATTTGAATGCGGCCGTTTCACAACAGTGCACAGACAAGAGTTTGCACCGCGGTGGCCACTGTATGCAATGCACCTTTGAATGGGCTGACATGTCCGGAAGTTTGGAAAAGGTCGACATATTTTGCGCAGTAGGATTGGCCAACGTGTTGCAAACTCCTGCTGGCACACTATTGTGAAACACCCACCATGTGGACAAATCCAACCCACCTCCTCTGCTCTAGGTGGCATATCTGTCAGGGCTTCTTGTGCTGCTTCCACTGGGGGAAAAAACAACGGGAAACAAATCACGCAAGTTTGTCAGGGATTTACAGTTTCCATTTTTGTGAGAACAAAGGCATTTTTAATAATGTACCTTTTATCTCAATATTCGACTACCTACTCAACAGACATACATATTCCATTTTTACTTTTTTAAAGTGAACAATGAAATATTTAATTGAACTGAAGTGAATTGCACAGATTAAGGTTATTTAATAAGACTCATTATGAACAAATGTAACAATTTACAGTTCTTAAGCTGGAACTCAATGGCTGCCTTGAGATTAAACGCTTCGATCAGTGCCGTCTCGTGCAGCACTAAGGTGTTGCCCACGCTGCGCACATCAATTCCTTCAGTGGTCATCCCGACACTCAATTCTAAGTCGGAAATAAAATCACACATTGAATTCAAGATTACAATCACCTACAGATTTCCCCATTGAGAATTATTGTTTTTAAAATGGCGAGGGTTTATCAAAATATCTCTGATGGAAAGCCAACTTTTCTGTTGTTTTGAGTCTTTTTGTAAGGCAAAGGACACAGTATGAGATGCTGTAAGAGGACTCTGCACAGTTTCCTTCCTTAAAATGCAGCTCACGCAGAAACGACTGATCTCTAACATTTCTGCTTCTGTTTACAGAAAATGCCAGTGGGGTACATCCATTCAACTGGCTGAAGTGGTCCCTTCTACAATTATCTTTGAAAGATACAGTGCGGAACATGCAAGGGGCAAGTTATTGTGGCTACAAGCTGGGCTGCAGCAATAAAGCATTCAAGGTTTGGGCAAAAAATGGCCACGCCACATTGATTCTGGTAGAATCTGAGGCCAGCACGTCCCCAGCTCACCTGGGTGCTCTCGGATGCCCCTCTCAATGATGTCAGCGATGTGTTTCAAGGCTGGCGCATACTGCTTCATGCTGTAGTAACAGAGAGCTATGTTGTAGGACAGATCTGTAAATGGACGCAAACACACAAGGGGAAGAAAGAGCCTGTGTTTACCACGTTTCTCTCTACAATACTTCGACACATTTAAAATGTTGTGTCATGGCAAAATTTTCATTAACTCTCAAACCTCCAAACAAACAAAACTTTTCAGATCTTTCCTGTTGTGCTCAAATTGATGGGTTTTAAGCCGACAAAAAAGACACATTTTGAGGCAGCACATTAAAAAAATTTTAACCACTGTTTCCTTTAAATTTACAAAAAAAGGTATATTAAACCTGAGCCTACTATACCTAACCTGGTCTATATCCTAGGACCTGCATGGCAGTAAGGAACTTCTGACAGGCCAGTTTGTAGCGACCTTCCTTGAACAACAGACAGCCCAGGTTAACCTCAGTATCGGGGTCCTCCGTGGGACACTGCTCGACAAGACTCTAAAGAAAGAAACCAAATCAGTTCAATGTTGGCACCTTCCATCCTTTCACTGCCTTTTAAACACTGGTCAATACAACAAATCACAACCTAACTGGCAAGCTTTACTCTGGAAGACGGAATCTGGGGGAAGTGTTCTTGGATGACATTGTCTGCCTTGGCATGGAGCAGATTGTCTTCCTACCTTTGCAGCTGAAAGATCCTCTTCACCATACTTGATTGCTGCTTGTAGTTTGGTGATCTGCAAAGTGAACATTTATCTAATCATCAGAAGAGCTGACTTTGTTTTACACACCTTGTGTGGATGTGAGAACAAAGGTTGTCTGAACATTGTAAGGACTATGTCAGACCCACACAAGGCTTTCCCCTCTGAAGAACAGAGGCAATTGGGGATTAGGGCTACGTAAAGAGTAACAATCAAGGAAGCCATCAACAAAAATCTGACAAAAAATGGGGTTAAAAATATTAGAAAAATTACCATTACCTCACAGTTTTGTTAACTACGTGAAAACAAATGTCCACATAACATGGGCAACGAAAATGCTGGTGCCCAGCTTACACCATATGCATACACGTAAAAATACTTGAGAGAACGTTTCAACATCAAAAGCATCAGACCCAAAGGACGACGGATAAAATGTGACAGACCTTTGGCTGGTAGTCTTGGTTCTCAATCTGGAAGGTTGCCTTCATGGCCTCAGGGTACATGCAGGCGTGGTACAGTGCCTGGGCGTAGTACATCTTGTAGCTATCCACTGCCGGGCAGATCTGAACCAGCTGCTCGTAACATTCGGCGGCATTGGCAAAGTCCTGGATGTGAAAGTAGCAGTAGCCGAGCAGGGACAAGGCTGCCCGTGACTGGAGTCAAACCACAAACAAAAAGAAAGGATACCAAACCATAACTCTGATTGGCGTGGTAAAATCTTGGACTGAGCCCCCTTCACCATCCCCCCCACACAATCATATGTCACACACTCACTAGCCTACAAAGAGCAAGTGTAATTCCTCAGTTTTTATCGGCAAAGTCTGAGGTCGAAAGTCAAATTTTAAGGGTGAAACACTCTTTGCATCAACAACTGTCAGTCCCACTTTCTTGGCCTCTGACCTCAACTCAATAATGTTAAGTTCATCACTTAAGAACACAGGCATTCAGCTAAGCATTGAAACTGTCGCATCAAATACACCGATTTCACTTCAAACCTTAAATGCTACTCAGTAGAGATGTACCTTGGGGTGATTCTGGAGTTCTTGTGACAGGATTTGTATAGCGTCAATATACTTGCCCTCTTTGATCTGTGTAAATTGACGAAGACAAAAGAAATTCATTTATAATTGTCATTAACAACAAATAGAATTTACTCAATCAGCCTAAGGCCAATTTCATGGAGCTGCATAAGCACAGAATTTGCTTAAGCATGAAAAACCTTGCTTAATAAACAAAGCTTACCAGCTCAAACTCCATGTGATTGTCATGCTAACCAAAAGACAGGTAAATACCATTCCAAAACAATATACATTACAAGACGTTTTGGCTGGTTACCTGATTTGTCAAGCAAGGTTTTTTCACGCTTAAACAAATTTTTTTGCGTAAGCAGCGCTATGAAATTGGCCCTGCAGGTCATTTAAACAGAGCACGCTCAACAAGTCCATCAATTTGTGGGAGGTCGGAATTTGCAATGAGCACTTGCCTACATGTACTGTGGATCATGTGACTTTGCTGCACAATCAGTTTTCTTACATGTCCAAGAAGGTCTGTAACTGTAACAGTATCATGCCCCAGTGGGTAAGATGTTGCACTTCTCTTAAAGACGAACAGCTGCTTTTTGTGCCGTAACATTACTTGGGATCACATTCATAGCTAACACCAGCATGACTGGGGATGCACTCATTTTACTGCGATAAAATGACTGGAAATGAACTTGTTTAATAATGAAGGGCAGTGTTAACATGGTCAAGACACGCCCACCTCTAAAATTATGGGGCTTGTCATCCGCCCCTCTATGCTTTGAGAGGCTGGATGATGAGCCCAATAGTCACAATCATCAAAACACAGACAGCTGCTTTGGGAAATCATGCTTCATTGGCTGGGTAATATAAAGTACTAATAAAACAAACACTACAAAAAGATCCCATGCTCCTGAATTCATTTGACAACACTCACTGTACAGCGCTATATCAGCGGTCAATGTTGCCATGGTACAACACAACTTTCAGTATTTCGATGATTGTTACCCGCTTTCACAAAGCTCCCTCAAATTTAGCTACAAAGGAGTTAGGGTTGTGCCTGTGTTTGCATTACAATTTGATTGACCAGACAGGTGCTTTCTCAGCATTCCAGCTGCTTGGTATGTAAAGGAGTCTGGTTCAAATGGAAATCAAATTTGTGTGTTGCAAAATTAATGTACGCAGTTTATGGTCTTGTGCTGCAATTACTCTGTGGAGGCAACAGATTTCTTCTTAAATAGTGAAGAAAGAAAAATTCCCAGCCAATAGCAGTAGCAACCTGCACATAGACACAGGGGAGCTCAATTGCATATCTGAAAACAGTTCTATATACCGACAACACTTGATGCCCCTGTGCATAAACCTATGAGACTTGTCTGAAAAAAACCAACTGTCTTCCGAGTAGACATGGGCCAAATGCTTCGGAATTTTCTTAGCTAAATTTCACTTTTTAGGACACGTTATCACTTTCTGATGGTAAAGTGTTGTCCATATATGGAACTCTCAAAGAATACCCGACATCCCTCATGATCCACCTTGTAATTGTACTAGCTCAAGTTGTAGCCAGGGAGCAGCAGTTACGAGGACGTGGGCATTTCCAGCTCATACCCAATTCCTGGGGTGCATTTTTGAGCATGTCGAGTGGCGGGGTATTCTGCAATTACTCTCTGAAGGTTAAGTAGGCCTAGTGAGCATTATGGAGAAATTTGCGCTCATAAAATCTAGCAAATGTCAAGCGAAAGAAAGTCGCCTGTATTTCCTATAGACAATGACAGTAGCAGTCTACTAATTCAAGTGAGAATTTTTGGCCAGCTCATTAGCATTAAAACAATAAAAGTGCCCCCACAGTATCTTTTAAAAAAGGAGATCGTATGGCCCCAAAATGGTAAGACCGTAAATCTTTGCCAGGATCAACTGCCTGAAAATACAGCTGAGAAATGGTCGTAAGTGCCCGAGAAAGTTGAGGGTTGCCACTTGAAAAATGACTGCAAGCAGACTTCGGAAAAATAAGTTTTATACAGGGGGGCCTACTGACTGGTATACGACGGAGGATCGAGGAGTATTCGTCGGGCCCTGTTTACATGGTTTACGGTACGGGTCTCTAGCAGGGCTAGCTAGAACTTTAGAAGCACTGCAGCGGTCATCGAGTTACTAACCATGGTGTAAATCGTTGCAGTATACTCGCCATCTTTGATATCGTATGCAGCCATGTCAATAAGATATGTTTCTTGAACAAGAAGAACCTTATTAATGATCTAACAATCTAAAGTGACTTGCAAATACGGATTATGATTGAGCGTCCATATCGTAGCAACTCTCAACTTCGGCGATAGCGCTGTACAAGAATGTTGCTCAATAGTCTGGTGGCCATAAATCAATTCATTTAGAATTGAAATGTACATAAGGGGGTCTGGTACTGTAATTAAAAAATGCAAATTATTGCCAAAGAACGCATGCGTACATAGGGAATGATAAACATTTTATAGGGTGGGCTTCTGACAATAAATATAGAAAAGCATTTAAAAAAAAAAAATAAACATTTTGTATTTAACGATAAATACATAAAGCATTTTAAATCGCGGCAATACTCACAGATCGTTCAAACTTAACATTTTCTCTCTCTTTACAATCAATATTTTATGAACCCCCCTATTCATTTTGGACGGATCGCAAAGAGAGGGCGCTGTAACTTGAGCTTTATATATTTAAAAATCACCCTCTCTGACGGCTGGGCGTTGTGGCGCGCGCCTGTAATCCAGCTGCTTTGGAAGCCGGGGGTGGTGGATCGCTTGAGTTCGGGAGTCCTGTTTGTCGTTATCCTATGGCGATCGGGCGTCCGCACTAAGCTCGGCATCGATATGGCCATTCCGGCGGAGGCTGTGTATGACCAGGTTGTCTAAGGAGGGACGAACCGGCCCAGGGCGGAAACGCAGCAGGCAAAAGTCCCCGTGTGGAGCAGTAGTGGGATTGCGCTCGTGAATAGGTAGCGGCTTGCAGCCCGAACGATACAGCGGGACCTATCCCTTTTGTCTTCTTTTCCCTTACCTATTTTATAACTTAGTAACATTTTCATCAACTACCACATCGTTTGAAGTATAGTAGCGAAAAAAATTCTTTTTCTTCCATACAATTTCTATTTAACTAATTTCTAATTTATATATATTAGTTTATTGCGTTATGGGCTTTTGTGAACACCGGCAGTAGACAATTCGATTTATTTAATGTGTCAGGACATCCTTATCATTAACGGAAAGTGCTGCTTTTCTGGTCAAAAGTTAATGGACAGAGTTTAAAAAGGCAACAAGTTACTAAGTTTTAAATGTAAATCTTGAAAATGATCTATGTATGTTTTAAATTAATTCAGCACACTCAGACATTGATTACAATATTTAGTGTTTTTTCAGGAAATGAAAGCTGGGATTTTTGTGGGAGAACCTGATTCGTAAAGGACTGACATATCAGACGAACTGGGTGGATGGCCATCCAAACCGACCCTTAATCTGTCTATTAAAGTATTCTTACAACAACTGAACACTTGCAGGTTTTGCAGATTGGAATTTCCGGGTGTGAGAAATATCAGCAGCGGGTAGTCTGTGCCTCAGACAGTGATATTACACTCCATGCAGAAAGCACAGGAAGCCAGACTATGAGCCAAGTTAATCGCTAATATTTGTGGATGCAAACCACTAAATTATGTCAGTGTGCGGGCGGACACATTTACCGCATGGGACTTCTACGGAAGCCGTTTCTTGTGGGGCCACAGGATTTTTAAGGTTGACTCCCATTTGCAAAGGGCAGGAGCCGCATTTCGTTTGCGTTCACTAAAGGGTGGATATCGCTATGCAAAGCTACACTTTTAAGAGGAGAACATTTAGAGCTCACTTTCTGAAAGTAACGGACCTCTCTGAAAATTATATACAATGAACATGTACATATATGTCAATGGGTGTTTTACGTGGACGGTTCAAAATTTGCTCGTCAAACCTGGGCCCCATCGATACTGACATCCATTTCAGGATTAATTTGGAAGATTTTTCCCCTGTCACCAGGAGGCTCCTTTTTAAATCTCTAAATTAATCTGTGTTAATTGTTTTCTATGGGCCCCTAATTCAATTTGAAGGATAGAATGGAGCCTCGTGCCTATTCCCGTGACACTTAATTTTTAGTAGAGTTGTATAAGAAAGAAACAATGTTGACAACAGGTACTAACTTTTGAGAAAGGAACTTTTATTCTAAACTATTTTCAGCTTGTACAAGAGAGAGTGGGAGTACTGCGCGTATATAGAGATGTTGCTTGGAGAGTGGTTGGGATGAGACTGGCTAAAAATGACCAAGTGGTGAAAATAAGGTTGGGAACACAGGCCGGAAGAACAAGGGTAAAAATGTACATGGAGTCTACTGTAGATGCAAGTGTTCTTATTTTTACAAGGGGGAAAAACGCTACAAATTAACCTCTGGGCATGGTGATTGCCTTTACCGTCTTATTGGCATTAACACAATAGGCTGTGATGCAGTGGCGTAGTGGGCACGTCCCCCACAAATTCTTGGTTCCTCCACGTGCTCCCCACTAAAAAAGAAAGGGAATGGATACTGGCTAACAAAAGCTTGCCCCCCCCAAAAAAAAAAACCACCGAAAGCTGGTGCCCCCATAAGATACTTGTGCCCCCCTTACGCCCCCTAGTAAAATCCTAGCTACGCCACTGCTACGATGACCAGACTTAGACTATTTTTCAAAACGCTTTAAAATCTTTCAGTATTTTCAAACAAGGTAAGTCAAACCTTAGAAGCTCAGTGTGGTAACAGAATGAATTCTTCGAGTTCAATCTGATATCACCCACTCTCAAGGGGGTCGCAGAGACAAGGGGACGCCCCCCACCCCGCCACTAAAAAGGAATAGGGGGAGGAGAACATCAGGAATGAAAAAAGGGGTGAAAATCATAATTTTGTTTTGAAATGCTTTCTGAAAATGCAACATGCAAGATCCGTTGTTGATAGGCGATTTGCCTTCAAAAAATTCTTGTTCCCCTTAAAAAAAACACCAAAACCTACCCATTCCCAGGCCCATCCGGCTCCTAAAACTGAAAATACGATCATTATGTCCCGTCTGCTTGATATCGGTGCAAAATTCACCCCACTGGCCTCTTAGACTTGTTAGCTTTGTTCCTGCTGTGGGGACTCCACAATGTACATTAATTTACTTTCCTTTGGGATGTTTTATTGCCAGTCTCAAAGGAGAATCACTGTAGAAATGTTCGGGCCCACGAGCTTCGGCTTTATATTTTCGTCGACGGTTTCCCAGTATCCAAACGCGCGTAAAATTCCGCTTACCCACCCATTTTTTAGTTAGGTAGGTGCAGCATTAATATGCATGATCGGGCCGCCATGCGCAGTGCATGCACACAGATCGCCGTTGGTGCACATCAACATACTGTACTGTACATGTACGTGCGTGCTATTTGGAAGGCTCATTACGCAGAATTTAGGCTAAATCAAGCGTGTTGAATGAAAAGACCGTTGAAAATGTTGGCAACCCCTTCTGCTCCCCCACTGTCTCCCGTTGGTTCCGCCAGAGACCCTTTATCAGGACGCTTGCAACAGTTGGGAGAGGAGCTCCAGTGCCCGCTGTGCCTTGAGTATTACGAGGACCCTGTGGCTTTGCCATGCCTTCACAACTTCTGCCGGAAGTGTATCGGGGGAGCTGTGAAACCCTCGGGCGCGAACAAACAGGAGGTGCAGTGCCCGCTGTGCCGCAAAAAAGCCTACCACGACGGATCCGCCAATTCCTGTGTGGCGAATCTCCCCCGTAATTTCCAAATTGCTGGGATTGTTGAGAAATTCCGAGCTGCGGAGAAGGAGAAGCAACGAGCCGAGGAGGAACAGTTTCAGCCGCAAGTGCTCGAGCAAATTGAAGAGATTCGAGAGCAGCAAGAACACTGTTCACTGCAGGAGCAGCAGCAGCATAGGCAAAAGCAGCAACAGGGGCAACAGCAACTGCAGGAAGATCAGCAAGCTCCAAGCTGTACCTCCAGCATAGACCTGTATTCTCCAAGCAACTCAGTTGAAACAACATCTGCAAATGAACGTGTTGCTCCTAGTTCTACCCACCCACCAAAAATACCGCAATGCAAGCTTTGTTCGTACTCAAGCGCTTTCCAGTGCACTGAGTGTGGTGAAGACTTCTGCTTGCATTGCCAGCAAATCCACCACCATGAAGGATCCATCGCTTTCCAAGAAGAATTTAACTCTGATGAGTTGGAAAAGACTGCATCTGGTCCGACGTCGACGCCATGTGATGAGGGAGATGGCGAAGAACAACAGCAACATTTACAGCAGTTGCAGGAAAAGCAGCAGCATCTCCAACTTGAGCTAGAACAACAGCGGGCCCTGTCAGATTTTACACCGGCTCCATTCTGGCAACAGCAGCAGGCCGACCGATGGGAAGAGCTGCAGGAAAAGCAGGGAACGAGACGACAAGTCTCCGAGGAGTACCCACCGCGACAACACCAGAGCGATGGCAACAGCATGCCCCACGAGCCGCTAAGCTGGCCTCTGGGTCACCACAGCCAGGAGGTGTATCAACAACAGCATCACCGAGATCTCCTGCAGCATCCTCCCGCATCCACAGTAAGATATCCTCATCCAGAGCACCAGCAACAGTTTTCACCATATTCTCTGCCCTCTCAGCTGAACTGCTCTCACTGCAAATATCCAGCGGCAATACGTTGTGAGCAGTGCAGTTCCTACTTCTGTTGGCAATGTAAGGGTGACCTCCATGACCCCTACATGTGCGAGAACCACAACACGGTCGACCTATCACTGGCAGTAAGTCCCTCCAGTCCGTGCATTGTGGGTCCTGAGCAAGATGTAAAAAACTATGACTTTCCTTCAGCTACACGTATTCCACTGGTAAGCATTATCAACATGCTCCATGATGAGGAGCCAACTACATGTATGAGAAATGCCAAATTATGCTTGGATAGAGACACGCACCGTTTTCTTCTCGTGGTTACATTATAGATCTCTCTTATACATGTAGGAATGGATGCCATCGTTGTAGGGAAATTAGAACTGCCAAGTGTACATGTATTATACGCTGTGTACAAAATGTTATAGATACAATCATGCAGGTTGATCCACATGTCTTCAAAATACAGACGCAGCTGATGCACGTCACGAAAAAAATTTACGTCCAAAATGCCAATGCACGTGGCACTTCGTAGGAAGTGATGCCATTTGAGAGAGACCTGTATGCTGGGATACTTGTGAAATCCTATTATTTGATCTGTCTGTTTTATGTGTTTACTTTCACTGAAAATTGACAACTTGAAAAACATTTACATGGTATGTGTCAAATATGGTCTTTTTTTTTTCATTCCGCAGGTTTCGATTGCACCTGCAGTGCCAAATAATGTCGGGACAACATCACTGGGAGTAGAAAGGAAACTGGATTATGTAAGTCACTCCATATCTTACAGTCAAGTTTATTTGAAAAATAATTTAATAACTTGTATTCAATTCAAATCAATGTGAAATTTATTTAGATCATTATGTCCTTGAAGAACTTACTTAACACTGTTTCTCAGTTTGTTCACAATACAGAGTCAATATTTCAATCAATGTGACTCATTATTTACTGACTTCTGGCTATCATTTGGATCTTGTTATGCCCCAACTATAGCATCAGTCCCAACTATAGTTGGGACCGTCCCAACTAGAGTACTATAGTTGGGCCAGGCCAACTACCGCACAGAGCTCCAGTGTGTGCGCCCAGCATGTGTCAAAGTCATATTGTTTAACATTACAATGTCATGTCATAGACGAAGTACCATGTTTTAGATGAATTGTGTCAAGTGTGAGATGCATAAACTTGGATAAGGTTGAGACATTTTCTACAGAAATTGGTCAACAATAGTTAGGCCAATGCAAGTGCAGCACTACAGTTGGGACAGACGCTATAGATGGGGCGTAACAATATCAAAATTTGTTTATTTTCAACTCAGTGAATTTACATTGGTTTTTCAAATTGTTGGGGACATATTTGGATTGATTTCATTGGCAAACTTGAATCAAACAGATCTAACAATGTAAATCTGTGTAAACGTAGTTTGAAAAATGAACACACATTATTCAAGCATACATATGTGATTGGTTGATATCACATACAATGTCTGTAGAATGTTCACTGGTTCATGGTAGTTTTTTTGGTCAACAGACCCTTCCATTTATATGTGACATCGTACACATGGGACCTGGAAAGAGAATTACTGTGTTTGGCAAGCCCTATAAGGAGAAATGTTCACGGTATGTTTCCCTTGCAAACTGAGCATTCATAACGATTAGTGTAGATGAACTTAAATCATTTACATTGACAAATACCGTTAGGATCGTGCTTAAAAGGTACCAGTCGTGGAATATTTGAAATGCCGACCTCCAAAACCTGGCATATAAACATTTTCACTCAAGCCTTTGGTCGGAATTCTATTCCTGCTAAATGATGAGCCATGTGACCTGGCAATTAGGGTTTGTAATCCCCACATATAGGGTTGGGGATTCGAATCCAGCTGCAGGTTACATGTTGTGACCTTGGGCAAATTACCTTACTCCCACTTGCCTCTCTCCACCCAGGGGTGTGAATGGGTAACCGTGAGGATATGGAGATTGCTGTTGTGTTTGGTTACCAATTAATGCCAGAGATGGTAGCATGGATATATACACCTCCAGGAGCTAAAGTAATACTTAAGATGTACTGACTTTAGCATCAGTAATTGTGGATTTTTGCACTTTTGGCCCCTTTATAAATACCTCAGACAATTCGCCTATTCAACAATGTGCAACTTGACTGCGTATTAACATTTGATATTGCCCACTGAGAAGTGATAATGCCCGCTTTTTTAATCACACCCTGGCACCTGGATGTGAGACAGTTTAATCGATTCTGATTGGTCAAGAGTCTGTGTGCATGGGGCTCACCACGCCTTTGCCAAGTTCATATATAAAGAAATTCTATTGGACAACTTGCAAAAGGAATATACCATAAAATGGACGGGGTTGTTCAGGAAAACGAAAGTAAAATTCTGGAACAACATTGTTGGAAATCCTTCATCGGTGGACTTTTTTGACTCTGACTCAAAAAGTTATTTATGAATGGGAATGAATATATGTAAATTAAACTAATGTTTAGGACCGGCTCAGGAGACTGAATGCTAATAATGCCCAAGCCGCAGGCAAGGGCATTAGTTTCACCCACATTTAAGACCGGCCAAGCACATATTTATTCCTTATTATTACTGGTAGTGTCTACATATTTCAAATGTCATTTTTGCCCAAAGGGGTTGCTTTTGTCACGCTATCCCCCATTTATTTGCCACATCTTCTGTATAAACAACAGATTTCACATCAACTTGATGTGCAACAAAAATCCGAGTTCTGGAGACATAGCCCTTCACTTCAACCCCCGCTTCAGTTGGCCCAAACTTGTGGTTCGCAACAGCAGAGTCCACGGCAAGTATGGACCGGAAGAGCGGGGTGGACCGTCGTTCCCCTTCAAAGCTGGGCAGTTCTTCAAGATTGAAATCACCTGCCTCATTGACAAATTCAAGGTGAGTTTTTTGGTCAGGGAAAGACATGCTCACATAAAGCCAGATGCGTGATGCTCATTGTTTTTGTCCGATATTCAGCTTAGCTGAATCATTGTAATGTGATTGTTTCTTTTGAAAATTAATGAGAGGGGTCCGCGGGCAAAAAGACTCAGAGTAATTCTGGTTCACAGCAGTTTTTTATAATAATGCTAGGGGAAACCAAGTACTTTGAATGTACTTTTTTGTGTATTTCATATAATTGGAACTCACACTCACAGAAAGAGACAATGAAAAGAACATTCAGGGCATTTTCTAAAAAGGGTTGTTTTGTAACTTAAAGGAAAAGAGTGGATCTTTCGCAGACATCAAAATCTTTAATATCATACTTGTGCTTTGTTGTAACTGCGCTTAACTCCCTGCGAAGTTTGCCTTGTTGCATGCTGTTACTGTGAAGAAAACAATAGAAACAAGGTAATTGTCAAAGATCCATCAAGTGACACAGGTGTAGGAATTTCTGTGAATACTGCCCCCTGTATTATTATTTTTCATTTGGTGAAATCTTAAATGGGTAGTCAGGATTTTAATCTGTTGTAGGGCCAAGGATCATGTGACCTCAACGCCTTGTAGGAATCAATGGGCTGAAATGAGAATCAAATTCAAATGTTGTTTTGTCACCAGAGGGCACACCTCAAAACACGAGACAACTTTCGAATTGAGCTACAAGACTCAAAAATGGGGATTTCTCCTTACACCCTTGACACGACTTAATCTTCCGCAGATTGCAATTAGTAATTAAGTATCCATCTTAATGTTTTGAGCAATTTTCAAATTCAAAGTGGAAATTCAAGTTCAAGAAATTCAGTTTTGGCTGGTACTTCTAAAAAACCTGCATTAGTTGCAACCACTACAAAGAAATGGGCACAGAATGTACACAGTAGCATAACTCAATTAAATTGATTCAGTATAATTGCTCTGAAAATGACCAACCTTGCATAACATACAAATTTGTTGCATCAATCAATGTCCACTTTGCCGTTAATTACTCAGAAAGTTGTTTGTGCAACCTAAAGTCTGTGAAGGACATTTAAACATTTTTGCATTTCCCAGGTTGAGGTGGATGACAAGCTTTTTATCACGTACGCCCATCGGATCAAGGATTTACGATCAATTACAGTCTTTAATGTGAATGGTGATGTAGAAATCACCTCCGTGGATGGTTGCATGTGAAGAAGAGGTATGTTTGCATACTAGAATGATTGTTCTTGTTAATTTGAAAGCAATCCTTTCAATGACATGCATGTTTGTTGTGTTGTTTTGTTCCTACACTTAAAGTGATTTTAGTTTTGTTTGCTCTTTTGTACTTCAGGCATTTTGCTTTCTCTTACATTAATTGCTACTTTTGTACAGTTCTGCACTTGAAAAAATGAATGTTGTTTAAAACAGGTTGTTTGTTCCCCTTTGTTTTTTTAACTCTAATGCATTATTACTTAAGTCCCAAGTCAACTCGGTCCTGGATCAACTTGCTCTCAAGTCAACTCGGTCCCAGGTCATCTCGTTCTCTATAAAAAAAAAGTACATTATTATGGAGTAGTTCAATTAATGTTGCTGAGTGCTTGGTGCCGGGTACACGTATGCATAAATAATGCCATGTTAATAACAATTATTTATCAAATAAAATTAAAATAATTAATTCTGAAAAAAGTTTAGAAACGCCCATTAACCCTAACCTTCCCCAACCACACAGAATTAAACAGTAGTAAAGCGTTTAATTCTGTGGGGACAGGTCTGGTAGGCCCATAACAGCTGGCTTTTGCATTGGGTTGGCATACCTCAGAAAAACAAAGTCCAACAGCCTCTGTGCACAATGGGGAAAGGTTAGGGCCAGCAACCCTTGGGGGTTTGGGGTTAACATCGAATGAAAATAAGTGACGATGTGCGAAGGAATATACACTTTGCAAACTTTGTTGGGGATCACAAGTAGGCCTCAAACAATTTGATTTGGGTAACTTCTGTTTGTAGTTTTGATTCGATATATCCCAGGGTGAATTTTTTTTTTATCTCACAGTGTTTAATGGAAAGGTGTCCACGTAGCAGGACATTTGAAACTCTGAAAGTTATGGAATATGAAGGTTTATGGTAATTCCATTTTATTCATTCCTAGTTATGTCAACCAACACCATGCATGGGATTAAACTTTGTGGGTACAAAGTGTGCCCATGTCATTGTAGATCTTAATCTTATTCCCTGTGTTTGAAAGCTTGAATGTAAAGACTTAAATGAAATCATGCAACCCCACTTCAGTTACATTGAACATTTGCATTAAGGACCGAGTTGACTTGAGACCGGGTTGACTTGGGACTGAGTTGACCTGGGACTGTTTCGACCTGGGACCGAGTTGAGTCGGTTTCAGACCGAATTGACCTGCACCCATTTGGCCACACATACTTGTATGTACGATGTACTACACATGTATGTAATGTTTCAAATGTACGATGTATGTGAGGAGAATTTCATAGTTTGGGATGTTTTTCCCACTTGTAGTTTTGTACATTATGTGAAGAGTTTGTGTGAAGCTCGTAGTTCATCAAATTTTAGCTCTCGTGTTTGCACACTGAAAAAAGCTTAACCTGGGTGTATCGAAATTGAAAACTGCTGATGTATAATAGTTTTTAGATATGAAAAGTGTTAACAACTAATGTGTTTGACAAATTAAGTCTGTCATCAAGTGACGATTGAATTTTAGATCAAGATAATGCATTGATTAATAGAATTGTGAAATTACCATTTGTGGTGACTGCATTCCTTTTGTGTCTGCTTTCGTTAATATATTTTTGTAGTAAAGGGTGCCATAGCTTATGCCATTATCATTATGCCAATATTTGATGATATATTGGTGCCTTTGAATGACGTATATTGTGAGATACTGTGCGCCTTATAAATGCTTTGATATTTTTATCATGTATTTTTACTGAAAGGTTGAATTGCCAGCTCAGTATTTTATGTAGTGGGATTTCACCATGCTCGGTTTGATCTGTATAACTTGGTGTTGAAATACGCGTAGGTCGCTTGTGCATATATTCCAATGCGTAAACCCCTGTTTATTAAGTAAATGCTTCCTTGCTGTGTTTTGGGGAAATCATGAAAAAGCCCAGTGATTATGATATGGTTACAGATTGAGTTTTATTAGGCCTATATTTTCAAGTCTAACTTGGTTGTGACAGGCCTAGGTGTGGCTCACGTTAAAAAGCCATTGTAATGGTGTTCTCTACTCTGTATGCCTGCATTTGAGTAAATGTGATTTACCTTTTTTATATATGCCTTGAGAAATTTGCCTTCATATTTTAATAATGCAGCGTAGTTTTAAGTACAGTTTATTCACTTCTAGATTCTTTCTGTCATGTTGCCAGTACAAATCACCCAGTCAGGGCCTTAATACATGAAGTCATTCTCTAATTGTTATGAGATAATGACCAACTACATTATTACACATAGGCTGACTTCTGTACTTTTTCTTTTTTTTTCAAAAGCTATTCATTTACAAATAGTTGAAGAAATCTTTGAAGTTGACGAATTGAGAAATGATGTACGTTTGCGCTTACTTGTTTATACTAATTAAGATGTAAGCTGGGAGCGATCGGTCGTTCTGCGCATTCACTCGATCTCTGCGCTATCTTGCTGTACCATCCAACGGTAATCTTCCCTTCTCTTCCTGATTCATGCTTGTGGAAGTTTCAAAAAGGGAAGCTAAAAGCCGTTTCATACTGACAAATGTGAAAGTGCAGCGAATTATGCGTCACGAAAGATTTGCAGCAAACCTTCGCTGGAGTTGAAACGTGCTCGACTTTTGCGAATTCACAGCGCGAATATTTTGAACCTACTTCACAAATTTGCTTTCGTGTTCGTTTTGGCGGTAAGTGTGAACTGGCCTTTAATACAAGTCGGACTCGTGCAGGATCGACTAGTGCAACGCGACCTCGACCAATTGTGCTGATCGACCGATCGCGCCCAGTATCGATACATGTACATCGTGTACTTAAATTGCCCTGTTGTTGCGCCACTTCAATCTTAACTATGGGAATAATAAAATCAACAACTTTTAAAATGTAGAGATATCGACAAATCTTCTGATGTCATTGTGTTTATTGCTTCTGTCACCCGGCCCCTAAATCACATTGGGACAGTTGTGGGCATCAGGTAACGCTTTATTTTTTGTGTGTGATTTTCCCCCCCCCCAGCTTTCTCTTTTCCCGTTCCTTTTGTGCTGCCCAGAGAGCGTCCAGAGTGTTGCTTTTACACCGAATCGCTGTGTTAAAACAAATTGCAGAGGGGAGGGGTCTTACTTTTCGGTCACAGAGAGATTCTGCTGAGATCGAAATGTTAGACCCTCTACCTGTTTGGACTGGCGTATTTTACGGCACTATCTGTATCTAAAACATAGAGTCTTGGGGTCGTTTGTCGCCTTTATTTGATCAAGATGTGAGAAAATTGCGCTTCGAACAAATAAAAACAGTTGTTTCTTCATCTTTTCGCAGCACATTTACTGGGATGGGCGCCTGCCCGTTTGAATTTTGTTTTTCAGATTTTTAATCTCAAAAGTAAACCCACCTTCGGTCCCAGGACTATGTAAAGTCGACCTGCTATTTGATATCGTTTGATCATAGCTACCATCACACTGAAATGTAAGTACCTCCTTGTCAACAGGAAATTCTGAGTCAGTTTATACATACGCCCGACACGCAATTGCACCATCATGCCAAGTTTACGGGGTCAGAGGTAACACGTAGCGCGCAGGGTGACATGGTATTGAACAATTCCATGCGTAGGCCTACCGGTAGGCCAATGTTTCAATTTCCTGTAGTGTCTCTCAGCATTTCTCACAAAGGCTGCCGTCAACCTTCCAAAATGGCCGCAGCACAACCAAATGCTGTGAACGAAGACTTCTGTGCATGCCTGAAGAAGTTGAAAGAAGATCTTCAATGCCCGCTGTGCCTAGGTTACTTCGAGGACCCAGTCGTTCTCACGTGCCAACACAGCTTCTGCCGTGAGTGTGCAGGAGGAGTCCTCGGTCCTCGGCGTGGCTCAGACGAGGCGGAGGTGGTGTGTCCACTGTGCCGTCAGAAAACACAGCTCGGTCCTGCTGGCGTGGAGTGTCTACCGAGGAATTTTCACTTGGCTGCGATCATCGAGACGTTTCAGGGCGCGGAAAGGGAAAGGGAGAGGTTGGAGGCACAACAGTGCCAGCAGCAGCGGCACATGCACAACCAGCAAGATCAACAACGACAACAAGACGTCCAGCAAGAGCAACTGCAAGAAATACAGGAAGGCCAACAAAGTCAAACTGGGCACCAACGACGGCAAACGTCACAGCAGTATCACCAGGAGGCTTACAACCAACAGCAGCAGCAGCGGTGGCAAACAGAAGAGCGCCGGGAACAAGTGCATTATCTACAGCCACAACAGCGTCAGCAGTCTTGCGCCCAACAGCGATCATTGCCTCAGTGGCAACAACAGCTACAGCAGCATCTGCAGAAACAGAAACACGATCTTGCTATGCAGCTGCGACAGAAGAACCAACAGCTCCAACGGATGCACCGGGAGCGTCAAGAACAGCTGCAAGAGATGTGGCAGCAACAAACGGAACAGCAACACATGCATCAACAGCAGCTGCGACAGATGCACCAACAACAGCAGCAACGGCAGCGAGAACTTCGGCAAGTTTTACGGGAACAGCACCAGCAACGTCAGCAACAATTCCGTCAAATGCGCCAACGGTTGCGCGAGCAGGGAGTACGTCTTCGTCAACAGCTGCAGTGAAGTAAAGTGCATGCTCCGGCGTCCAGCAGTTTTTCACCAAGCAGAATAGACAGCATTTCTTAAACGCATCTGGTCATGACTAAGCCAGGCTGAATGTGCACGACATGCTCAGTGAATCAAGCCTTTTTGAACGTACATGAGAGAGAAAGAGAGTAGGTTGGCAATTGCCCACTCAATTCGGCCCAAGCGACTCAATAATGGTCAAATGCGTGCATGGGCAAGAGTGTCCAATTTTTAGGCCGACTCTGCCCCCATGAGGCCCCCGTGATGTTTTATGTTTGCATGCAATCATCCTGATTTTTGACACTTCAGCAAAGCTTGACAATCCAATTAAATATGTCATTAAGAGTGCATGCAGTAAAGAACTAGTAGTTGAACCTAACATGATGGCCGTGGAGACCAGGTCATCACTCCCACCAGACTGGTCCTGGTAGCGCTCACTGTGAAATACGTGTACAGTACATGAAGACTGTTGTACTGTATTTTACAACACTAATTCACTATATAAACCAACGTGTTTATTACATTATTTGCTGTTCTTTTGTGAAATGCAACACAATACTTTAACAGTAATGTTTTTTAGTGTAAGCTGTGACCTAAATTTTGCATGTTGACACGAATAGGCCTTTCTTAATATTTATGCAAATTTTATGCACCGGAACTGAAAACGAGGCTGTAGGGGATAGACTCCGCGCTGTGGGCGAATACGGCGAAACATTGTTCAGTGCCGTTTTGTAGTAATCACGAACCAAGATCATCGCCAGAAAATAGCTTTCATCGTTTTCCAAAGAACAAGATCCTGCGGTTAAGATCAAACGAGACGAGGGGGCCCTATTCAAGGTAGATTTTGACTTTGATACGCCTTCTTTGTGGGCACTTGAGAGGTTCGTATAAAAAATGTAATCACTGGCCCTACACCGTAGACGTTATTACACTTTGGTGCAGTTCGATTGATCTAGTCTTTTTCTTCCTCCATGATTGATCGCGCCCAGCATAATGAAATAGCGTCCTTAATTTTCGAATTAGCATCTATAGAATTGTGGCCTTCGAAAGGAAATAGCCTTTATACCAAGCTGTTGCTGTCCACTTCTTTTGGAGCCATTTTGACGTAATCCTCCACAAACCCAAAGGTTTTTCTTGGAAACCACAGAAAGATCCCTTCCGTTTACAGCCATCGTGACAAGTGATTCCCCTATTGTCTCGTTTTCAATTGCCGTGAATAACATTTGCGTAAATATTAAGAAAGGCCTATGGGCCGTTGTTACTATTGTCGAGTAATTTTGCCATTTTTCGTTCTTCACGCAAGCATTTGACGTTATTTTGACAAAAAAATCAATGTTTGTGGTTTTTTGTATGTAAAGCCCGACACGGAACACCTTCCGTCGCCTAAAAGATTAATTTACACAAAATATTTTTGTATGAACAAACCATGATTACATCAGAGGGGCCAACCAATGTGTATACATATACCTTGGAAATGAACGTTAAGAACAAGACATCTGGATATACGAGGCGAGGGACCGGTAGTCTTATCACCTAAAATAACCTAAAATTATAAACAAAGTGCATTACAAATGCTTTAAATCACATGCTCATGTTAAACAATTGCCTAATCACGACAGGGTGTTTATTATAGACAAGTTAGACTGACATGCAGATGGGTATTCCCACTTGTAACAGCCATAATGATCACTTGAGGTTTATGGAGATTAGACTGGGTCTAGGGTTGCAGGCCAGTAAATATGCCCACAATTGCCTGCGCGGACCGAATCACGGTTTGTACCGGTCAAACTCTGTGCTATTAGAACATTTTGTCGCACGTGGACCGTGGTTTGTAAAGAATGAGGATGGAATCTACCAACAGGACTGTCTATTTGTATTTCTGAAAGTTTCGGACCAAAAGGGCCTTCTAGGTCGCTCTATTTTGCGATGGAGTTTAGGCATCAATTTTAAAAATGGCGATGAGTTTCATTAAAGTATTTAGGGGTGATCGTCTCTTGAGAGAAATATCTTCATCGGTTAAGTCACTAAAAATTGAAAGGAGAATGAAAAGTTAGGAAGTGAGCTTTAATTTGATATGTGTCTTGAACATCTGATAATTTTGTGAGTTTTTTTCTTGATTTTTTGAAGTGGGGATATTAATCATTTTTGTGTGTGGCAGCTTATTTACTGGTCTGAACCCTGTACTAACACAAGCCTACAACCTGATAGCCAGCTTCCCATTGCGTCTTTCAGACGTCCTCCAAAAGTAGGTCCGGTAACGGGTAATGATTCCAGTTTTTCTGTTGATGAGGAAACAGAACAATTTCCACATTACGATGCAACTCTTTCACGTGACAAAACTTTAGAAGACTTTCTAGATGCATGGACGCATGATGAATATTGTGTATCCGGAAGTAGAGTTTTTGATCATTTCAAAGCTGACCTTTGCAAAAGTCAGTGTCAGGCGAAACTTTGAGTATTGTTATTTGAAACGAAGCAAGCAATGTGTTTTCAGAATGCTCTCAGAGGCGATACCATATTCGGCTGTCACGCATACGAAAGGTTACAAGGAAACATTATCTCTAAAAATAGAAAAAGCAATTGCGAATGCACAGAACTAAACGAGCTACAGGGGTTTGGAAACTGAACAAAATTGAATTTTTTTAATGTTCAAAACATTACATCTTTTGCTAATTCCCCAAAATGTTCAGAATTCTGCTAGAAATCTACTAAAAATACTCATTCTGCTCAATTTTCTATTTTTGTTCAAAAACACTCTCCTTCTTTGCAAAAATATGTCAAATTGAGCCAAAAATCTACTAAAATTGTCGCCCTGCACAATGCTCAGGATACACGCTTTAAAATTGAATGTAATGTTCCATGGTGTAAAGTTTGACTTCAAATCGCATGTCAGTATGAATGCATGGGGCGTTATGTGGTCAAGAAATCTGTCATTTTTAGTGGCGTGAATTTGTGCCGGGGATGCGGGATGGGGACTAGTGGGGGATGACTTCCCCGGCCACAGAAATTCCAAAAGCTGGGGGGGGGGACCATATGACACTATATAGTGGTCGATGCTCACGATGTTGATAGCCATCCGTAATATTACATTTATGCAGAATCTCACATCAGAATGGCACACTTATGGCTTTTAAAAAATTGCTATTTTAGACGTTGGGAAGTCCGAAAAAATTTTCACGATTCGCTTAATTTTTTGCTCACCACAAAAAGTGTGTGTGTGTGGGGGGTGGGGTGGGGGGGATGATCCAACAGCCCTCCACCACCTCAAAAAGTGGGGGTCATCCCCCGGGATTTACACCCATTACCATTCTTCACGCAAGCATTTGACATTGATTATCTTGACAAATGTTTGTGCTTTGTGGATGTAGTTTTGCATATTAAAGCCATTGCCTGAAAAGATCAAATTTATGTAAAAAGTGAAAATCGGACTTTCCTTATACAATCTGTGATTACATCAGAGGCTCCAACCAATGTATAAATCTGTATTATACCCGTGTGAGGTTAATAATGAGAACGTAAATGAACGGAGGCCGTGATCAAGACTTCTGGATGGTGAGGGAACCGCAGCTTTTTACATATATGTAATCATATTTCAACATAGTTCACAGAATGAATAATCGTTGTAAATGTAATCTGTAATCAACAAAAATGATCGTTCACCATGGCTTTCCACACGACATGAATGTTAATTAACCGAGATTACTGTCACTTTTATAGTTAATTACTAAGGGAATAAATATGAGCTTGGCTGGTCTTAAAACGTGCGTTTAAGACCTACTCAGAAAATAGACGCGACTTTAATGCCCGAACCGCAGGCAAGGGTATCAGTCGCGTCCCCTGATCGACTGAATTTATTCCCTTAGTGATTTACCGTCAAATTACTGTAATTCTTGTACAGTGTACTGGCGCCCGCGCTGCCAGTAAAGGGCTGTGAAATTTACAGCAAAAAATTCAAAGTACTGTCTCATTGCTGTTGCTGATGCATGACGCCAACAGTGGATCTGAGAGAACGGACACAAGTCCTGCATTGGCAGAACGAGTTGCGTGCACAAGTATACCAATTGGCAGCGGCAAATAATAACAAAAGTCCAAATTGCAGGGGAATTTGATTTCAGTTTCTTGGTGACTTGGCGTCATACAAATGTGTCCGTTCTCGTAGTCTCCAAGCTTGATGATACAGGCATATCCTAGTTCCCCTTTCGTGTTTCCGGAAGCCTCATTCTGTAGATTTGTAATAGTCAGAACTGGTTTTGTAGGACATTAAACATCAGCGAATTCCAATAGTAATAAAAGAGCACCCATATAATGCTTGATTTGTGTGTATTCGTTTGAATTGTAAAAAATCCGAACGGACTATTAAGATTATGAAGGGAAAGCTTCTTCCCGTATAAACTTGAAAGAGGTCTACCAACATTACCGAAGTTGAACATTGCACGTATCCTTTCTTAGCCTAGCTCTGTGGCAAATCCCAATCATCACATGTACTGGTGTATGATTCTTATTTCCATGCAGTGGTTAACTGGCGGTAAGACATTATGACGTCTTATTCTTAATATATACCATTTATGTATGTATGGCAATCGGAGGATATTGTTTTGATAAACAGTAGCCCCCGAGGGTGCATTTCCACTAAATGGGTAGATTTCTATGCGCGGTGTCATTAATATTTTGTGATCCCATTGGGATTTTACAATGAGAAGTGCCATCGTCGGGAGCGACCATAGAGATATTTTTTAATAAAAATCACGAATTTGGGACTTCTGGCGTCCAACTCGGTGTATTTTGCTCACAAAAACCTACCCGCCAGCCTATTTTGCATATGTAGAGTGGACGGCTACATTGAGAGCTGGGCGACTATTGGTAGGCCTACTCCTATTTTGGGTTTGTTTTTTTTGGTGAAGGGCGATTAAAAAAATTGGCGTGGGTAACTCATATTAAATTGAAAAGAAAAGTGAAATTCTGGCCATTAATCTTGAACTTCCAAAGGAAAGCTTGAGGTCTACCTCTCTTTGAGAGTCACCAGGCGGCGCTGTTTCTGTCCGATTTTGCACTGCTTTCTATGGGCGCGTATGATACTGTAGTGTAACTCTCAGGCCATCACCTGTGCGTTTTCAAGATAGCTTATCAATGCACCTAATGGCAATAATGTCATTATTCAACATATTTTCATCCCATGATACATGATCTCAGGACGGTCGTCATCCAACTTCAATGACATTGCCATCCCGTGATAAAGTACTTAAGGATGTCTCCATCTAGCTTGTATTACGTTGTCATCCCGATAAAAAACAGTCAGGATCTCAACAAGTCGGATGGCACATCTAGAGCTCCGTAAGATCCCAAATCGTATTCCAAAAGTGAAAGGGGGTGCATAACCAGGGGCTAGCCACAGGGCGGTGAGGGACGTCCCCCTCCCCATTCCCGGCCCCTTGGGTTCCCCCCACTAAAACAAGAGATAAAATTACACTTTGGAAATATAGAATGGATATTGAATGAGGCTAACAAAAGCCCCCCCCCCAAAAAAACACACACACATACTACTGAAAGCTTGTGCCCCCATTAGTAAAATCCTAGCGACGCTATATATACTGTGTAGAACAAGAAAGTTTGAAAATAGGGGACGCGTACGGAGCTCTGCTGTCGACGTCGAAATAAAAAGCCCAAACCTTTCAAAGACGCCCCCTGTAGTTCAGCAACCATAAACATGATTAAAAATGGCGAAGCGAAAATCTAGAAGAAGGTGTTCTGCGCTACATTGCAAAAACAGTTCTGCAAAGAACCCAGATTTGTCATTCTACAGGTTTCCTAAAGACAAAGAAAGGTGTGATAACTTTTGTCTTATTTACCGTTAAAATAAGCTAGTTGTTCTAGATAATAAGGGAAAGGACGAGTGACTGCCTTTTCAGCTTTTGTCGACGACGATTGTGAATTTGGGGACCCTGTTCTTATAACTACGGAGAGCTAGGCCTACATTTTAATTTTGAATTCCCCTTGGTAGATGACTGTAACATCGTGCCCAATAACTGTAGGGTTGATGTTGTCAAAGAAGGGCAGGGTTTTGAGGGAAATCATAATATGAGGGGGAAACTGTCAGCGGATTAGGGCCTATAGGTCCTACTAGTACTGTGAGTCTGACATGCATGACATGGTTGATTCAAATTTGCATGGCTAATTTATCATTAACAAAGTCACATTTGGAAATTCCAAAAAAAAAATATGGTCAGCGCAATAAAGAGAGTATTGTCTTTGTTTTTTGGGGGACTTACCAGTTTTGCAAGATTAAAATGACAAAAAACTTGGGGGCCCCCCACAATTCCCGTGCAGATGACATGCCTAGGCTTAAATCATGCGAACCACATATGACTTCTACATCCCAGGGAGAGGGAGAGCCTGAATTATTACGTGCTAGACCCTAGGTACAATGAACCTGTAGACAGGGCCGGATTATCCTGTATGCAGAAATAGACATTGTACATGTACATGCGTGACATGTGTACATGCATCCAATGTTTTGGGAAAATTTTGGGCTCGTGAAACCCACCTTGCTGACATCAAATTTTAACAAATTAACCAAGTTTAGAAGGAAAAACTTCGGGATGGGGCTGTGGCCTTTTTTGGGGGAGGGGGGGGCACGGGAGGCGCCACATGTAATGTTACCCTTGGGTCAAAGGTTAAGCAAAAGTTACCTGAAATTTCACGAAACCTTCATATCTCTCACCACCTAAAAGTGAGGAGATGATCCAATGACTTATCTTCAGGTCAAAAAGTGAGGGGATGCATACATTCTCCCTCCCTGTAGAGTTACATGTATGCCATGGCACTGTGCCACGCCTCTATTCATGTAGTAGGTTTTCCTTTGAATTCTTCATTTTGTTCATTGAGACGTGAGTTTGTTTTCTGCACTATTACCGACCCAAGTGTGATTTTATTATTTTTTTTTTGAAATTGTGCCACTGATATCTTAGAAGTGCAAGATGGATTCAAAACACAGGGCGAAAGGACTTGCTGAAGAGAACTCCAGACTACCTGTATACAAATTACCGGATCTGCTCTCATCACTTCGAGCCAGGCAAGATCCTCCCCACTGGCCGACTTGTGTGGAATGCTGTCCCAACGATATTCCATTCAGGCATGTCCAAGCCCAGAGAAATAGACCAAGTATCAAGGACACACGCAGTGGTAATGCAGAATGCATCAAGACAGGATGAAAATAACGACAACTCACTAAAGACGTACTCAAAAATTATTCAAGGTTGGTTAGTTTTGTCTTTTTGTTCATCAGTAGCCTAAACTTTTTAATGATTCATTGAAGAGTTTTGTAAAGTAAATTATGTTGACCTTTTGGGGGAAAAGAAAGAGAGGGGAAAAATCTATCACAGCTTGTTTGAGTTTGTCTTTGACCCGGACCATCCCACATCCTTCAAAATTTGTTCAGTGTTTCGGATTTTGAAGGATTGTGCAAGGTAGAGCAAAGCTACTGTTGCTGTATATGGGCTCGATGCTGCGATGCCCAAAGTAAGACTAATGAAATTTGTGCTTTAATTTGTCAGTGGATTTTTTTGCAGAATTCAGGAGAGTTTCTGTCAAAAATGTCTAGAGAGGTAGGGTTTGCAGGAGAAGCGAAGGACACAGTAATAATGCATCTTAGTTGCTGATGGTTTTTAAATATGAAAAAACTTTTCTTGACTTGTTACAGCTCGGGCAGAGATACAGAAACGGCACACATATGCCAAACCTGCAACATGGCTATCAACACAAGTGCCACTAGCTTATCTGAACCAGGAGCCTGATGCAGTGAATTATCAAGCAGCACCAGGTACAGAGACCAGAAAGTTGTAACACTGACACTATTAGTTGCTAAGGGCCAATTGTAACACTGACACACTATCCGCTACTAAGCGGCAGTTGTAATACTCGGCCATGCACTTGCACTGCTCAGCCATGCACTTGCTAAGCAAACGTCTCTTGAGAACAGTTCACAACAATACGGGCGATTGACAATAGTGCACCTCCAAGAGTTTGCAGCGTGTTGACCAATCACAAGGTGCGAAATCTGTCAACCATTCACAAACACACATTGGGTCAACAGATTTTGCGCACTGTGATTAGTCAGTGCATTGCAAACTCTTGGAGGCGCACTATTGTGAAATGCCTGTATTGTATGTTGTGTAACTAGTGGCTGGTAACCACATTTACTGAGCAAATATTTTCCTGGCTTGGCAAATTAACTGTGTCATAAGTTACCCATGGGAAGGTGGCGCAGAGCACCCTCTGTTGACTACTAGGATTTGTTCTGGATCTGGTCTTGCCAGACCAGCAGTTTGACTAGGTATTTTGGACTCAAAATTGGTGGACTGGAATACTACACAACACCGCTGACCATTTTTGAAAATCTTACCTTGAGGTAAAAAAAAGGTCAGTTTAAGAAACCCTTCAGAGAGGTCAAATGCCCATCTATCTTGTTTTCTAAATTCTCTATGGTTGTCCCAAGTTTGTCACTTACTAGAATATGTGATCTGTATTTCTCTTTACATATACCTGCCAGGGCCAATGCTATATACAGGTCCAGCAGAGGATGGAAGAGCACATGTTAACAAGGTCACACAGTCTTCTAGTGAACTACAGCAGATAGAGAGACTCAGGACTCAAGTCCTACACTTGCAGGCGAGTTTAGTTCGGGCAAAAAACCAAGCCCTTAATTGCAGATGCAGCAGAAGTGCATCAAGTGAGGAAGCTCTGATTTACCAACGGCAGACGAAAGCAACGGAAATGCAGACCGGCGGCAAGAAGAAGAGAACAAAAGCTCAATGTTTAGCAACTGAGCGAGTCAGGGTTCACAGACTTCGTAAAAAGGTAGCGCAGTTGCAGGCACGCCTGAAAGAGACCAAAAAGGACCCCAGCTCAGTGGAGTGTATAGTGGAGAAGGCCAGCGAGTACCTCAGTGGAACAGCGTTGCAGTTTTTTGCCAGCCAGCTGCGCATAGCTAAGAGGCGGGCTCAGGGGCGACGCTACTCCCAACAGGACAAGCACTTTGCATGGAGCCTCTATCAGCAGAACCCCATGGCCTACAAATTCTGCCGGAAAATATTTGCACTACCAACTGCACTTTACCTCAGGAGAGTAAAAATGCGGCCGAAAGTCACTGACGCATCACCGGAGGGGCTTAGGGCAACACCTTGTGAGAAGAATGCAGTCCAGACAGCCACCTGTGAGGCTGGACCATTGTCAGCATCATCAGAGAAGGATCCAGGGTTGCAATAAAAAACCAAGAACCATCTGATGTTGAATAAATTCAGTAGAAATTGATTTAATTTCCAATTTCTTCCTTCTCAACTGTTACCAGTGGCATATCCAGCATTTACAAAGACAGGGGTGGGTTTACTAAAACAAATGGGTACACGAAATGGAGGTCAAACCCCACCGTACAAGTGGCACATTGCTTTTTTTTATGTAGAACTAAATTTCTGCTGTGAATGCAATTAAGTAACCAGGTCAGAACAGAAAGAAACGGAAGAAATGTATTTCCCACTGAAAAAATCTAAAAGATTGTTGGAGGGAGAGGGGAAAAGGGCAACAACACCCTCTCTATCAGGGTCAATTCTTGAATGCACCTGTTCAACCTGAGAAAGTTAGTTTGTGAGCTGTACATTCTAAGTGAAAAGCTTTAGCTTGTAAGAATCCCTATTCTGGCTGGGAACAAAAAAACGAATACATGTAATGAAACAAGCGACATTTGCCACATCGTCGGATGATATGCTGGATGAGATGTCCCAGTGCTCAAACAATATGTGTTCATTATTTCAAAAATCATTCGGAGGATGATTTGTATTCTTTATTTGTCCACATCTTTGTTCTTTGACTGACAAAACATGTTGTTGATATTGGAAACAAATTCGTCATTTTGTACTCCCTCATTCAGATTTTTGGTTGTGGTTTGATTTTGGGGGGAATCGTCATCTGCCTTATTGGTCTGGGCGAGACAAACATCTTGTCATCCCAAACCTTGTCATGGTCTTCATTGTGTAACCATTGTTATTTGGAGAAATAAAAATTGAAACAAGACATGAACACTTTTGTCTGTGTCGTGTGGACTTTCCAAGTGCTTCCAGTTTCCAAGGGTTTGCTTTTATGTCGTTATCAGATCCATCTATATATTTGCCACTTGTACACGTCCACATTATCATCATGTATGCTTAAATTGAATAACACGTCACAGAGGCCTCCAATTCCACCCCGAGTCCAGTATTTTTTCTTTTACTCCGTGATACAGTACTTGGTAAATTGAAAATAGTGGAAACAAGGTAAATCAGAACAGATTCTTCGCTTGGACTTGAATACTGCTAACTTTCTGACGAATTCGAATCGCCATTTTCATTGGTCCAGGTCCAGCAAACGTATGAATACATGTACTTTGAATGCATTTGCTCACGCTTTTTGACGAATGGGGGCGCTGTTGCAGTTGTCCATAGCGTGCCGTTTGGTTTAAGTTAATAACAGGCGCACGTGATTTTGCGGAGGCGATGATGAGGATCTGCATACCGTGGGAATATCACTGGACGGATGAAGACCATGACGCTGTGCAAAGGCTTTTACGTGGGTTTAAGTAAGTTGACTGGATAACTGAAAGTCGGGCAATTTTACTTCTAGGACAACTCTACTTTGTTACACTTGGAACTAGGTTTTCAACGTTACATTGTGCCCCTTCCTCAATCCGCACCGCTTACTTCTACTACTAGCGGCAGCTGCAAAAGGCTACCCCCACCGCTGCGAGGGAACGCGGCGGACGTGGAACCCTACCACAGACAGCCATGACAGTTCTAGGGGTTTGAGTTACTGCTGCTACCCAGAATTGCGTGTAGGACCTGTCAGAACTGTTAGACGTAGTGCTATCATTTGCAGCATGCTCGTATACTTCCTGAACAGCAAGGCACTCCTCCGTAAGCCTTGTTGGGTCCATCTTTTTGATGGTTCCGAACGCTATGGCATTTTGAAAAGTGCCCGGTAGTTCCATATATAGGCTAGCTATTATCATAGGGTTGTTAGGGGAAGATTTGCTTCAGAAAGTGCAAACGGAGGTACGATTGCAGGGCACTTTTCAAAATGCTATAGTTTGTGGAACCATATCAAAAAGATGGACCCACTAAGGCCTACAGAGTAGCGCCTTGCTGTTCAGGAAGTGGCCAGTCATGTGCTTACATATGTTTGCTCACATTAATATTGCTACGAGGTATATTACCATATGTAGGCCTTCCCTCCCTAGGTCAGACTTAGTTTTTTTAGTATGTTAGCCTGGACTCAAGTCAAAATGTAATAAAAGGCAATTTGTCATGTTTGTAGAGTTAGGCTACTCGACTGTGTCCTCAAACTTACCCCTAGAATGTGGTTCGTTGTGTGATCTGCCAAGAGAGGTGGAGAGGAACTCCACAGTCCTGGGGGTTGGCACACTGTGAGTGTGAGCTTGGTTAGGCTGAGTAATGATGCCATAAGCCTCATCGCTAATACTGCATGGTGATTTTGCACAATGGTAGAACGGCATGGTGGGAAGGAAAAGGGGACAAACACTTGATGCCCCTGTACACAAACCTGCATGTATGAGATTTGTCTGAAAAACTTAAGTGTTTTCTAAGTAAATACTTTGCATTTTCTTAGCTAACTTTCGCTTTCTAACAGTGATAACATTTTAAGGAAAAATCGTTTAAAAAATGTTCCGGTACCTTTTACATGTGTAAACGTCCCACCCTTACCACAGCATCATTGAAAACTTTACACATGACAAATTGTATTCAATGCAAATAGTTAACCGTTAGTTCTGGTGATGAATTCATGGTATTCCTATGAGATGACCGAGTAGTAGCATGTTCTGAATATCAGATTACATCTTACAGGTATCGTTTACAAGTGAACGCTAGATTGCGTCAATCAAAACGCCAAACCCCTAAAAGGGACAGTCCCTGTAAACCGATTTAGAATTGTTTTTGTTTAAATGTTTCAACATGTGAAGGTCGTACCCTGGTTTATGGAACGTTTTCCACCCCTTTTTCCTTCCACAGTGCCTTTGCAACAAATTGTTGTGCTAAATCATCCATGCTGTATTAGCTATAGGACTTACAGGAAGGCAGCCCATATAGTTGGGTAGTGGCGTGAGATTGGATTTTTGGATCGCAGGACTGTGAAGACATCTTGGGTCCAAGACAAGTAATACAGTGTCAGTTGAAGCCAGTCTGGTTCCTAGCCCTGACATAGAAAAAATCCTTTTTTTTCGTGTTTGCCTAAGACGTACAAAGAAAACGTGAAATTCTCACCACTTTTGGCTGTTGAAGAAAAACATAATACTACTGCGAGAGATGTCCTAACATTTAAGTAAAAAGTGATGAAAGCCTGGTGTCCCTTTCTGGTCTCCAAATTGTCACTGTTTTAACAAAGTGCACCACGGCTAAATTCTAACGTTGACATGTCTTTGTTATCAAATGTGTATTTTCAAGCATTAGCATTTTTTTATTTGCAGGAGTGGTACCATGGAGGTGTGAAAAATACATGTAGCTCCCTGGTGGTAGGTACATGTATGCACATGTACTTCATTAAAATGGTCATCAGATGCAAACACCTGGAGGGGGGGGAGAGATGAAAGAGGCAGCCAGCATCTCTGGTGGTTTTCCGCCGGTCATCTAGCCTCCGTAAATCATGGATTCGTTGGGGGGGCACTGTGTTGATGAACACATCATATACAGTGTACAATATCAGTTGCAATAATGCACAAAAATTGTACATTATTATCACTACAATAGCTTCTAACTTTTAGGACTATCTCCAGGCACGATTTAGCAAAAACTATTGTTGCAATAAAACAATGTCTCCAGCGCCACAATTTGTGGTCGCCGAGAGACAACTTACAATTTCATCTAATTCAGCCATCTTCCTCTTCGGACCTCCAATCATTCAATTTCAAGTTGAAATATTGTCATGAAGGTTTCACCATATTTTATTTCAGTAAAGTTTGCATTGATTCATCATTCTCACAAAGAATACTATCTTCGCACTTTCATTTGTTTGTGTTCACAGCTATTTTCATATTCTAGGATGGATTCTGTATTGACTATTGGGCATATCAGTTGCCTTTAAGTGTCTGGAATCTGCTCAAAACAAGCCTCCGTAGTGCGATTTTTCTCATGTAAAAAAGAGCATTCTCCCTTCCTTTTTTCATGAATTTTGCATTCGAATAGTTGAATACAAAAAATAATTATTGAATATTTGATAGTTGATTGAATATTCGATAACAATGTCTAGCACCTAGACTAGTCATTAGAGTCATCACATGAAGCCACATGTATCTCGGCAGTTTGCTAATGTTTGCCACCAAAACTTTCTCGTAATTTTATTGGTATGAAATAGACAAAAATAATTGTGTTGAAGATCACAAAAAATTTGCTAAAAGAATTCCACACATGGAGTTTGTCAAGCAAAAATGTTTTAACCCAGAATTTATGGAAGCAGGTTTTTCTTTGTTTTTCTAATCTATTAAATATCAGTGTTTTTCCTTAAAGGTATCCGCTGTAAAACTAAATAAGTAATCATGGACATAGCAATATTATTTGCAGTACAACAAATTTTGTTTTGTTACCAGTGACACATTGCCACATGTTATTTCATAGGTTTACCCACACTAGCCTAGTTTCTTTTGTATTTTACTTTTCCCAATGTTTTTGACTTTTGTCACTATTTAAGATTACATTTCCGATTGCTGTGTACACATGTGAACAGCTATTCAGATGTGATTTGAAAGGTGACTTGAAATTGAAATCAATAAGCATGTAAAAAATTGATAAACTGTAAAACTTTTTTTGCCAAGAAAATACAGCAACTTGAGACTTTATTGCTAAAAATGTACACAATCCTATGAAGGTGCCTCTAGATACATGTACATGTATGTTTCATATTTCCCGTAGTAGACATGTCTGAGATCAGAGAGAACCAGACAGCTTGTGCATATTATCATGTAATAAATTGTCAGCACATCATGCCACGTGTTGACTTTTCCATTAAACCAAGAGCTATCTGGGAGATGAAATACGGCTTATTACCCAGATCTTCATTGATAACAAGCGAGGGCATTAAACCAACAGCAGTCAGTCCTCTTGCACAACAAACGTACACCTGTTTGCTGCCTGGCGCAGGGAGCACAGGGGCAGTCCTTCACTTGCAGTTGTCTCCATAGTTGCATGCAGGGCGTACATGAAGGTGCATTCCTGTCCCACATTTTACACCTGCATTTCCTCACAGCTGCCTATCAGACTACTGCACGATGACTCCTCCCCAAGAGTGATTCCATTTCGGGGGGCAGTGATACCACAACTGTTTTATCGCACTGCGGTCCAAAGACCGATTCTTCATCGGTTCTGTACACAGTCAAATGGTATGGGCCTCGGGGTGTAGCACAGTGTGTGAAGCATTTGCCACTGTACTTGGACGATTTGGAGGGACGCCACACGGCATTGATGTTTAGTTTAGGAATTTCCAGTGAGTACTGCATGCACGTATATGCCTTGTAGATTAGGATGTTGCAAGGTTTATATATTGTAACTACTAGTACCTATTAAGGAGGATGTTATTGCTGTATTCTCGGCCAGTAACACACCTTTTCAAAGATTCGTCATTTTCACCTCGAAGACAAAGCGAAGTTCACCCTTAGCTTATACATGTGTTTGAAATGTTGAGAACATGTGGTTGAGAAATGTCGGTAGAAATGCAGTTGTGCATTTGTTCAAATTCTTTCAAAGTTGTCCATGTACTGTGTATAGTTGATGTATTTCCGTGAAGTGAGAAGTGATTCAACAATTTGTAGTCTATCAGCCAGGCTTGTTAGCTTAACTCTCATTTATTTATTTGTTTATGCAGATGAAAGGTACTCTTAATCCCACCAAGAATCTGAGCAACCAAAGCATAAATGCCCCACTGACTCGTTGCCGGACAGAAAGACCATTGACTGCCATTGAAAGACCTCCCACCGAAGATGCTGTCTCCTTCATTATTTGATGATTGCAGCCCAAGTTATTGATATATCACTGGCGCCATCATTAACATGGAGTTGGTAAGTGCATTCCCAGCAGGCTCAGCTTTTAACACATGATTAGGATTGATGGGCACTAGAGTATGCACGTACCAGTGGCGTAGCTAGGATTTTACGGGGGGAGGGGGAGGGTACAAGGGGGCACAGCATCTTATGGGGGGCACCAGCTTTCAGTGATGTGGCTTTTTCGGGCAAGCTTTTGTTAGCATTGTTCAATATCCATTCATCTGTTTTTTTTAGTGGGGGGGGGCCACCGGGAATTCGTAGGGAGCATGTGCCCTCCCAGGCCCCCCCCCACGCCACTGATGCCTTGACCATGTTGAAGATTTGTTTCCTTTTTGCTGACTCTTCTGCTACCTACAAATCTTCAGTTATTGACCCCGCTAACCATCCTCAATCCTTCAAAATCTTCTGGGCGACTTTAGAGGATTTGGGAGGATTGAGGCTGTATCCAATGTTTTCATGGGGGCAATTGGAAGATTTTAAAGGATTGAGGGTGTATCCTAGCCAAAAGGGCCTAGGGGGTTAGGGTTTATGTATGTAAATGGATTAATTGCTGTGGGTCATACATGTCCTTGTATGCGGGTGTTGGCATTGTGGTTTAAAATTAGAGTTACAAACTTTACTTGACCTAAAATGTACCTAACTGACCATGGCAATTGTATTTTGGTCAGGTTTAAATTGTTCAGTACCCTCACAAATTCTTCCAAAAATGGACAAGTTTGTTGTGGTCCACTTTTCTAGGATACTTCCGTCCTAAATCTTTCCAACAACGCACAGTAGACAGTAGTAAATAATCCAAAACGTTTTGCACTGTCCAAATCCTTGTTCATGTCGATAAATATTTGCCTAAGTACAGGATCCAGGTAACCTATATTAGTCCATTGGAAGCATTTTTTTCTCTTCTGTATAAAAATAAAGTACAGGTGTGTAATCCTTCAACAGAGCAGCTGTAAAGCCTGGAGACATTTCTGTTGTCCAGAAACTTGTTCAAGCATTTTATTGCCCCCTGAACAAATCACGTGCATTGCAGTAAAAAAAAAATGGTCCAGTTTGCTAGAAAAACTTGGAAATTCCCTTCTTTTGCAACCCACTTTACCCAAGTTCAGTGATCTTCCTCTTGCAGTTGGCATAGCATAAAGCATATAGCTATATATATCTGCATTCTGTCAGCATTGTGTGTTGTAGATTGTGTATTGTTGTAGTATTTGCACAACATGGGCCTAGCCTGCTAGACAAAGTCCAAAGTTCCACGTCCATCGCAGTATACACCCATCGGAAATTTTAATGTGTTTAAAAATCCTGTTGGTAGTGTATACCATGTAGGAATAAGAATGGTTCTTATTCCTCCGTATGTGTACAGTACATTGCAAATGAAACTTAACCCTGTAAAAATGACTGGGGAAAACTGTGAAAAGAATTCCCATTCACCTTCACAGGCAAATTTCCCGCCACTTGTGAAAAAAAGCAGTGAAATTTTTTCCCACTTTTGAGAAAAAAAGCAGAGAAAATTTTGCCTGCTTGTGTAAAAAGGTGTGAATATTTTATCCCACTGAGTGTAAAATGATGTGAAAATTTTCCCACTTGTGAAATAAGTTGTGAATTTCCTTATTCACAGAGGGAAAGAAAGTGTGAAAAATTTTCCCACTGGCGAGTAAATTTTTCTCAAATTGTGAAATGACTATTAATTTTCCCGGATGGGAAAAAGTGTGAAGTTTTCCCCCATATTGAGGTTACTTTTCAATGGCAGTATACTGTACATGCGTACATGTAACGTGTAAACGAACCTCTACATTAATACATGTACATGTATGAAATTTTCATCAAACTGTTTTAGATAAATTTGAAACAGTTGGGGCAAGAAACATTGTTGATCCCCACACATGAACAAAAATCTTGTATGTCTGATATGCTGATGATGTGTACAGTTTGTTTCCCCAGTGCTGAAAAATTAAAAATGATGAAATCTTCAGAAGTGTTCAAAAACTGATCCACTTCATATCCTGTTTGAACCGACTGAGGTGAATTTTAAAGTTAAGCAGCCTCAAAGGAGTCAAAAACTTACCGGGAGAAAATCAGAACAAAACCAAAGCAACAGAGGTCTAAACAATTTACCCACCTCCCAGGCTCCCAGATCAGTATCTCTCATTCACTGAAACAGAAACTGATATCTAACCACAATTCAAGTTGTCATTACTTCCTCCAGCTCTCTGCAGCGTTATCATAGAGCATTGCACAGTGCCACAAGCAAGGCTCTCAGCTTTCACTTTTTTTCAGTGGTGTTGAAATAGAAGTCTCAGGTTACAAATTGCATCCTCAAGTTGCTTGGAAAGATTCAGCCTTTTCCCTAAACAGTGTGTGATAACGTTTCAGACCTTTTGTGAAGTGTCAGCAACAGAGAGAAGCAGTTGGCGATGCATTCAACGGTGTGTGGTTTAGTGTTTAGTTTTTTTTCAGTCTTCTCTTAAAATTTGAAAGCTGTGGGCTCCTTAATGAAATACAGAATTTGGCTCATTTCATGTGAAAAAAATTTCTGAGTTGATGTGCATTATATGAAATTATTTGCTTTAATGGAACTATTGTGCGATTGGCCTTATAGAAAAGCCACAGTTAAGCTCACCGGTATAACTGTTCAAATGCTTCTGAAAAATGGTGGAAACAAAATCTACTGAGGCTGAAGGGTTAAGGATTCCCATAAACATGTTGACCAAAAATTAAAAATTCACATGTTGAACAATTATCTTTGGACAGCTTGATCTCAGATAACACTGTGTACACAGCATATGTACTTATATGTACTTTGTACATCACTGGAATGCAAAAAAGTGACCCAAAAATGCCCATTTTCGTTATTTGTAAGCTCAAAGATGATTATGATGAAACAAGTAAACACAAACAGATATCCAGTTGATCAATTTTGCCCAAACTCTGCATATTGCCATATTCAAGGCCCTCAACTTTCTTCATCGGCAACGCCCTCAGAGTCTTTGGTTATTGAATGTGTCATTAAGTGGTGTGGAAAGATAAGTCATTCCTTAACAGTGTGTGAAAAAGTTTCCGCCCATTTGAATGATTGTGTCAACAAAATGAATTGGGTTATGCACTTGAGTGGTCTTTCAATCTTAGTGCACACCAGATGCATTAGACTTAGCCGTTGCCCAACAACATTGGTATACTTACATTCCTTAATGTTTGATATTTAGGGCAGAACATGTCTAGATAAAATTCATTTTAACAAAGAATGAGGAACGACAAGGAAATCTGTAGCAGTTGATGAGTGTTTATGAGGGTTGAAGTATTGATTGATGGAAATATTATCAAAGAGCGGCTTGTAAGACACATGTTGGTGCTATGGAATGGACAATTGACACACACATTGTACAAGTTTTTTTCAGTTTTGTTACTTCCTTGAAAACGTTTACTTGCCCTGGTTGTTTCATCCTTTATTGTCTGCTAAACAGAGTTTTTTTGTGGATTAATGTAGTGTACTGATATGGATAATTCTTTTCTTTTTTGAATGTTGAATCATTTCTTGAGCATCAAATAGAATTATTTAAAAAAGTACTACCTCCATGTAATGTTTTGAGTTACTTTATCTACATGTAGTCATAGATTGCAGACCTGTGCATGACATTCTTTGCTGAAACTATGAAAGTCTTATCCTTGCGTATTTTGTGTCCATGAAATAGCACATTGATGTTCATGGTTCGAGGAAGACAATATGACGCTTGGGCAAGATCATCACACCTCAAAGCAAACTGACAACACGTCAACCTTTCACATTCTGTGTTTGGAATAACAAAAAGATCGAGCATTTGAATTCCAGAAAATCTGGCCAAATCTGGGAATTTATCTGGTCGCAGAGAGTTCAGTGCACGGCAAAATCCAGAAACCCCAACCTCCTGCCGGTGCATTCCATAATACAGTGATATCCAAACCATCAAGATGAGTTTGTTTATGAACAGGGTGGTAAGAAAGCATTACAATACAAGTTCGATGGTCTGTGAAGTGCATTTTGTATAGTATACATGTAGGCACATGTCACATGCAATAGTCACTATTTAGTCACTTTATTGTACATGTATGTGGGAGCGTAATGTTTGAAATGTTGCAGAAAATAGAGATCTAGTACAGAGATCCATTCCGAAAGATGCCAGAGTTTTTTTGTGCTGACAAGCTTAATTTGAAGGAGAAAGCTGCCCAGTTGGGATTTGAACCTCAGACCTTTACTTTTACTAATAATACTTTTTTTCAGCTGCTGTATGAGCAGTTTATTACAGAGCCACCCAGCACCACATGTCTAAATTCCCAGTATCTCCCTGCCTGTTTGTTATGGAAAGAAAAAATTTTGATCATGCAATCACAATTATTGTGACAAGGTATATGTGTTTGTTATGAGAGATATATTATATTTGTAACAATTGTGTTACAAATCTTGTACCCTCTTCATTTGTGTACAATTTCAATCAGTTATTGATTACAATGGTATATCACAATCTAAATCAATTGTGATTGTGCCTTTTGATGCTGTGATTTCTGGGTTTTTCCTCCCTTCTCCCTGTGTCTCACAGGGCACCCCTGTGTGGTTCGATGCGGGTGGGGACTACCCCCTCCCAGGCAGAGTGACAGAGACATATGGAGGGGATACAAAGGGGGTCAAGGTGCAATGCGTACTGGATGAGAAGGTGAGAAGTAGCATCAGTTGATTCTATTTTGTAGCCCAACCCTATGAAATGAGTCTGAGAAGTGTTCAACCAGTTAACGTCAGATTTTCGTACCTGAAAAAGCTGCTGGGGACAGGTTTTTTACCCGTAAATTCTTCAAGCTTGCAATTTGCGCTTGGACCCAACCAAACACGATGTGTAAATACGCCAGCCGCAGAAATGAAAAAGAATTCTTAAACGAGTGTGCACATCCTCTGTGGAACAAAGAAGAAAAATTATGAGTGTTTACATGTTATCTGGCGTCAAGAGGTTAAAAGAATATTTCACAAAGGAAATTAATAGGAACCTAGCTTCAACATTTTTCCACCGACCTAATGCGCATGTCCATCAGAATGCCCAACTGATTCATCCAATCAAAAAGGTCTGTTTGGTCTTGCTAATTAATGCAAACTGGAACAATATCGCTGAAAAAATGACCTTAGGACTTGTTTTGTGGGCTCCGGTCACGCTTGATTGCTTAACAGCGTGCTATTTTGCTCTGAATCATTGCGAATGAAGGTTTCCTGTCTAAGAATAGTCTTAGAAAAACTCATTGAGTTTGTTACAATCCATAAATACACTTTATCTAGTCATAAAAGTGGAGCAATGAAAGCCCTTTTTTAAGTTGCAGAAAACCTGTCATAGGGATTTGTTTTTTAAAGTGCACTGCATATTTTTAAGAACTGCGTACGTGCATGTAGAGCTGTAATTTCAATTCCTTTAAACTATGGAAATAATTTTGAAGGTTTTTGAATCTATTTTGTCCAGCAGCATTTTGCATATAGCGTACATGCATCAAGGATAAATGTATACATGTATATGGCATGCCAAAGGGGAAAATTTTGAACTGTTGGCTTAACTGTGTTAAAAGAGAAACTGTACATAGACAAATTCAGGCATCTGTTCTGGAAGGCTCCTAGTAACTGAGAAGTCATGGCTCTGGCTAATCTTCAAACTAATTGTCCAAACTTCTCTGAAGTTGCCATTTACACATCAGTGAAATGCAAAATGAAAGTATACATCCTGACACTGCAGACGGATGGGGTAATTTCACGCATGGCATCAGTTTTGTTCCCAGGGGTTGATTAAAAAATTGTTTTGCCCGTTCCTCGTTTTGCTTTGTCTGTCATCAGATGTACACTGTTGCCAATCCCCAAGAACGTATCAGAATACGACATGACGCATTGGAGATCCAGCACATTGATGACATGATACAGCTCAGGTACGTATGTGATATAGCTCTTTAATTATGTGCGTTGACTTTGCAACATGCAAATTGCATTTCAGCTCGACAAAAATATAACGAAAGGTGAACTCAGTAAACTTGACCTGTTGGTTGTCAGGAATTTTGAACCTCTGTAACCAGGTAAAATACACAGTGGGATGAAAAAAAGTTTTATGTTGGAGAAAGATTTGACCAGCACTTTTTTCGTGCATTTTTTATTGTCAAAGATAATGGAAATTGTTGAGGATTCATTGATCATTAACTGCTCAGACTTTGCCGAACCTATTTTGCACTTCCAATCAAGTGTGCAATTTGTGTTTCAGCCCATTAAATTCAGTGTGTATTTTGACCCCATTAATTCAGAATTTGTCAAGACTTCAAGCAATGTGTACTATTGCCACCGATTATCTTATATCCAAAGATTGGTGTAATTATTAACAAAATTTAACAGTATTTTAAATCTCAGTTTTTTAGTTTTGTGCTAATCATTAACTGTTACTTGTTTGATACAAATTTTTCCTAATGCGTAAGAGATTTTTGAGTAATAGTACCACATTAATCCAAAAACATTTTTAGGAAAGGAATCAGATAATCAGAATTGATAATTCAAAATTAATTGCCAACTTTTGGCTTTTAAGATTTGTTTTTAAGGTGTACCTAGCCATGCTATTAAACTCTTGTTTCTTGAAGACGGTAAACCACATTCATTGTAAATGAAAGAGCAATAGTAAAATAAGAGTAAATGAATTGCTTATTTTTCTGTAATTCTTTGTCTCAGCTGCTGTTGGATAATTTGCTCTTCAAACTAGCACATAAAAAAATCATTTAAAGCACAACTCAAGCTGTACATTAAGCCCAAGTTGATTAGGTAAAGATAGATTAAATCCATAAATTTTCAACAATCTCATAAATAAAGCTCAATCCCTGCTTCAGAATTTCAGAATTGCTTGATAAAAAAAAGCGTGACAGGTGTTGTGTTGAGAGGGCACTTAATTGAAAAGAGAGGGAAAAAAAACCAGCAGGGATAGGACACTGCGTCATCCATCATGGTCCCATTTCTGGGGTTGCTAGGCAGCGGCTTCGGGAAATACATAGGAAAGCAGGGAGAGAGGCCTTAGGCAGGCCCTGTAGCTTTGTCGACTCGGGACGTATGTCATGTCGTATCATCAGGTAGTATCTTGTCCATCCTGCAGCATTTCCAGGGTGTTAGCGGCGTACTGCATTAAGTGGACGGCAGACATCCCACAGTGGCCATTTGCCACTGGATTTATCCAGAGGGGAAACGTTTATGTTGTTGCACCTATTCTGCAGTCATGTCAGATGCTTGCACTACTGTACATGTATCTGTAGATTGTTATGGTGACCTTTCTGAAATGAAGCAGAGTTTTGTATGGACAGGTTTTAATTAAATCTCCCTTGTTTTCAGTATCACATTACTTAGATTACATGTAATGGTATGGGTATGGCCATTATTATACAGGACATGAATGGAAGTGCAAGTCACTGCTGAAGTGCAGTTGTCACTGTGAAAAAAGAAAATGCTTGATTAATGAATGAAGAGAGATTTGACACAGATACAGTCTTTGACAGTTGTGTAAATCTGGATAAACCCTTTTGAAGGACATTGGCACCATGATTGCCGTTATTTTGCATGCATTGTGACAAACCTTGAACTCAACCCCCCAGCTCCAAGATCTCAACCCCCCCACCTCCAAATTGTACTGATTGCAAAATATATCAGGTCCTCGTATGAGGTCAATTAACTGACAGTGAATCCTTCAATAAATATTGACCAGTGCTGTGTCAAGCAGTGTAGTCAAATGTGTGGTGTAATGGGAAAACTGCAGGCCTGTTTGAGCCTCTTAACATAAGGATGGGTGTGTTTACTTTCTTTGAAGCCACCTTCCTGTTTGACTCCCTGGCAATTGTGAACTCCACTGCATTTGTATGCAAGTTAAGCCATGTACTTGATATCATATCACATTGATCAGAGGCCTTTTTTTCACACATTTGATTGGGAGGGAGCAATGTACATGTGCATGTCCATATATTGTATGTCTTCTGAGAGACCCAGCCTGATGCAGTTTGTTAAATTTTGCGTATGGAATGGATATTCTTCAGTATTTGTGAGAACTGCATTCAAGATTGTTTCTTCATTTTTTAATTATGAGAATCAAGTTTTCAATTAGCCTGATCGGCTACATGTGGGTAATTCCAGAAATTAGGGGTCCAAAAGTGTGACATTTTTGTGTCCCTATTACATGTGATCTTTGTTATTTGAATTGATTTCAAACTATTATTATTTGTTTGGGAGGTAATTTGCATTAATTCATAACTCGTGGAAATTAGAAAATGTGTTCTGAACTTACAAAACCATTTATCAGACATGAGAGGGACACAAAAGAATCGACTCCTGATTTCTGGAATTACCCATATCTGTGCAAAACAAAGGTTTACATGTTGACCGTAGATTTAAACTGCACTTTGGATTTCTTGCTGATGAATTTTTGTCAGGTTTAATTTGTACATGTACATCATGTCAGTTGTTTGTGTGTCTGCTCTTGCAATATCATTTGAAATCCAGGAATGGCTAAAAAAGGTTCAATTTATGGACGGCTAAATTTAAACACTTGTTCCGGTAATCAAATCAACAAAATGGTCCTTTTTCTGAAACTGCCAATTGAGTTGTGCCCTGCTGACAATTTTCAAATGTCAGTTGCTTGTAAAGTAGTTTTGGAACTAGACCTTGCAACTCCAGCCTTTCTGTTGTCTCCCAGAGACCTGTCAAATCCCCCCAAATAGTCATTTTTGAAACTGCCAATTGAGTTGTGCCCCGATGACATTTTGAAATGTCAGTTGCTTATAAACTGTGTTAGTTTTGGAACTAGATCTTGCAACCTCAGCCTTTCTGTTGTCCCACAGAGACCTGTCAAATCCCCCAAATGGTAATTTTTTGTAACTGCCAATTGAGTTGTGCCCCGATGACATTTTGAAATGTCAGTTGCTTATAAACTGGTAGTTTTTGAACTAGATCTTGCAGCCTCGGCCTTTCTGTTGTCCCACAGAGATCTCCATGAAGGATCCATTCTCTTCAATCTCAAGACAAGATATGACAAGGGCCTTATCTACGTAAGGACATTTTGACAGTAATTTTATGTAACTGAAATTATACAAACACAGTTGTTGATCTAAAGTGGAGAGTTTCTGACCAAACTGATGTGAATTTCTGTGAAGAAGGCATCGCTGCTAATAAGCTTTGTAAATCAACTGTTTGTCTGATGTTGTCATTGTAGACTTTTTACCATCGACTGTGTTTATATTTTGAAGTTCTTCAAAATTGTGTCAAATTAAGGAAATCAAATGATTCTATAGCGGACATACATTCGATAACTTTTTGGCCAGTACTTGTTTGGAATGTTTTTGTTGAAATTACGAATCACTGTGTGCTTTTTTTGTAGACGTACACGGGAAGCATATTGGTTGCTGTCAACCCATACAAGCTCTTTGACATCTATGGCATTGACACAGTCAAGAAGTATGAAGGCAAACCACTGGGCCACCTTCTCCCGTAAGTGCTCCCCTGGCCATCTACCCCGCCCCCAAAAGAAACAAACAAAAATTAGTTTCGGTCATTTGGAGAGTAGTGCATGAACCTGTATCTCTTGACTGTCGTACTTAAATGAGAAAGCAGGTACTCAGATTTGTTGGCTCACTTTTAATTCAAGGGCATAATATTAGGAATTCTAAAACTGTTCTAGAACTTCAAAGGGATGAATAACTAAGGAAAGGATTGTTCTCTCGGTGCACTCTGTCTCCATTAATTAAAAAGCTGTAGCAGTGTCCAATCATGTTGTTTCAATTGTGAAGCCTTGAAGTTAAAGTCACTATCAAGGTTAATTTTGACCTTTTTTCATTCTAGTTTTGATGATTAGTTTTATATGTATTGTTGAAGTTTTCATTTTTTAGTTTTGTTTTTCAGAGAATTTAAAGATAATTTTGTTCATTTTCTTGAGATTCAGAGATTGGTGCTAGCTCAAAAGCGCAGAGCAAGAAACAAATTACTAACCATCAAATGCCGCTATTAATTCCTGGATGCAAGAAGTACTTTTTATCAGAGTCCAATTTGGCTTCCCATTTCAGCCACCTGTTTGCCATGGGGAACAGTGCCTACATGCGCATGATGCAAACCGACAAGAACCAGTGTGTGATCATCAGTGGAGAGAGCGGTGCAGGGAAGACGGAGAGTACCAAGCTCATTATGCAGTATCTGGCGGCTGTCAACAAGGCACCCTCAAATCTTACCACTGAACAGGTGGGTAACTTGTCATGCTCACCGGTTAGTTGTGGGAGCACCAACTCGAACACTTGCTTAAGCCGAATTCATTCAGAGGCCAATTTCATGGTGTTTAATGAGGCACTGTCAAGCCTCACAGGAGAACTCATCCTGCTGTTGGTTAATTGGGCTTGGAAAATCCACTTGAACACTGTCTCCAACCCAAATCATTCAGAGGCCAATTTCATAGTGTTCAGTAATGCCTCATTCAAACTTACCACAGAACAAGTGGATCGACTCATCCTACTCGTCGATTGGTCTTTGGAACACTGTACTTGAATACCGTTTTAAACCCAAATCATTCAGGGGCCAATTTCATGGTGCTCAACAAGGGACCGTCAAACTTCACCACAGACCAGGTGAATACCTGGTCTTTCTTTGCATTTGTTCATTTGAGCCTTAAACTCTTACTGCAGCCTACATCATTCAAAGGCCAAGTTCGTGGAGCTCAGTTTTGAAATGCCATCACAGAACAGGTGGATAAATAGCAAGTGGGTGAATGTGCCAACTCACTGACAGCAACTCAAGCCTCCATGCCTCCGACCTCATGTAATCCCAGAGTGTGTGTTGGGCTGGCAGATGCACTTTCCTCCTTTAGTTTATTATTAGCCTTATCAGACTCCTTGGTCCAACTTCACAGTGCGGCCAAGCACAAACTTTTATGCTAAGAGAGGCTCCGCGTTTTTTATGAAGACCGTAAGCAGTAAGTGTGGCAAAAGGCCTGCTTACCTTGGGGGATAATTGTGCTTAAATTTGTGACAAAACAATGAAAATCTCTATACTCGTGCAACTGTAAGCACAACCAGGCCAATTAAGCACTACCATGAAATAGTGTTTATGGTCAGCAAATTTTTGCCTTTCTGCAAACTGTTAAGCAGCTCTGTGAAATTGAGCCCTGGTCTAGAAAGCAGATGTTTCCAGGCTTAAAAATCACACCGGTTGCAGATTGATGCAATTGAAATATCGGGAAATGGCTCTGACATAATGGGTTCTTCAGCTGTTAGCAGAAAACTGGTACTAACTGTAACAGAAAAGTTGTGCTAACTTTAAGCATATTGCAGTTGTGCTAACACTCCGTCGTGTGCCTGGCAGAAGGGCATATGCGCTTAGGCCCTTTTGCCAGGAAGCATGATCACTGCAAAAAAACTTTTCCCGGAAGTGTGCAACTATTGTGTTTTAATGAAATAGGAAGATTTCTTGGCAAAAAGAAAGAAAAAAAAAAGCCCAAGCCCTTTAATAAGTTGTTCAAAGATTGCTTTTTGTACAGCCCAGGTTGATTTACCATACACATACTCTGCTAAACAAATTCAGGAGCAAATGTCATTATTTATAGGGCTTTTTATCGAAAACAGAATTAAAGTATATGTATGTGAAGCTAACGACTGTTTCAATGTAATTACCAGTCGGTGGAGTTGATGGGAAAAAGTATTCATACATATACTGTTTAGGATTTGACACAATGTGAAAATTCTCAGCTTCATTTATATTCAAATCCACTGTCACTGATGTGAACATTATTGTAAACCACAGAGCCATCATAAAAGCTTTTCTGATGTCCCTTTTATCCCAGATTTTGGAGGCCAATCCTTTGCTGGAATCCTTTGGCAACGCCAAGACAGTGAGAAATGACAACTCAAGCCGATTTGGCAAATACACAGAAGTCTTCTTCAAGAAGTAAGGTTCTGAGTTTTAAGTGGTTTGGCATTTGATAAAAAAAAAAAATTGTGGCTGTTATTCTCTCTCCTGTGATACGTGCCTTCTGGAAAATATAACCTGGTGTCTCACTTCTTTGTAATATTTTGGTTTGGTCCAAATCTGTCGGTCACCATTTACCGGTATGGCAGTATAGATAATGATAATTAACTGATGTGATATGCAGTGTCAGTGTACTTGATATGATTTTGAAAACTTTTGTCCAATGTTTTGTCCAGACATCAAGTTTTGACAAAGTAGATGATGCCGGTAACTTGATTCAGCCCACAAATAAAGTGCTCACTTGCTACTTCGTATGACCCATTGACGGCTATCTTTTCTTCCCTCATCCAGGGGAATCATCAACGGTGCTAAAACTACAGACTACCTTCTTGAGAAGTCAAGGATAGTGCACCAGGTAATCAAGTTATTTCTCCTACCAAGATAGAGTGTTTTCCAAACCCTCCTTCAGTCATAACGGGGGATTCACAATAGTGCTCCTCCAAGAGTTTGCGACGCGTTAGCCAATCACAATACGCGAAATCTGTTGACCCTTTCCAAACGTGCACTTGGCCGACAGATTTTGAGCATTTTGATTGGCCAGCGTGTTGCAAACTCTTGGAGGCGCACTATTGTGAAACGTCCGTATTTACCCTAATAAAAGGCCAATCACCAATCACCATGGGTCAGATTATCATTCTGGTTGGTTCCTATTGACATCCATAGCTACAGCATGCCAGTTGTCCAAAAAGCATGGACAATTTTAAATGTTTAAAAAGTGTACATTTCAAGTGTATTCAGTGCCAAAAATAACGTTGAATAGTTTTTGTACATTGAAGAAGAGCATAAAGTGTACAAGCAATGTGACAAGGAACAATTCTTTGCATGGACCCCTTTGACTGATGGCCATTATTGTATGCATGTATTTCCAGGGTCCAGAGGAGAGGAACTACCATGTCTTCTATGAACTGCTGGCAGGTCTGTCCTCCCCGGAGGCAGCAAAGTACGGCCTGCGCACTGCCGAGAGGTATCATTTCCTGAACCAGGGGGGCAGCTGTCGCATTGAGGGGAAAGACGACGGGGAGGACTTCTACCGTCTGGTCTCGGCCATGGAGGTGCTGCGGTTCAGCCCCTCGGAGCAGGAGGTCATCTTTGGCATTTTGGCTGCCATACTGCACCTGGGCAACGTCAAGATGAATGTGGGACAGGTGAGTTGCAGATGGCAATGTTGTATGGTCAAGTACCTCTTTAAGTGCTTCTCTATATGGGTAATTCCAGAAATTAGGGGTTCATTTTTTTTGGTGTCCCTGTCACATCTGACATATGATTTTAGAAGTTCAGAACACATTTTCTAATTTACAAGAGTGATGAATTAATGCAAATTACCTGCCAAGCAAATAGTAATAGTTTGAAATCAATTCTGGTGATGTTCCATGTCAAATAACAAAGGTCAGATGTAACAGGAACACAAAAAGGTCACACTTTTGGATCCCTAAAGTCTGGAATTACACATGTTTGTTTTTCATTGCCAAATGGAAGTATCACAAGTATATTCACTAATAATGGGCGAAAAATGACAAGAGGGAATGTCTTTGTTTCATGTAAAGCACCAAGTGGTTTCATTAAAGCTGAGGTTCTTACGTTTCTTGTACCTACAGTGACTTGTGACTGCTTGAGAACCACTGAAGCAATAGCTGAACCATGTCATTTTTGTCAACTTCTGTTAAACATGTCTCGTCTTTATCGCATCTTTATAGTACATATTGTCTGGCTTGACAGAAGAGCATGTACGCAAATTTTCATGCGACTTTGAACGCAACTGATGGCCCATTTACATCCTTATGCCGCCAGCAGATGACAGTTGACAGTTACCGAATGTAAACATTGCCCTAATAGTAAATAATTGTTAACAAAATCTTTTTGTTTGATTTGTAGAACGACTACCTGGTCATCCAGAATGAGAATGAACTCAACCTGGCTGCCAAGTTCCTCCACCTTCGCCTGGAGGAGTTGGAGAGGGCCATCACATTCAGACTCACGGTAAGCCATGCCGTGGATTCGCAACGCCCAAGCTGACATGTCTCTGGGCAATTATCCACTCAGCTTTGAAGAGCAAGCTTTACACACTCTCTAATTCAAATGTGACCTTAAGTACGTGAAAGTGATGCAAAGTGCTGGGCAGTGTGTAGTGCTTGATACAGTTATGTTCAACTCTCCCACTGAAGTTGACCATTTTTATAAATATTTAATAAAACAGGTTGGGATTCTCAAAGGATTTATCATCCTCTCTGTTTATGTTTCCTTTCACTTTGAAATCTTTTTCTTCTCAGGAGACAAGAGGAGAGCGTATCCTCACCCCACGCACCTTGCAGCAAGCCATAGAGGCAAGGTATGCTTACAGGCCTCAATGACCCCTCGGTATTGGTGGCTTACCTAATGTTATACGTATACGTCACTGTAAATGTCTAAATGAAAGCAGAATAAAAAATAAGATGTGTAAAGATGTCACTGAAAAGCATTTTACATTTTTGTGTAATATTGAGTAAGTGGAAAATGTAGAGGTATTGATCCCTAGAGGGCGGCTCTTTTAGCCAAACTCACACTGAGTTCATACTTCAGTATGCCCAGAGTATAACAAAGTAAATTTTGTCACAAAAAGTTGAAGAATTTGAGGAATCAGCATCTGCTCTCTGGACACATTTGTATTTCCACTCAGGGATGGAATCGCCAAGTCTGTGTACTCCTCCCTGTTTTCCTGGCTGGTCAAGAGCATCAACACCATCGTGGGTAACGTCGGCACAATGACTTCCATTGCCATCCTTGACATCTTCGGTTTTGAGGTAAGTATCCCAAAGAGCTCTGTGTAGTTACCAGATTGCTGTGGCAATATGACACACTTCATTCAGCATTTGATGAGTCGAAAATCAGTCCTCCATGAGAGTGGATAGCAAGATTGATCAGGGAATCAGGTTGGTGTAGAATTCCTGACCCAGGGTTTATAAAATTGCACCTACCGTACTTTGGCATGAGATTTGGTTTTTCAGTCATTCCCTGAAGTCTGTCCTGGGGTTTGCTCTTGAGTTCTCTTTGTTGTGATCTCTCCTCTGGTTTCTTTAGGCTTTCATGCAGCGCTTTGTTCTTTGTTGTTTAGGAATCCTTGCGGTAATCACCAGAAATATTGAATATTATCAAAATCATGTTTGGAATAACATTAATTCCTCCTGCAGGTCTTCCAAACAAACAGCTTTGAGCAGATGTGCATCAATTATGCAAATGAGCACCTGCAGTTCTTCTTCAACAAGCACATCTTTATGCTGGAGCAGGTGATATCTATGCTTCCATTCTAGAGTTGCTATGTCTTCTTTCCATTCTATAGCTATGCAGGTTTTAAGGTTTGGTCAACGTGCAGAAATTCAGCCCGTGTGTTTGACTATGGTGAAAATTGTATTTAAAAAATTGCTTTGATGGGCAATTTTTGGGCATAAAATTAATGTGTAAGTTTTTTCGCAGAAAGCCTGTTATTCCTCATATCGCAGTTCCTTTCAGTCGGCCGTTTAAGCACATAATTCACAGGAATTGCACTTACATAAGCTGGAGTCTTTTCTAATCAAACGTTGAACAGATAACACCAATCTGTACCCTCACATGCCAAATTCAGTGTATGCTGAAGTCATGAGTTTCCTCTTTAATGCCAGAGCATTTATGAAGAATTAATAATTTGTCAGATCGTAATCAATCATAATACAGAAGTGCCTAGCTACATGACCCTTGCCAGGCCACAATGTAAATACTTATTCTATCTAGATAGTATGAATGCATATTTACTCCAGTTTTGTATGTATCAATTTTGCGCAATCAAAGTACTGTCCGGGTCAACTATATTTGTAGTTTGACTCATAGAAACTAGAGCTTGCAAACAAGCGGCTAGAAACACTACAATAACTGTTTTATGGGTGTGGTTATGAGCTAACTAAAATAGGTTGATTTATTGTCCCGTGTATTTTTTCTATCCTTTGTTGAGCAGCAAGAGTATTTGAAGGAGAAGATTCCCTGGACCAGCATTGAGTTTAAGGACAACCAGAAGTGCATTGATATGATCGGCAAGAGACCCTTTGGGATCATTCACATACTGGATGACGAGAGCAGCTTCCCAAATGTACGAACAAGAAAAATTGATGTTATTCTTAATCATTAGAATAACAATGATAAATAAAGCCAGTTCTGAGATTGCATTTCTCTGTAGGGTCCCTGTGTGATGTTTCAAGAAGAGGCTGCACTGAGATAAATTAACAACACAACTGTGAAATAAATCAGGTTTTGAGCAAAGGTCTGAGGCTTTCTAATGGGCCCACCAGCTTATCTTGACAAAGTAGTCTTGTTTAGAGGCAGTTCGTAAGTCGCTGTGTGAGCAAAGTTTTCAGTCACAGAAAATACCTAATTTATCATTTGTAAACACCGTATATTTGTTCGTCTTGTGTATTCATGTGAAAAAAATATTGTTGACAGTGACCATGTATGGATCATTATTCATCTTGTCTAAGATTTTTACAGATTTTAAAATCATTGAAAAAGTCAGCCATTTTCCTCAGAGGGTGATGAAGACAGGTATTTTTTAGAGCATCAGTGGTCATGAAAAAGATCTTTTTTTAACCCTAACCCCTAGGGTATATGTAAAATCATATTGAAATTGGAGGATTTGGGACTGCTAAGGTTTTAATTATGATATTCCATAACCCAGGCCTTCCTAATCAAATGATTTTCTTGGAAAACAAGAAAAAATACACAAAGCTGCATATGATTTAAAATTTAAAAAAAGGGAAGAAATTAAAAAACTTCTAATAAATAATTCATTCGAGGAAGTTGTCACTTTCATTGTCTTTCTGTTGGTTTTCTGTCCGTGTAGCAAATTTAACCTCTATTTATATCCCTCTGGTTTCAATTTTATTTTCTGCATGATTATTTGTAACTCCCTGTTTGACACTGTCTCTGGCCATACATCTGTCCCGCCATCCTTCACTCTCTGCTTCATATTCGTTCCCCCTCCAGAGCTCTGACAAATCCTTCATGGACAAGTGTCACTACCAGCACATGGGTAACACTCACTACAGCCGGGCCAGGGTGTCTTCCTTGCAGTTCAACATCAAGCACTTTGCCGGGCCGGTGACCTACGACATTGAGGGATTCCTGGAGAAGAACAGGGATATGCTCAAACCGGAAGTGGTCAACATGTTCATCAACAGCCAATCCCAGGTGAGGCTAGCTTTCTCCATGATTTTAACTTTACGAGAAACTTATAAGATTCTTACAAATGAGTATAATCTTAGAAATTCGAGTACAGTAAGTCAAAAGTTTGTCTGATAACTTCTTATGTCAGTATACAAGAATATTTTATTGAACTGTTTCAAAAAATTGTTCAATGCGAAATTTTAGGGAGGTTAGGTTTGCTTACCTTCAGATTAACTTTTTGGAAATTCGTACTAATTGTGATGCAGTGAGGTAGGGTGTATAATCTCCAATTTTTGCGTTTCCTTTTTGAAGCTCATCTCGGACATCTTCGTGTCCCTGAGACGGCAGGAGGAGCAGAAGGCAATGATGATGAGCAGCGTGAGAGGGGACAACAGCATGAGGAAGATGCGAGCGTCCACCGTAGCGACGCGCTTCAATGAATCACTGCTGGATCTCATTGGCACCATGACCAAGTGAGTCCCAAAAAAGCGCGTTGTCTAGATCTGAGACTCTTTTGGAAAAGAGTTGGAAGTACATGGAAGTTTATACATCGTCACAAGGCACATCTTTCTTATGCGTTCTGGGGACCAAAGACCACCTAAATTTCTTCTCAGGCAAAACACTTCCAGTGTTTGCTCCAGAGACCCATGTTTTCCCCGGAATTTCTTACAGTTAAGCCTACGCTCAACATGCGATTATTGGACGTTGTTCATTTGGAGACAGTAGTTTTTAATAGCATTTCAGGATAGCAATATTTTTTGCATTGAGAAAAACCTGAATCCTTCAGAATCCATTGGAATCCTGTTGTAGTAAACCAACAACAGATTTTTTATGCTTTTGGAACTCAAAATATTGGAACTTTAAACTCCATGAAAAGTAACAGTAGCTGCAGATGTCATTAGAATCCTTGTTGAAACTGGGTGTTGGCTTTTAAGTAGTTTTGAGCATGGCTTGAGTGTAGTCTTTGCAATTCAAGAGCTATCCAGCAGAATGATTTAAATTCCTCCATAAACTAAAAAGGGCTACCTCATCATCACAATTGTACTTTTCCCTTATTTTTCCCTTGCAGGTGCAATCCGTTCTTTGTGCGTTGCATCAAGCCTAACAACTACAAGTCGCCCATGGAGTTTGATGACGAGCTGGTCTTGGAACAGCTTCGCTACTCAGGCATGCTTGAGACCATCTCCATCCGCAAGATGGGCTTCCCCATTCGCATGGGCTTCAAACACTTTGCCAATAGGTACTTCAGCTTATTGAATTATTGACTGCACATTCTGGGCTGCCCCTTGGGTTTGAAGTCAAAGCAAGTAATACACTTAGCGTTTACTTCCCGTAATACAGCGAGAGAGACTTGGAGGAAAAAATCAAGTCACTGATTTCAACAGCTTAACCCTAAACATTATCCACACTTTTGAATCAAGTCTTCTTCGTATTGAGACTTCTATAACTACTTTCTTACTGAGGAACTTCATATTATGTAATTTAAAGCACTTGGTAAATGCCACGTATCTCCCAAGTGGTGCAAACACTATCTCCTGTCCACTCCAAATGTGTGTCTTTCTGTGGTGTTACAAAAACCTTTCCTGCTGTCTTAACGACAAGTTTCATATCTGGCTTTCGGTTTTTACCATTTGTGAATAAATATTTATCACAGGAAACAAATACAAGAAGCCACGTGGATCTGTTCTAACACGTAGATATTTTGTGGTCGTTTCCAGTCTTCTATAAAAGTCTGAATTTTCATGCTTGCCCAGGTATCGCTTCCTGATGGACCCAGTAGCATTGAGATCTACCATCAAGGAAACCTGCCGCACAATCTTAGCCAAGGCTGATCAGAGTGATGGCAAAGATTATGTGATCGGAACATCAAAGGTAGCACAGAAGAACGTTCAAGATTATGTACTGCGAATATTTGACACCCACTATAGTGGTAGACACAAATATGACACAGTCTTCCGTAGATAAGAGTCTAGGCATTGAAGTTTGTGCACTAAGTGACTCCTTGTGGGTGGGAAATAGAGAGGTTTGGAATGTCATTGCTGCCATGTAGCCTTGCTGAATTGAATTCCTTTAAAAAGATGCTATGGATTTGTGCCCATTCAGGTGAAAATTGGTTGTGTGTACTCTGCATATTATGTGCATGTACCAGTATGCATGCTCACACTGCGTCCTTCATACAATGTTTCTTGTGAACAGAGAACAAAGTCTGGTTTTAAGAATTAATACCGTGCCTTTATTTGGGCTGGCCATATTCTTCATTGCTTTGATTTGGGCCCAATTTGTGTGAAACAGTGCAAAAGTTTTACTTACCAAAGAGAAAATAATGCTGCTTGTTAAGCTCTATTTCACAGCTTGAATGAGCTGGTTTTTTTGCATGCCCATGGAGGTTTCTATTCCTATGTCACTGATTTAAGCAAATTTTTTCCATTGGGTTAAGCTTGCTTTTGCTGTGCTTGCTGCTTAACAATCTCTGTGAAACTTTTGGCACAATATCAGCTGTTAAGCAGCGCTATGAAATCATAGGTCTCGATTAGATTCTTTGTCATGTTAATGCTAGGATATGAGACTATTATTGTCAGATGGTTCTTATTGATTTACCCTGTGATCAACACCAAACTGCAGGTATTCATGCGCGAGTCCCTGGAGACCTCGCTAGAGCACCAACGCTCCCGCGTCATCCGACACGCCGCGGTCACCATCCAGAAGTGGGTGCGGCGCCACCATGCACAGCGGCGCTACCGCAGGCAGCGGGAAGCCGTAATCTTGATCCAGGCCCAGGTCAAAGGCCGGCGGGAGAGGACACGGTATGTCAAGGCCCGGCGGGGAATGATCCTGCTGCAGGCAGTGCACAGGGGCCGTAGGCAGAGGAGACGGTACCTGGAGGTAGGCGACAGGATAAGGTTGATGGGGAAAAAAAAGTGTGGCATAGAATGATATGCAAGCTCAACCGACAGAGGAGTATATGACAACTGTGTCTCGCAGTCTCTAGCATTGGCATTTATTCTTTACTCTTCAGTTGTACTGTTGGGTAAACTTGTTCTTCAAGGTTGATGTGCCCAGCATGTTGATTCTTGAAAGTAAAATTTTGCTGCAAATTTCAGGATGTGTACGAGCCAATAGGGTGCTGCCTGCCCTCTACAAAATGAGAGAAAATTTTTGCAAAAAATCAGGATCAAATTATTGCTATAATGAGCTGAAGCAGGATCAGTGTATGCAAGACTGTAGAAATTCAAGGAGATTTTGGTGTTAAAGTAAAAGAACTGTGGCTTGAAAGGTACATGTAGTTTATAGAAAATGACACATGATGACTTGACTTCTCGTTTTGTGGATGCAGATCACAACATATTGGTATTGACTTCTGGGACTCACCGGTGGATGCATGTGATGTCCCCGTCAGTGTTTAAGTCAAGTTCACTATAAATCCAGTCTTAACCGTCTTAGCACGTCCACTCAGAGGTCTTTTCATATGACCTGTCAGTCCACTCAGAAGTCCTCTTATATGACCTGTCAGTCCAATCAGAAGTCCTCTCATATGACCTGTTTAGTCCTCTCAGAAGTCCTCTCATATGACCTGTCAGTCCAATCAGAAGTCTTCTCACATGACCTGTCATAAGTAAGAGGGTAGAGAAGAACAAAAGGACTGCTGCTGTCACAGTTCATTTGAATAGCTTGTGACTTGACTTGTGACTAGATGGCTTGTGATTGACCTGTGATGGCCTTGCAAGGACTTTTGACGGACTCAACCTCCCCACCGGCGAATGACAAGAAGAACCATCAAACCATGTCATTCCTCAATCTTTTCTTGGTTCCTGCCCAGATGCTGGCACACCACAAGAAGATGCTGGCGGAGCGGGCGAGGCTGGACGCAGAAGAGCGGGAGCGGCTGCAGGCGGATGCCATCCTGCTGGCCCAGGAGGAGGAACGACTGGCCAAGCGGGCCAACATCACCCTGCTGGAGATGCCCATGGACCTGGCCCTGTGCATGGAGAAGTTGGCCGACTGGTCCAACCCTCACAGCGAGAGGAACTTGAACAAGACTGTGGGCCAGGTGGCTCACCAAGACTATGTCTTCAGCTTCCCTCTGGACGTGGATGAGTACCCACTCTCCAAGTACATCCAAATCTATTTCAAGGTAAAATGGTACAAGCCTGGTCTTCACAGACAAACCATAGATCTGCGAGTTTAGATTTCGTGGTGTCATGGTTTCTATTTCTTCAGGACTCCCTCTGCTTTGACCTAAATTAGTCACCATAATCATTGCTTCATTATGCAGTATTCTCTCCCTGTAAGTATTCAACTTAGCCATTGGCAAGGATGTAGATTTTAATAAGTTAATATTTGCAGAAATAAAAGTCATTGTGGTCCACATTCCAGAGAGGGGTGATTACAGGAAGACGTGGAGTTGCCCTGAAGCAACTAATATCACACTTCTCATGATGAAGTTTCCGTTTATCGGGATGTATATTCCCGTCAGTCTGATGAGCCCCTTGCCTGTCTTTTTCTGTGATCTTTATGAACATGTCAATCTGTGAAGCTGTTAATGGCAGCTCACAGTTCTGTAGGGAATGGAGAAGCTTTAATTGCCTTGCAAACAGCAGCCTGTCATCACCGATTATTTGTATGATTTATGGCCGGTTTTCACCTGGGGAGCAATTTGATAGGGCTGTTCCCAGCACAGGAAAATTAGCAAAACTTGGTTATCAGCCAAAATGACCATAAGTGCATGTATCTCATAGCACTAGTTCTCAGCTATTTGTACTCAGCACATGAGCTTCCGAAGCAGTTTTTACTGTCAAGTAGCTCCATAAAATTTGGCACTCTTGCTCATGATTAACCTGTGAGCTTTTCCCTTCCCTGTTTCCCACATGCTAGACTCCCCACTTTGGAGCTGCCATCGAGCCCATCAACACCGGCTTCCACAAGCTGAATGAGATGGAGGACCAGGATGCTGTCTCCACCTTCAAGCTCATCCTACGCTTCACCTTGGAGAAGGGGCTCAGTAAGGACAAGGAGATGCTCATCGGCAACTACATCGTTCAAAAGGTACTCATTGATCGACTGACTCATCCCGGGCACCGACGCTTGGATTTCATCAAGTGTCTGAGCCTAATAAATTGTCCAAATTTTTAAATTGATTGACTCCAACAAAATGACACGGCATTCACTGTGACATTTGGAATGATAACCATTGGCAGTCTATCTATGATTGCTTGTTGTGAGGTGAGGGGAATGTGGGCTCGAGGTTGAGATTTGTAATATGTGATCAGAAGGTCGGGGGTTCGAATCCAGCTCCTGGCAATCTGGTGTGTCCTTTGGCAAGCCACGCCACCTATACTTGTCCCTCCCTTTACCTTCAAGAGTGTAACTGAACACCAGCATTAGCTGGGGAATAACCTGTGATGGACCAGCGATCCATTGAGAGAGGGGATGTTAGTATTCTTTATTCTTTCATGCCGGTGAAACCTCACCGAAGAAAAACACTAGCCCGATGAGCTGCGTTGAGTCTCAATAGACTTGCTACTTTGATATGCACAAGGATAAAACTGTAGCTGGGGAACACTCTGAATGGCCTGCGCATACTCCACCTGTTCATTTCTTGAAATGTAATTGGGATCAAATGTTGAAATGTCAATTTGTGATCAAACCAAATGACATTAAAAAGGGAAGCAGTGTCGTACTTTTCTAATTCCCCCCCCCAAAGACTTTTTTTTCAAACTTCAACCTTTACAGGTTATCTGTACAGGAATGTTTCTCACTATTTCTGTCGCCGTTTGTAGGGCATCTCCAACAGGGCCCTACGCGATGAGATTTATAGTCAGCTCTGCAACCAGACCTGGAAAGCTCCAGAAGCCCTAGCCGAGGAGAGGGCCTGGCTACTTATGGCCAATTTGATGAGTGTATGCCCCCCATCCAAGAGATTCTACAAGTATCTTCTCAAGTAAGTTTGATTTGTTTAAAGTTTTGTCACACAATTGTGACAACTGTATTGAAACTAGGCCTTAAATGGCAGATCTGTAGGTTGTCACTTGGGCCCTAGCTCATCAGTTGCACCAGTGGTGGTTGTGCAGCTTTTTTTCCACCTTGTAAAAATAAGAACACTTGCATTATGTATCCCATGTACATTTTTCCCAGCAGTAAATTAGGAGCTTTTAACTTTTGACCCTGTAATGTCAAGCCTGACTCTGTAATGTCAAGCCTGACTCTGTAATGTCAAGCCTGACTCTGTAATGTCAAGCCTGACCCTGTAATGTCAAGCCTGACTCTGTAATGTCAAGCCTGACCCTGTAATGTCAAGCCTGACCCTGTAATGTCAAGCCTGACCCTGTAATGTCAAGCCTGACCCTGTAATGTCAAGCCTGACTCTGTACTGTCAAGCCTCCTAATTTATTTAAGAGCACTCCTACACAAGGACCCACTTCTATTGCTTTGGCCTTCTTACCACATTCCACTGGCAGACTTCTTGTCTAGGATTCATTACTTTATAATTAGATTTACCCTTGTTCGTCTGGCCTGTGTACCCAACCCTATTTTTACCACTTGGTCATTTTTTTCAGCCATTCTCATCACAACCACTCTTCAAGCAACATCTCTATGCGCAGTACTCCCACTCTCTCTTGTACAAGTTGTAAAATAGTTTAGAGTAAAAGGTTCTTTCTCAAAAGTTAGTACATGTTGTCAGCATTATCCTTTTTATACAACACTACTAAAGGTGCGTGTTGGTCTTGGTCCTGGTTTCCAACCTCTGTCTGTTCGTGTTGAGTGTATAATTGTCAGTAGAGTCCATTTTGATGGCAGTACACTCACTTGATGGAACGATTTGTTCTTTATGGCCGATTCATACTTGCGAAAAATCCCAAGTTTCCCTTTTGTATGAAAAAAACTGGGTCGCAGTGAGATGTGGGTTATGTGGAATAGATTTGCTGTACCTTATGCTGCAAATGAGTCTTGACTTTTGTCTCGGCATCCATACCCCATTGAATACTCCAGGTATGTCTCGGACCACGCTTACGACGGCTACAAGTCCTACTGCCACCAGAAGCTGCTGCTGTGCGACACCCAGGCCCTGGAGTTCCTGATCCCCCGCACCTACCCTCCCTGCTTCCTGGAGTGGAAGGCCAACCGCCAGCGCTGCAACATGGCACTGGTGGCCGAGCTGGCTGACGGCGAGGAGGTCACGGTCATGGCCGACTCGTGGAGCACAGGGGAGGACTTCGCCAAGAGTGCTCTCCAGAAAAAGTGGGTTGATCCCTTGCAGCCCTCACTGGGCTGGGGAGAGATTGGTTGTTGTGGAACAGCTCAAATGACTCCATTGACCTGGAGTACCAATTGGAAAGTCATGTTGTGGAATTTGAAGGCATGCGAGGCTGCGTTAAGAATTCCCGGCTACGGCTTACAATTGCACATTCGTCTATGACAGCTATTGGCTATGTCTACTTTGCCAAAGACCTGTGTTTCTGCCAGCCTCTTAAACTTTGGGCGTAGTGTGTAAAGTCTCCCATCAAAAACTATATATGTTTTCTGTATTCAAGCAAGAATTTTTTCCAGCCCTTAACGCAAATGAAATGCAACATTGTTTTGTCTCTTTAGGGGAATCACCAAAGGCTGCTACGGCTGGTCAGTGTACATGGTGGAGGACAAGACCCGTTCAGAGCTCTCCGGCTTTGACTATATCATGGATCTCATCTCAGAGATAGAGATCCCGCCCGAGTTCCCCGTCCGAGAGTCACAGTTCCTGGTCTCCTCTGAGACAGTTCAGGACCGATTTCCACAGAGGAAGCTCAAGGTTGTCCGCAAGTGAGTAGGAAGAGAATTGATCCTTGGATATTTAGTACTAGCTGATTTACTTCTATGTACCACAAGGTGAATTGCTAAAAGCAGGGAAACATCGTGCTTTTAGCAAGGGGTGGCAGAGGTAGCAATACAATAAGGAATATGTAATTTTGTTCGAGGTATTGGCTTTTTACATTTGGGGAGAAAAGGAGAGACGTGTCGCGTCTCTCCGGTATTTTAAAAGAAAATTGATCATGTGCATCAGATATTGCGTGGCCTTCCGGTACAATTTAGCCTGAGTAGTTAGTTTTCAGGCATCAAGAGCTCTTCACACAAGACTTTCTACCACAAATTAGTTGCAACATCACAGAACTCTGATTTTTAAAATGAAGTTTGAATTGTCAAAAAGTTGCTCTGTGAAATGTGATGTACCTTTTCTAAGCCACTGAATTTGCCCCATAAATCCCCATACCGTACTTTTCTCCACTGGAAGTAATGGTGTGTAAATTGTATACAAATCTGTAATAAAGAGCTTCTATCCCATCATTTTAGGGTAATAAAAAGGGATCTTATAATCTTTCACCAGCAATCTGGCCCAGATTGACGCTCTTCTGGAGATGGATCCTGCCGCTCTCAATGCCAACATCCCTCCGCCACCCTCCGGAGCCCCTCCTCCAGTGCCTGCCTCCAAGGCTTCGCCCAGCAAGCTACACATCCCCTCCTCTGCTCCCCCTCCCTCTGCCAGTGGTGCCTCCCCTGGGGTTGACCTGAGGCAGAAGAGGCCCTCGACGAGTTCCCGTCCGAGGAGTGGGGAGGTTGAGTACTCCACCTCTTTCCTGAACCCGAGAGAGGAGTTGCCAAGGCCTGTCTTCCCTGGAAACATTCACATCCCGGAGCCAGACTATGACTTGCCACCGGAGGAGGACCAGAGGTAACTGTCATTGGCTCTTCCCATGTGAACAATTTAAAAAATGTTTTGGTTGCATTCCAACTCCAAGCAGCGTAGATATTATCAAACCAATGTTTGTTCAATATGGCTTCAGTAGTTTTTGATGTGCGGTGATGAACTGTTTTAACTTTGTTAGGGTGTAGAGAAGAGACATTGTTTCTAATTTTAATCAATCAAATCAATTTTTATCCCTTTAGTAACTTTTTGTTTGAAGCTATTAACCAGTCACTCTTCATTTGTGGGGGGGGGAGATGTGGAGAGAAACATTTCTGATTTGAATCAGTCAGACCAGTTCTTATTTAAGGATCTTTAATGTTTTTTAGTTCCAGGTAATAAACTATTCCATCTTTGTTTACTGGGGCATGGAGAGATAGATGTGTCTGATTTTCACTTACTTGTTAGATTGTAGGGGTGTCAACGCAAACAAGTAAGCTCTATGATTTGTTTAGCCTCGTATGGAAGGTCGCTAATTTGGCTCATTTAAACTCACAGGTCGGTCTCTGTACGTAGGTAGAAGTCCATTTGTAGTTACCTCATGAAGTGCAGTTCTTGTACTTTGGAAACTACTTCCAGGAACAATGAATACGACGATACAGTAGTGCATCCGTCCAGCCCCATTCATCCAACGCTGAACTCAGACGCCAGCGATAGCGAGAGTGATCATAATCACTACGTGGGGCAGCGCATCAGGAATGTGTCTGTGCCCCGCAGTGAATCCAGAAATAGGCTCGATGACTACGTGGACAGGTGGGTGCGATGTGAGCTTTGTTTGACGCTTTTCCTTGGTAGAGCTGTAACCCACTGAAGAACAGTTGATTGGTGAACGGTGGCTTTTCTCAGAGTCAAGGCTTTCCCACAAAAGAGAGATTTTCATCGGTTATTTGCAAGCCTGTGTCCCTAGTTTGACACCAGCAGTAAAAATAACATATCTGTCCGGAGCCGACATGACTTGTCCTTGCCTCAAAATGTCTGAGACATTTAGTCCTACAAATAAAGATCCAGGCCATTTATGGTGTCACTCCCTCAAGTGTCCTTTTGTGCCCTAGATTGGAAAATGGGCAGTTACGGTAACTTGCCTAAGGATGTGGCAGATTATAAATAATTAGAATTGAACCCCTGACCTTCTGATCACAAGTCACAAGCCTCCATCACCAAGCCACGAGCCTCCACCACCAAGCCATGAGTGTCCATCACCAAGCCACGAGCCTCCGTCACCAAGCCACGAGCCTCTATCATCAAGCCATTCTCTCATCCTGCTTCCAGTTGCAGGAAATTGCACACTCTGATGTATTTAGGCATGTGTGCATTGAGCACACATCTTTGGGAAAGTTAGCCTTTCTGTCAGCCTGTCTCTCCAAACTTGGCATTTCATGAGAACAGTACATGTATGTCTGATTTTCAGAGAATCAGAATACTTGACAACAACATCAGTGAAAATCCTGAGGGGGACAACATAATCCGACCTCCTGCCAAGTCTTCAGTATACTGCAAATACTCCTCGACTGTTTTTCTGTGTTTCTAGATTGTTCAACCCTGTCTTGGAGATGAACGGAGGGGCAGACCTCGCCAACGCAGCCAAGTTGAACAAGGCCTTGAGGGGTGGGGGACGAGGCCCCACTCCCACCCCCACACCAGTCTTTGTTCCTCCACCTCCCCCGTTGGCAACAGGTCTTCCAGCTTCGTCCGTGCCTATGCCAGGTTGGAAAGTTTTCATGAAGATTTCTGTATTAGTAATTGTTCAAATGAATTGAACTGTGATCACAAAGGTACATAATATGGTCATTTTTCATGGAAGCATCTTGAAATCAATGTCACCCACTAACGTGAATTACAATAAGTGGTACATTTTAATTCACATCCACCATTTTTACGTGTACTTACATCTTCTATTCTTCAACATATCTATCCGTCCACCCTCTAACCATGTGTCAGTTGCTGTAAACCACTTGCTGCCGAGTGGAATTCGAAGTTGCATGACGTAAAACTAGGAGATTTTCAAAATATTCTGTTTTCAAATTCTTCAAAAAATCATAGCTTCATTTACGGGACGTCTACACCAATATGAATAACTGTCTGGTGGCTACTTTAATCTGACAGACAACATCTGTTGATGCCTGAGTATTTCAGTCAGGCCTGCTGCCTTGTAAAAAGATCCCAGATTGTGTAGTGTTATGTAACTTTTTTGTTCCTGAAACTGGCATAGAGCAATGCTGGCATCTTTTCAATAGGGGCCGAATTAGCGTGCAGCAGTATTGTATCGCTCATCATTAGAGCGCTTGAGTGCTTTTGTCCCCGGTGGTAATCCGCTCGTGCTGAATGCCACAAACAGAGGTATAATCTCTCAAAATATCTTTCTCCACTATCGACAACTGATAAAAAAAGGTTGGCAATTCCCAACAGCTCGGTCTTTTGTTCCAAGTATGGTCTTTTGTTACAAGGCCCAGCTCTTTTGTCCAGTTTTAGGCTTCCCGGTTTTGTGCATAAAGCCTATGTGCCTGAAACTGGGCTCCCCGGCAGCATATGGTTAAGGCACTGACGGAGCACACCAATGAAATATGTGTGCCAGTGATTTGAAAGGGCATACTTACTCTGTGAAGTCTTCCCCTGCTCCTAGGAACTCTTTCTGAGACAGTTATTTTATTTCTCTTTCTTTTGATATTTTGACCGTACCGACTTCAACTTCTAGGCGAACCTCACCAGTCTCCTGTTGCACCTGTTAACTTACCTCCTACTGGTCCAGGACCAAACACACCACCTAATATCCCAGCACCTCCTCCACCACCTCCAATCCCCAATTTACGTTTCCCTCCCCCTAGAACACCAGCAGCTGCGAACCAACCACCTAATATCCCAGCACCTCCTCAGCCAGCTGCAATCCCTAAATCACGTCCCCCTCCACCCGGTAACCCAGCAAATGCCAGTCCGTCGCCTAATATCCCAGCACCACCTCCCCCACCTCCAATTCCCAAATCAAATTCCACACCACTTAGTAACCCAGTGAATGGAAACTTGTCACCGAAAATCCCACTTCCTTCAATTCAATCCTCTGGTGTTCCAAAACCAGCCACCCCAGCACCAAAGGGTCTGGTTCCCGTCTTGACATCTTCTCAACCATCTCCTGTCAACCCAGCATCTGTAAACCTTACAACAAACCCTGCACCAGTTAAACCAGCACCCAAACCAGCATCTGTAATCCCAACACCAAACCCAGCGCCCAACCCGGTACCCGTTATTCCCACGCCCAAGTCAGCACGTGTTAATCCAGCACCAGAATCTGGATCCATAAACCCAGCATCCAAAGCAGGATCCATGAACCCAGTGCCCAACCCAGCAAACATTAACTCAGCACCAGTCAACCCTGCACCCAACCCAGCACCTCTTAACTCAATGCTTGGCAGTCTTGCTCCTACCCTCTCTACACCTGTTACCCTAGCAACCAGTTACCAGGTTCCTATCAGTCATTACTCAGCACCTCTTAACCAAGCTTCATTTGTTTACCCAACATCTACTATTAACCAAGGAGCCACTTTTCCACCCCTCACGCCTGGCTTTGCCAACATCCAGGGAACACCCATGCAGACCTTTCCACCTACTGCAGTGCCTTCTGCAACAGGTACAGATCTTCCCACCAACCCAGTAATAATTTTTCCCGTCTGTTTCATTTCTTCAAATAATTATTTGAAAAGTAGGGCAACGTTAAGCACAATCCCACTTTCAAGTATTGTGAAAAGTCTCCCAGCATGCGAAAAATGACTTGGTTAGAAGTTCCCTTGTCACCCATTCGCCCGTAAAGTGCTTGTAGCTTCATTGGAAATACAACTTAAAACTTTAATCTTTCATGAAATTCATTCATAAATTAACAAACTTTGAATGATTTGACAAGGTACATTTTCTCAATATATCCCCATTTTGTGTTAAAATGTAATTATGAGTTTGTAAAGTGCTGTCTTGCCCATGTTCTGTTACCAGTTTTGTACGTTTTGGGTATTGGACAGTTCTTTCTAACGTCAAACTTTGACAATGAGCTGAAAAAATTTCAGTTTCCTCATGCAACAAAAAGTGCTGATTCACAAAGGATAGTGTGAAATACTATACCCACAGGTATAAGATGCTTTGCCCCATTAGGTTGAAACTTAGCATATGCATAAAACATGAGTGTCTAAATGTCAGTAGAATTCATCCATCTGTGGCCAAGATTTGATGTCTGATGTCGAATAAAAGACTCACCATATCACTTAAATGGCTGAGTTATCTGGAATCATAGTAGCCTTCCTCGAAGATCAAAGCATATATTGTTGGATCACTAGATTTTAGTCAAACGTAGCCCTAACAAAGTATTGACGTAGTAGATGTAGCATAATCCCCTAACGCCATGTTTCAATGACTAACGCATGATGTAGGTTTACCCTCTGTGGCCACCACTCCGGCCTACACTCCAGGGATATTAACCCAGCCCACCCTGCCCACTGTGCCAGCCGTACAGTCGGTACCTCCTGTCTTGCCCCTGGGTGTGCCCGCGGCGGTACCACCTGCCATGCCGGCTACTATGCCTTTGACAGGTAAAGACCGTGAACTGGACCGCATCTTTCTTGCGGCTGGGCTTCTGCCAAGCAGTCTGATGTACACAGCATTACACTGGCCAGTGTCGGGGCTAGAAAGTTCAAGGTCATGGTCTTAACTTGATTTTTATATGCACTTGCAACTTTCATTAGATTGTGTTTAAGGTTCTTAAGGCTTTAGGGCATCAGTTGTGGAAATGCAACACGTAACTGATAACAGGGCACATTGGCAATGCTTTGTCCCTAGTTTGCCTGAGTGCATTAACACTTCAGGACCCAAATTCACAGAGCTGCTTAAGAACCAGTTGCAAGATATATAGGTATAGTGCAAAGTTTTGGCTGGTAACCTGTTTCCTGTAGTGAGAAATGCTTTCTTTGTGTAACAGATTTGTGTTCTTAGCAGGAAATTGGTGCAAGGTTTGTCCAGGTTTGCAAAAAATTCAACCCTCAAAGAGCTGGGGAGAGACGGTCCTTCCCTCCCCCCAAAAACTCAGCTGTGCCAAGCTGGATTTTTAAAAATTAGCATCATGTTAAGACCACAAAGGTGAAATTTGAAGTCAAACAGACATACGGTTTCGTTTGTCATTTTGAAGTTCAAAGCTATAGAATCAAAGTGAATATGCCCATGCACAGTTATGTGCGTAAAAGGCATTAGGGCAGGAACCAACCTGTGAACCAACACACGCACATACTCAAATGCCCTCAAAGAGTTACTATAAAAAGCCCTAAAGGCTCAGCTCCTTAAAAAAAATGCAATGCAGGGATTTGCAAAAAAATGTTAAATGGGGGATGAATTCTGCCCCTCCCTGGCTAAGATTGCTTTAACCTCAAACGTAGTGATCAAATTATTGAAGAATTTTTGAGGTGTTTATATGAACTATCAACAGCTACATAATTGTGTGTGTCCATTCTACACTCCTAGTGCCCACGCCAGTTGTGGTGCCACAGCAGCCTTCCTTGTTAGAGGCAGCCATCCAACAGCAACAAGCAGCACAACACATGGCTGCTCAGCAAGCAGCCGTACAGCAGGCTGCCGCCCAACAGGCTGCCGCTCAACAAGCAGTAGCGCAGCAAGCCATTGCCCAGCAAGTCGCAGCGCAGCAAGCGGCAGCACAGCAGGCTGCCGCCCAGCAGGCTGCCGCCCAGCAGGCTGCCGCCCAGCAGGCTGCCGCCCAGCAGGCTGCCGCCCAGCAGGCTGCCGCCCAGCAGGCTGCCGCCCAGCAGGCTGCCGCCCAGCAGGCTGCCGCCCAGCAGGCGGCCGCCCAGCAGGCAGCAGCCCAGCAGGCAGCAGCTGCAGCAGCAGTGCACCAGCAGCAACAACGACAACAGCAAGAGGCCCTCTTACAACAGCAAGCAGTCATGAACCAGCAGACCATTGTGGTGAGTTGCACAAATGTCGCATGCAGAACTCTCCTTACATATGACTGTCCATGTTCTGATGTGTATGTTCTACTATGTATGCCCTCTGGATGCAAATTTTGTTACCTTAATACCTTTGTGGTATTCAGAAATTTTTTTTTTTGATTGCATTGTGTAGTGCTGAATGTTGTTTTGGCTTTTCCACCAAAGTTGTAGCTGTGATGAAGGTTTCATGCACTGTGCAATGACTGATTTGCATCAGGTTTTGGTGTGTCTGATGATTTGTGATATGGTAGTATGCTATCTTGTCAGTTACATCATGGTGAACATTTCAAGAGGTAACATGATTGGTTTCATCAGTTTGCCCATGTGTTGATTGATAGGCCCAACAGATGCAGTTGCAACAGCAGCAGCAAATGATACAAGACATGCAGTCCAAGCTCTCAACTGCTGCACCCACACCTGCCCCTAGTTCCCTGAAGAGTTCCTTAACCAAATCCCATGATGCCCAGGATCGCTCATCCAGTGTCGGAAGTCCGCCCCTGTCCCCGCTGAAGAAAAAGATTCTCCACTTTTCCAGCAAAGTAGTCGACATCCCAAGAGAGTCTTTTGATGGGGCCACCACCAGTGAGATGAAGCCAGATAGCCCCATGCAAGCTCCTCCCATCCCACCGGTCAAGTCCCCCAAGCCAGGCTCTGTGCCACCTCCCCCACCCCTTCCACCCCCACCCCCTTCCCCTCCCTCCGACTCCAACGGGGCCAGGGTCCGGACCCGCAATGGGAAGGTGGTCCCACTGAAGGACTCCTATCGGGCCGACACTGTCCGCATCGGCCGGGTAGTCTGGCCTCCACGGAAGGAGGAGGAGCACCGGTCGTCCGGCGTTCAAATTGACTGGGACAAGGATGCTGTGGCAGCGGACGCAGGCCAGCTCGATGAGGATATCATCAGCAGGAACTACCAGCCCACCAGTGAGATCAAGAAAGCTATCCAGGCCGCCCACAATTCCAAAGGGGCCCCTCAGGAGGCCTCACTAGAAACGCTCATCAGTGCCCGAGCGAGGCGGCTCCAGGGCAAATTTGACGACAGCACCCCTAAGCCAATGCCCCCCCTGCCACCCCCACCATTGAAATCCGCACTCAAGGCACCTCCTCCTGCCAGGCAGAAGAAACTGAGTCCACAACCCTCCCCCAGCAAGCTCAAGATGGAAGATGTGCATGCGGAGGCCATGGCCAAGATACGTGCAAGGAAGGCCACCCTAGAGCGGCAGAGCCCCAAGGGTCTGCCTCCCGTGACCAAAGCACCGCCACCCCCAGTCACTCCATCCAGCTCCCCTACCCGAGCACCCCCAGCACCCCCAATTCCCCCAGCTGCCCCAATTACCCCAGCTTCCCCAGGTCCTATAGTACCTCCACCGCCCCCTCCACCCATATCAACCATTCCGTCCATCCGAGCCAAGGCAGAGGCCTTCCAACAGTCACAACCTGTCACGCGATCAGAGAGCAAACGGGATGTTCCCAAGAGGATCCTACCCAAGAAGCAGGAAGCACACAATGAGGCAATGCACATCTTGAAATCCCATGGCCATCGTGTCCGGACCAATACTGACCACTGGCAGGTAGGCATTCTTCTGGTATATTTAACCTATTATTCCAGAGTACAGTCTTTTGTTGCAAGGCCCGACTCTTTTGTCTGATTTCGGGCAGCCCGGCTATGCGTATAAACCCAAGGAGTCCGGATCTGGAAACCCCGGCAGCAAGTGGTTATAGCGACATAAGAAGAATGCATACACCCATTAATGTGTATGGCTCCAATCATAGATGCACTTTACACTATTTTAAAGTGCACCCCTAAAGAAAACATGTTTTCTCTGATTTTATCGTTCAAATAAATATGGAAGCATCCAAATGGAACGCAGTGTCTTTTGTCTTCAGTTGAAACAATGCACAAAGGTTTATCCACAATGAACCCATAGCAAGGATTCCCCTCATTTTCTCCAAATGACTCTATACATTCAGAATTAGCACCTTGGCATGAACAGAAAAAAAGCCCTTTTTAGCTTATAGTTGAGCTCTGAAGACAAATGACATTGCATTTGATTTAGATAATTCCATACTTATTTGAACAGATAAAATAAGAGAAAACATGTATTCCTTAGAGGTGCTCTTTAAACCTCACGGGTCGAAAAATAGCACTAATCCTTGACAGATCTAGAGTTGAACATTTAAAAATGTACTCTGGTTCTGCTTAAAAGTTGTGGACCATTTATGTATATACAAATATATCAGAACTAAGACCCCTTTGTACATTTTCATAAAATTTTCATGTTATGAATGGCAGAAAATGTACATTAATATATTTGGTGAAACCACAATTTTATGTACTAGTCCTTTTGTCAAACATTTTCCTGCCAAATTGTTGACTCTGGTGGATACATTACATGTATATGTTGCAACTACTAAAATACAGCATGCGACTTCTCTGTTTTTCACTTGGTGTCTTCATAAACAAAAGAAGTGTGCCAATGATTGGAACTATGCTTTCATATTCCCTATGTCAATTTAAAAGAGAAGAGACTTTTTTTTGCTTTAAGCAGTAATTGACTGGCACAAGGGATCACAAAATCCACAGTCTTTATGCGTTTGCCTAATTATCAAATTGCAAAGTCGCTGGGCAGCGTGTAAAAAAAAATCTCAGCCCATGGAGTTGAACTTAATGAAATCCACTTAGCCGTGCAATTGAATGTCTCCATGGGAAGCACATTGGATCAGTGTACCGTGAATGGCAGTACTGATGTGAGTAAAATTGCAGTTAAAAGTGCGGTGCCACTGCAGTTATCATGTCCCCTCGGATTAGTCTATTGATATTCAAATCCTTAACTGTTACATCAGTACAAACATTTTCCCTTATTACTGCAAACCTAGTGAGAAGACCCCAAAAGCTTATAAAAAATAGATGCAAACTGTAGTTTTTACACTGATTCGTTGAGCGGCAAAGTGTTTAAACAAAACAACAGCAAGAAAGGCTGGGTATCATTTGTTTCAGTGAACTGAAATGAGCAACACTTTGAAGGGTATTAATTATGTATGTATGTAGATAAATCTATTTAGCGATTTTGCATTACTGCATATAAACTGCACCGTACAGTAGACTCATTTTTTTGTCATGTTTTCTTGCTCTGATTTCATATTTTCGCACAATAATCCCCCCCAATAAAATCTTCAGGCTGTGGGTTGCCAATGGGTAATGTCTGGAAACAGGAAGGGTCGTATGTCTCTTTAATTGTATTGCCTGGGTACAAGAAGAATAAAAGCATATTGCTACATGGCAGCACCCTGGAATGTTAACAAACATGGAGGAATATTCAATTACTGCTCAAACAATTCTCCAAAGAGTGTTCATGGTGTTTGGCTGTATTCCAGAAATTAATTGGCCTCCATATCTTGCCTTTATTGAAAGTTGACAATTTCAGCCAGACTAGTACCACCTTCAATGAGTTACAAACTAGAATAGGTTGACAGAAAAAAGGTTACAGGAAGGAAGGGTATTAAAAAAAGAACTAAAGGATTGAGGTAAAACAGAGATTGTATTGGACATAGGATTTCTTCAAATGTGTTTTAATTGATATATTTTTATTATTGATGGAAATAAGTATTGCACAGTCCTCAGGACATGTTGGAATTGTACTTAATAATAAAAATTATTTTTCATGAGAGTGTACCATAAATCTCTCCACCTGTAGGCATTCCAACATTTCAAGATAAGTGACAAAACGATGGATGTGAGTATTTTTTGGGGGGTGTCTTGTGTGTTGTTTGCCTGCTTACCTGCCTGCCTGCATAGATTTGGCCTTAGCAACACCAGTCCACGTTTATTCAGTTAGTCCAAGATGTTAGACGTGCCACTCCACGCATGCATGGCTTCTGTCATTGTACGTTGTGTGCATTAGCTTATTCAACATACATGTACTTGTACCATGACTTTGTTTAAAACTGCTTGTAGAAATTGCAGAAAAATCTTGGTCTGATGCAGGATCAGTTGATCATATATATCGTTCCTTAGAAATGCTCATTTGGGCATGCACTCACAGGACTTTTGAGTTTTGAATTGTGTGATTACTGTTTTTTCTCAAAGTGAAATGGGATCACTTCGTACTAGAGTCTGTGCCAGATGTGATCCTGTGATTTAGTGTATCTCTAGAAAAAGGGTTAAAGGAAAGCATTTGAACTTCACATTCAGATATTCTCAGAAACTTGTCTGATAGCTTGACCGAAATGGAGGATATTAGAAACAAGAATATTAGGATTTACAGAAAAGCACTAAGAAGTTTGAGTACCGCAAGTAGTCAGTAATAGTCCCATCCAAACAACCCAGTTCACTATTTGTGATATTTCATTGTCTCTCACATCTGCTATTTGTCGCATCTGTTGTTGTGTTCATGGTCTGTGCTGTCTTGTACAGTTATTTTCATGTCTCAATGGTTCCCTCTGCACTTAATCCTGAAAAAGGCTATTGGTAACCAGTATGCGACCCATATGCCCCAGAAAGTGGCTCTGAATGGTGTGCTAGATAGTACAACCGTCCATTGTGTGGGCGATGTTTGTTGAATTATAAATATAGTCATGGACTTGTTGCCTAAGATACCCTGGAATTAATGATTACATCACCTCATCTATTTTGAGCTAAATTCTCAGTGGTTGATATTAATCATCACATGATGCTGATATTTACTGTGTGCTTGTGGAGCTAGGACATGTATGCATAGTAGACAATGGCACAGCTTGACCTAGGTGATAGTCTGCTTTGATTGCCCATCGGGAAGAAATGCACCACCTTGTTATCGCGCATAGTTACACATGAAAGATGGCAGCATGCACTTGTTAATCAGCACTTTCCAGCACTTTGTAATTCCGAACTGGAGAATAATGCCTGTAGTGTGGAGAAAAAAAGAGTGTAATAGCAAAGGAATATATGTATGAAAGACAGTCAAACAAAAACAGAGTTTTCAATAATTGATATTATCTCCCCTCAGAAACTGAAGTTGACAACTTTCAATTCCTTGGAAACAAATACTAGTGATATCCGCCCTGAGACTGTGTCATATCTGTTTACATACTTGTACTATAATGCCATGGAAGTAGCAAATAAATTCTGTTGTTTAATTTGGTTTCCTAGACGTTTGTCTGATTACCTCTTTGTCCGACGTTTTACCAAATTTGGTATTTCCATAGAAGTATTTTTCAAAGTGCTTTATTCACATGTGTGTATTATTTCATGCAGAATCACAATTAGAGACAAGATTTCTCACTTGCATCGTTGACATCTTTGTTTCACTACATGCAGCCCGCTAGTGTCTACGGTTTTACAATACAAGAGAAAAAAGGAAAAAGAACCAAAAAGTGTGCTCAGAAAAACTTCCCATTCAAATACATGTGTTCTGAACACTCATTAAGACCATAGTGTTCTGCATCATTGAAACATATCAGAAACTTTAAAATGATGCATGTATGCATTGTTCCCTTGTTATGTGTACATGTACATGTACCTGCATGTTGTAAAATGGCATGACATGCATATTGTGGAATCCGTTTGTGTGCGACTGATTGTCATGTGAATGCATGTACGGTTTTTGCCTGGCCATCAGCTGCCCATGTCAAATAATCGGTCCAGCCTTTGTCTTTTGCACCATTAAGGAGGCACTCGTGCACCAGTTCTCTACTAGAACATCGTATTGTAGTCAAGTTCTGTTCTAGTACCAGAGTTCTCTTTCCACCAAATATTGAAGTGGGTAAAATTGAATAAGCTTGAGTACATAGGCATTTGATGGTAAATGCACAAAGATTACAAACTATTTGTAAAACTTCAGATTCCCGGTTTCGTTAAATTTAAGCTTTAAGGAGACAACTACTTGGAAAGCCAAGTACTTTTGCACTAAAAACTCCATATGACGGTATAAAAGAGTGATATCTGAAGTCATCATTTTACTTTCTGTAATCTTTAATGTACCATTAAATACCCATACAGGTACTCCAGCTCTGCTCCCCTGAAGTAGTTAAATATTTGGCAGAGAACTTGGTACTCGAAAAGCAATCGACTACAACACTGTGGAAGATTTGTATCTTAATCTGATTGCTGATGTTCTCTTATTGCCTATGGATCATATTGGTGGCCAAAGTTTACCCTTGCAGGAAGGGTTTTGCCCAAACACACATTGTCCCATTACGGTTGAAAGTGGTGATCTTTTCATGTCGCATTTGCTGTTGGTGTTTTGATAATTGGACAGGTCTGTGCAAAGGTGGGAATTGGTCATGCTGTTACCAACTTCATTATCATTCATAATTCATAAAAGACAACAAGTTGGGGGGAAAATAAAAGTAGAAACGACAGATAACAGACCCCAGAATTAACCAGTTTTCCCATTTTTCACATTTTCTAAAAGGAATTACAAATAGTAGCATGACTACATTTAAGTTGCATCTTTGCCCAGCTTTGAAAGTTTATAAAAGGCCTACTTCTTGAATTAGTTTTTTGCTTCAGTGCTAATGGCCACCTGTAGTTTTAGCAGCCACCCGGCAAAAATTGACAGTGTCATAGCAAGAGGAAGGTCTGTAGTCAGTTTTCGATTGGATTTTGTTACACACTTATCGCACAATAGTTGAAATCATCAGCATCCCAAGATGAGCTGCTTGTGGTGTTACAGAGAAATCCAGGTTAAGTTTAAAAAAAAAAGCTGGTTCCACACGATATCCAGATCATGCAGGCTTTTTTCTGTTGATATGATGGTAGGTTATAATTATCAGCAACTTAACTTGACCACTTGCACTGATCTTTAGCTGGTAGCCTGCATTTTATCCTTCCTTTGGTGATCCTATTTGTTAACTGACATCTCTTTCTTTAATTTTTATTAGGAAGTTGTGGTTCCCCTCATGTCATCCGAGGACATGGAGAAGCTGGAGTCACCCCACACCAAGGCCTTTGCCTCCATCCCTGATGTCTTCTACACGTACAACCGAGTGCGCTGGCATCTGCACATCCGCAAGGAGGTCAGTGGATAAGTGATCAGCCCATTTTCTGCTTATTTATCTAAGTGGCTTATTTATTTAAGTGGAAACTCATTTCTTAGAAGGTCATCAGAACCAGACTTGGCTTTTATATGGCTCTTTCTGGTTCATTAGTGTGGCATCGTTGCAACTCAAACTGCACCCACAAGCGTGGTAAAGTGTTTGAACCATTAAATCCAAATGTACATTAATGGCTCATTAGCCAGTGGATGCTGGTAATCTGAGGACTCTGTACGTGTTTGATACACAGTTACTAATGAACCGGATAAAGGTTAAGTGGGAAGGAGTCTCCAAGCTTTCAAGGAGCTATCTATAGCCTTCTCCCCCCCCCTAAAAAAATCTTTTCAGCCAAAGTAGAGCTAACTCTTCCCTATTGAATCTGCAGTTTTCAAAATTTCGCCCCTCAAGTAGCTTCTCATTTTTGATCAAAATTCCACATAATTCAACAATATCCGGGAAATTTCCATTAATTTGATATGTTGAAATCCTGCCTTAAAATTGATGGATTTTCAACTGCCTTACCTATCAGGACGGTCTAATGCATTCCCAAGGGATATCTGGTCTCAGGGTAGAAAGTAAAAAAGAAGAGGCTAGAAATTGGACTTTAAAATGTTCATGTGGAATATATTTAATGATTATCTATTGCTCTGAGTTAAGTTAAGAACACGACTCCATAGATTTTCTGTCTATAAAGTACCTATGCGATGTGGCATGTTGCAGTCTATTTTGAAAATAGAACAAAATCTGGGTTTCAGTCACATCACATAATGCAGAGGGACCACGTTGACAAGAACCATGCGTTGTGATTGTGGGAAAGATGGATATAACATACTGTGGTGGTTGTATCTTTTGCGTAAATTGACGCAGGTGTTCACACCTGGGGAGAGACTGGATAACCCCATGGCCCAGCAGCTTGTCTTCTATCAGATAGTCACCGACACATTCAGTAAGAGTTGCATCCGTATGAGTATGGAAGAGAAACGACAAGTCCGAGCAGTACTGGGTGAGTGATGCTCAAGGGTCAAGCAGGTCTTCTTAAATCATCTGCTTCGTTTTCACCAACGACATTGTCACCATCATTAAGTGTTAGTTTTCCCTGTCAGTAGTCCCCCACAGGGTTTCCATTGTAATCACAAAAACAAAAATGTTGTTATTATTCATATCAGACTTCCTTATACCGTTAGTGTGGTGAGTGAAAGAAGGACCCAGATCAGGACAGTGTGATTTTTTATATTAAGCTCTTGAATTATTTGGGCTAGTTCTTTAATAATCAGGAGCAAGGAAAAACATACTTGTTGATCAGTGAGCAAAGCTTGGCACTTGCATGTCATCAGGTTTGCATGCCAGCAGGCACACAGCTGTCACCAGGATTTTTTCCTGGGAGCGAGAAAGCATTTTTCTTCCAGAGGAGGATCGCGAAGCTCTCATCAGCAACAAACTGAAAAGGGTAAATTTTGAGGGCTGTTTTCAGGCAAATTAATGATTTTCGTTTCTCACCTTTCATTTCTCTGTTTTATTTGGTTTATTTTGCATTTCTTCTCTCACCCTTTTTCATTTTTGACTTTAAATATTTTTTTTGGGGGGGGGGTGTATGGATTGGTCTCCTTGCCTCCACCCTCAGTGCCCATATTATATGACTTTTTGGGGGTAAGTGATTACCAGAATTGATTGCACTCACTCTAACAATGATAAACACTTCTGAATGCAATATAATACAGCTTGTACAGCAAATTCAAGCGATCCGATATTTATATCTTTGGTAATTTAGGTCGTTTTCCAATACTCAACTTCGTCTCGGTCTCAAGCTGATTGTAGGCCTGAATCATTTACATTAGATTGGATTACTCTAATTTCTGGTTCTCTGGCATCTTATTTGATGTTTTGTGGCACTATTAGATTAATTACTGCACTTACAGCTTCAAAGTCAGGTAGTAAAAATTACAGTTGAAGCCTGAAATGGAGCCAAAGTTGAGTATTGGAAAAATCAGGTTTATAGAGGTTCTGCATGACAGCCATTTTTCCAATAAGAGCTTTTGTTCACAGGGATACACATGAGTAGACCTTTTTGTACTGTCCCTCCACGCCAAAAGCAGGTACCAGAAAGATCATAAGTAGGAGCTTTATATTCGGGTTTTGCCTGAAATTGTTCCAGAATTTGGCCTCCCAGTCTTAACGACTTGCAGTTAGTTTTATTATCCTGTAGAGACCCAGAGCCTCTCCAGAAGGTGAGGGCAGCCATTAGAGTGACCCCACTCAAGGACAAGAAGGCATTCCTGGCCCTGGCTGGGTATTTTCTTTTGAACAGCAAATCTTAAATTAATGTGGTATTTAATTTAGAAAAAAAAGAAACTACATTTTCTTTTTTCAAATGCTGAAATCAGTGAAGAAACAGCAAAATTCGGTATTTCTGTTTTCTGTTCCTCCAGAAACAAACCTCATCGGACCATGGTCAAACCAACTATTTATAGTCCCAAGGGTTGGACTGCCAGACTGCCTAGCCACTTGTGATAATTACTTTCCCAGATAAAAGTCCCTCCCATGGGTGTACAAAATCCTGGTACAAAAAGCCTGAAACGTTTTAAAGAGAAATTCATGTCATGTGGCTGCCATGCAGAGCCTATAGTATTGTCCCCATCATTACTGATAGCTATTACATTAACTGTGTTGCCACGGTCACTACTTTTATGACAGTTGTTGCTATGGTTACAGCTGTAGCCATTATCATTTCTTAGACTGAAACTGCAAAAAATATTGCCTTTCATACCACAGTTTTGTACTATTTGTAAGGGATTCTATTCTTCACCAGACAAAAAGAATTTCATATTTTTAAGATCTGGTATAATTAAATCACATTTCCGCCTGTCAGATATCAATAAGACACATTGGTGAATACTGTTTAAAAACAAAAAATGAACTCATGATAAAGAGGAATTATTTCATCCCAAGATACATGAGGTTGATGTTTCCTGTGAATTTTTCTAGATACCCATGGTGTCAATCCGCAAAATGCAGCTCAGAAAACCAAAATGCGCAAGGACGTCATTGAACTGGTTCGCAAATTCCCCATCTACTTCTCCAGGTTTTTTCCTGTGACGGTAAGATATTCATTTATTGTACAAGAGGATTGACTGACAATGTTGCTTGGCCAACAAAAAAGCACAGCTCAGTATAATTGAGAATCCTTTGTGTCTATGCTGTTTCAATTCCAACTTAGCCTGCTGTATTAGAGAAAATCAATATATTGCTTTCAGTGTGGATGGTGTACTGATTGTAGATGGGAGTTTTCCTGAAAATGATTCTTTGTCCAATTTTGTGATGTTGTCAAAGGTTTACTTTGGCAGGATTCCTCTCATTTCTAAGCAAGAACATTTCATTCGCTACTCAGCAAACATCAATTAAATTAAATTAAATAAATATGTTTAGGCCTACACAATGACATTCCAAATATAATACAAACTGTTTACTGTCCACTACACAGTAATGATAATGATCTGTGCATTATTTACAAGATGGATTAATCCCATTTATTGATCTCTTTGAGCTTGCCTGCCATCGAAACTGGAACATGCAACAACTTTTCCTTTGTTGCCCATATTTTAAGTCCCCAAACCTTTGTCATTGCAAGCTATTTGGGGAATCTTGGGCACAGTTTCTCACCTGCAATTGTCACCTTAAACAGTGGTCACTGATCCTACAGAGCATTCCAGATGGGGTGTTATTTCATTTCATTGATTTATGATGATTTAAACTTTCTGAAGATGTCAAAGACAATGAAATTACTTTTTCCAAATGACCAATTTTGCTGAGTTGTGGCAGCAGTTTTAATCATTCAATTCTGGACTGCCTTGCTTGCAGGGGGGCAGAAAGAATCCCCGTGTGGAGATTCTAGGGGTCTCAGAGAATGGCATCAGTTTGGTCAAGCGTGAATATGACCAGACCAAAGACCAGCTGACCCTGCTGGACCACTTCAGGTAAGCACATGCAGCACAGATGGGTGTGATGTCACAGTTCTGTATGAGGTCATCAGTAACTCCATAATCTCTTTTTATATTATACACATACACTGTAGATGCAGTTGTGGACGAAAATGGTGAAGCAATGAACCACGCTGGAGCTAGAGAGACACGTTTTACAGTGTTTTCTGTTTTAAAAAAAAATTTCTTAATTTCTTTTGGTTGTAATAATAAGTTAGACAAATTAAGCATAACGGTAAATAGAAAAAATTCTTGAAAGAAAAGGGGATGAATTTTGTTTAATTGTCAATATATTTCAAAGTTAAAACCTCATACTTGATCCTTGCCAGATACTGTTGAAATCTTGTCTAATTTAATTGACCATTTTCTGAATTGAGTTGTCTGTTGTTTTGTACTGTCAGATTTTTTTCTGTAACCTATATATACATATATATATATATACATGTATTTTGTGTGACACTATGAATTAGTTTTTGAAACGTGCTAATCTACTAACTTCTAAAAGTGCTATAACTTATAGCACCAACTTTCCTAACACAACTGTTGAGAACTCTTCATTTTTATTGGCGAGTTGTAATATTTTGAGTGGAGATTTTGGAATAATTCTCTCGAGTGTAGGCTATTGAACCCACTTGGCAAATAACAATTTTATATATGCTTATCGTTCCCGTAACAACTGTCAGGGTTTCATCAGGTGCATAATCAAGGGTCTCTCCCATGCCATTTTTAAACTACAAACCTTTGAAGATGCACCTTTGTGTCTCACATGAAATTTTTGTTTCAGTATTTCAAGTGGTCTTTTGTTGTCTGTTTGGTTTCAATGCTAATGAGTATGTCCATATTTGTGAGGAAAACTGTGATGTCATCTCAGGAAGAAGTCTGCAGTGTTACATTTGTTTGTGCACAAAAAACTGCTGGATTGTCATGTTTTGCTGGCCCTTGTTTTCTTTGGTGTGTCATTGACATGTAAGCCTACAGCAGTAAGCCACTTAGGAACCCTTTCTCTGAACTGTTTGCTTTAAATAAATTGTGGGTTCACAATTTGAACAGAAAGACCTATGCACTGAACTATGCCCTCCCTGAATGACATTACAGGAAGAACACTGTTAGTTGTCCAGGAAAGCACTTTTCAATACATTTAACCAAAAGGGGATATCAAACAATTTTCATACATGAAGTAAAGTGTATTGGAGCAAAAAATTGTGTCTGAGAAGAATTCATCAAAGTTACCCTGAATAGGTTGCACTAATCTTGTTTCTCACAATGAGATACAATTTCTCAAGTATGCTGAAGTTTTACAGTTCTCAATCATCTTCTGGTTGATTAGTTTAACCCCAAACAGTCTTGTCCATGTTCATCAGAGAGATGCCTTTCTCTATGTGTGCTCTATAATCAGCCCATGCTGCTTAACACAGAGTTTCAAAGTACCTGCAGTTGTCAGACTGGATAAATCTGTCCTCATTAACCTGTGCCCGGATGGCATAGTTGAGGTGGCACATCGTCTGATTGGTCGTCTGGTTCCGGTGTATGTTGAAGGAATGGCAACAGGAGTCCTTGATGCATTCTTGACCGCACTGACTGATGCTGGTTGTGGTCATCTCCCTCAGGGTGAAGCCAAAGAGGCAGTGGTTGGATATCAGAAGGCCGTCCTGGCCCATTACGAGACAGTAGGTGCCATCGGTGCACTGCTGTTCTTTCTTGGCCTCCACCGTCGCGGGCTTCTTACAGATCACGGCAGCACGCAATTCACAGGACCAATCATCCCACAGATGTTGAACATCCCCCGTCATTGTGGCACAGTGCTGGTTGCCCTGCCAGTTGTCCGGTCCCTGATTGGCCCACTCCATGAAGCCGCACCCTTCAAGGCACACCCATTGCCCCTCCTCCTGCCAGTCGTAACAGCCAAGCCAGATATATTTGATCCCAAACCCCCTCAAGAAGGAGTTTTCCTCTGGAGATTGGGGAACGACGATCAGCCCCCCGAGTTCCTTGCAGGCTGTGTCCGCAGCAAACCACGTCATCCATTCAGACATTTGATAGTAGCAGAAACTTTCCCAGTTCATCCAATCAGCTGGACAGGGTGTGCCTCTTTCCGTAGTAGACAAAATTGCATTGAAGTTTCCAAGAAGAAACAGTGAAATAATGGACAGGCCAACAGAAACAATGTTCCAGACATTAGCCATTTTGTCATTTCCAGTGAGACTGGCCAAATTGCTAAACTACCGTTGAGTCTCAGCGCTCTCTTTACATTCACTGAAGGAAACTAACTTGGGCTTTCCTCTGCCACTTTGACGCTGTGCCGTGGAAATCGATGATGACTGGAATATAAGGCCTCATTGCAAGTGTTTCACAATACAACGTGCCACCACTTAAATAGATTGCCCTCGGATTCAAGGGCGGATCCAGGAATTTTTTTTTTTGGTGGGGGGTTGTTGGGCTGAAGAATTTTGTTAATTCTCATTTTTGCAGACTGTAATCACCTGTTTGTAAGACACACCGTAAACACATAAGAATCAATGGCATCATGATTGATTTTTTGCGTAGTTATTGATTAACTCCCATAATATGTGTAGTTAATAAATGATAACACCACACATTTTGTAGGAAGAGGACAAGCTACTGTATGTGTGTGTGCATGTGAGATGTGTGTGTGCATGTATGGGGAAATCTATTGTCACAACATGTCTGTAGTTGCAAGGAAGATGCATGGTTACCGGAATCACAAAATATTCTTTGAAGATTGCCTGGATTTTGTTACCTGAAGCATGCATCACTTAGTGTATTGCTCTTATATCATGCAAGCAGCATTGGACTACTGTTACATTATTGCAAAAACACACACTGGCTGAAAAAATTATTGTTTTTATCATTCAGCCATCTTTCCATAATTATTTTATTTTTTTGTGATTGCTGTACCAGTTTTATCTCAACTGGAAAAATTCTCTAAATTGAATGTTAACATTGTAGAGTTTCAAGGAGGGTATTTAAAAAATGTTCACCTCCAGTTTCAAATGTATTCGCTCAGATTAGAATTTTTCAAAGTGTCACATTGTGCCTCCCAAAAAGGCAGAAAACCTGAGACATTTGACTAATCTCTAAAGGAACTAACGTCATCTGTTAATTCCAGTAAATGATGTCCACTCTCCTTCATCCTGAATATGGGTGGTAGAACTGCACCTAGGTTTGTCTTGTGCTATTAACCTGATCAGTCTAACCCCCATTGCCTGCTTGCATACAGCTTCTCTGACATCAAGCAGATTGAGGTGACTGCCGTGGGTACCATCAAGATCACTCTGACTAACGACAGAGTCATATCCCTGTTTACTTACAGGGTATGTAGCTCTTTACTAATCCTAACACTTACCCTGAGCCTTTATTTTTCTAATAAATGTTTTTGTGAATTGATTTTAACCACTTCCTGCCGGGCGACCTGTTTTCGAGTACCTAGGATTTATACATGAAGCCGGGGAGCCCGAAACCGGGGCAAAAGAGTTGGGCCTTGTAACAAAAGACCATGCTCGATACAAAAGACCAGGCTGCTGGGAATTACTGACTTTTTGTCACTCTGAATAGTGGAGATAATCCAGCCTTGTTTTGAAACAGGATTCCCAATGGGAACAAAAGCGCTCCACCACCTCAGTGATGAGCCACAGAGCACTGCTGCATTTTAATCTGGCCCCTATTGAAAAGGGGTCAGCAGCGCACAGTTCCGGTTTTGGGAACAAAAGAATCTTGCATAACACCGCACAATCTGGGCTCTTTTTACAAGGCTGCAGGCCTGGCTGAAATACTTGGGCATCAATGAAGGCTAGCTGTCACCATAGAGTAGCTCCCAACGAGTCTTTCATGTTTGTTTAAATGTCCGTTAAATGAAATGATGAATTTTTGAAGAATTTTGAAAACTGAAAATCTTGAAAATTGCCCCGTTATGTGTGCACTGCATTTTTATAAGCACCCAGCAGCAAGTGGTTAATGTCAACATGTGCTTCAGATTAAATTTGAAATTTTGGCTTGTGCACACTGGGATGTTAATGGCAGTTGGAATCATTTGATGATGTCCCATCTGGGGCCAGTTTCATAGAGCTGCTTGAGCCAAAATTTTAAGGTTACTACCTCAAAATCTATGTGATTGTCATGCTTACTAAACAACAGATGAATACCATACCAACACAATATACAGCACATGGAGTTTTGGCTGGCAGCTGTTGTTTGTCAAGCAAGGTTTTTTCACGCTTAGGCAAATTTTTTGCTTAAGCAGCTCTGTGAAATGGGCCCCTGGCTTTCAGAGCTTCGGCAACGTCTGGTGAAAGCAGTGGCCATGCCGTATTTGCACCCAGTGAAGGTCACCTAGACCTGGCCTGAGATGCAAGAATCGGGCATAACCCAGTTTATCTGCCCATCTGACTCAGATCTGGGTGACCCATTCTGATGCAGTATTCGGCTTTACTGTGTGTAATTAGCTGGCAGGTTGGTTAGACTCACTTGCTGGATGGCTCTTCTGTTTTTGCCTTGAATGGCCGAGTGCAAAGGGCGCAGATTTGTGCTGATCACTAGGGGTTATAAGGAAATCAATCCCTGCATTATCCATATTGGGGAATTTTCTGCTGGAGATTAGCATGGACATCATCTGACGGAAGATGGCACTTTATTTACAAAGAGTGGTGTGCATGTATCATAAAGGCTGCACAACCCCACATTTTGGGCATTTTTCCCTTTTAATTTCAAGACAATGTAGTCGTAGTGTTCAGGGCAGGAAGTTTCAGGTTTTGTCCATGCATTTCCCTGGTCAAAATGTGGAGGGGAGGATATATTTTCCCCTTTCCTCCTGGTATTTCTGTCAGTGACCAGATGATTTCCTTGCCAGCAAAATCTAATAAGTGGTGATCACCCCTCCTCCCTTGTACTGAATCACACCCAGGCCCAGCTGATCAAGAGCATGATCGAAGCCTACATCATCGACCTCGAAAGGGACTCCCAGTATGTGAGAGCAATCCAGGACTACATCACCAGAGAGTCTACCCTGCTGAGTTTTAGGAAAGGTGACATCATCAAGCTGAATAACAAGCACCCTGCTGCTGGCTCAGGTGCGAGTGATGCTCCTAATTTAAAGCCGTCCCCATCTTGAACAATTTGTTTTCTTCCGTTAATGATAGCCACATTTTCTTCCTTTTTCTTACGAACTGGACGTATCTGGTGACTTGACAGATGTTTGACTTTTTGCTACTTCGTAGACAAGATAAACTTCTCCCTGGAAACTGTCTGACCACAAGGACTTTGTGAATAATCTTTTTGATTTACATGTACTTAAGTCACTGTAACAATGGGGAGGGGGCAGAATGCCAACAAACAACCTTGTATGACCAAATCACTCGTACTTCCATAAACTAAACAAAGAGTTCATATAAACTTCTGCAGGCTTGAGATCTTTCAGTTCGGAAAAAGCTTGTAAAGTTTTCAGCTTTTCAAGAAACATATTTTCTCAAAACTTTATTTTTTCAAAACATATTTTCTGCTCTGAACCTTGCACCTTTTTGAATTTAAGAGACTTCATTAAATTTCCACTTGTTCTTCTGAAAGTTGTTCTTAAAATTACTTTTAAAAGATTTTTTTCTGAATGTCTTCCCCCCCACATTCAAATTTCCTCAAATGAATTTTCTTCATCAAAGATTGGCTGTTTGGCATGCTGGATGGACGCACTGGCTTCTTCCCAAAAGAAAGTGTTATTCCAGCCCCGGGACCTGAATCACGGAATCTTTTGGTGAGTACAATATTGTACACCTTCAGGAGTGACTTATGTCAGTACGCAAGAGTGTGAGATGTACCCGTCAAACTCAATCCAGACACATTGTCTGATTTTGAGTACATTGTAGGCATGTGGCACTGGTGTTTATTTTGTTGTCCTTGTTAGTACAATGTGTATGTATTTTGTGATGATCCACCCGTTCTGATATTTTGTACTTGTGGTCATGCTGGAGATGGGGAAAATGTTAAATGTGCAATGTTTTCATAGGTTGTAGTTAACAATCAATGAATTTTCTTCTTTTTTTAAAAACTTTTAGGTCAGAAGAGGAATTGCTGCTGATTTAGTTATCAGTGCCCAGGAAGAGCCCAAGAGGCAGGTCAGTATACTCACGACGTCCTTTGTGTTAAAAGTCTTGCTGGCTGCTTGATTGACTAGTGGTTGGGTGGCTGGTTGATTTCCGGTTGGTTGATTGATGGTTGGATGGGTGATTGGGCAATTTGCTGACTAGAAATTGGCTGGTCAGCTGACTCAGTGATGTCTGGTTGGTTGGCTTGTGATTGGCCAGTCTTCTGACTAGGGGTTGGGTGGTCTGCTGGTTCAACGAGGCTGATGTCTGGTTTGCTGGCGGGTTGGCCGGCTGGCTGACTTTCTGGCTGGTTGGTTGGCTGATGTCTGGCTTCCTGACAGGTTTGCTGGTAGGCTGGCTGGCTAATGGCTGCCTGTTGGCTGGCTTGTTGGCTTTTGGTTGGCTGTCTTGTTGGTTGCCTATATGTTTAGGAAGTCAGCACATATCAGTTCGATAAGATTCTCATAACATATGTCTAATTGTTCCTTCTCCACCCTCCAGAAGCAAGGGGAACTACCCCCATCACCCGCCAAGCCACAGGAGAGACAACCAACTCAGGAGGAAATGACCCGCTTTTCCATGGTGGAATTTGCTTCCAAGTACTTCAGGGAATACCCCAACAAGTGAGAAAGATTCTTTTAGTGCTTTCATTTTTTGCATTACTTTTTAGGTCATTGCAAAGTCACGTCTACCGGAAGACGGTTTTCATATCTGGACAAAAACAGTCTCTGGATGGTGTTCTAAGACACACCAGATTAAAAGAAAATTTTGTGTGGCATAAATACAAGACGTGGATTCTCAATAGTAGTGTTTTGAATGGAAGAGGAAAGTGCAGCGTTGGAGGTCTCTTCCAAGTGTTTAAAGTACACCAACTTGTGTCTTGTCATCCAGGTATGTCATGCAGAGGAAGGAAGATGGCTCAATCAGAGGTTCTCTCAAGTTCATGGGTAACTTCAAGAGGTCCCGCAAGAAGAACTGTAAGTGTGGGACAAGTTAATGAAGATGCAGTCTTTACCAGAAACCCGCACTACTGCCTAATCAAGCACAAATGTTGCGGAGAAAATTTGTGATTACTTAAGAATCACAAATAACAATGAAAATTCATTTAAGTTAACATTGACTGTTTAGAAGGGAAAAGTGGTTATTACTGAGTGATACTGAGGAGAGTTGTTTGGCTAGGTAGCTAATTTGTAAATAAAGGCAAAGAGAAGAAATCATTAGAAATTTCAGGAAAATGATCAAAGAACTTTTTTTCTTAAGTACTCAATAAAGTGATTGGTTGATTACTGATGGAGTTGCCTACCAATTTAGAAAGACAGAAAATTTCAGCGCCAATTGTCCAGATTGCTTGATTATGGCTGCAAATAGTGCAAATGCTAAATGAAGCCCGTAGCAAGTTGTTTCAGCCATTTCCCATGGACCCACAGCCAAGCCATTCGAGTATGATGGCCTTGTCAGTGCATGAGATGTCAGGTATGTGTCCCTCTCTTAATCAAAACACATGAAGCCAGTGAAAAATCTGCAACCGAGAGCCCCCTTCATCCTCTCCTAATTTCAGCCAAGAAGAAGCCTGACCCGGTGGAGGACGTGCAGGATTACAGTCAGTACCTGGACGCCGTGTCCTTCACCAACTCTCCCATACAGGCCTCCCTGCTTGAGTTCCCTCAGTTGGCCATCAACAAGCTGGCTCTGGAGTGCTTCGTTGGTGAGTGTTGTTGTCCTAGGAATTTTGTGGAAGTGATAGATACAGTTGCTCCAACTCTAGCCCTGGTACCTTAGGCATTGATTCCTTGAGCGATTTCAGAAGTGCCAGTGCCCAAAAGAAAACTTGTATAACCCTCAGCAAACAAAGTGCCTCACCAAAAGTGGATTTCGTGTTTTGGAAGGCATATTACTCGGCAAATTAATTGGCTTAATTTGGTTAATTAATCTGCTGAACAGATAAGTATACTTAAAACTGCATGATTTTGGCATTTGTTTTAAGTATGGTGTACATTAGGTTGAGGTAAACTTTTGTAAAATTGTGGTATACAGGTGGCTGTTAATATGGGTAAAACTCCCAAAAGTTTTAATCTGGTAAAACTATCCAAAAACACCTGGTTTTTTTTTTAAACCTTCTGCTGAAAAATATCTGTTTTCCCCCCAAACTTTCCCAACCGTTTAAACATCTGCATTGTGGCAGCCCCATATCTAGTGAACTGTCTGCCGTCATACTCCTTAAATTTATTAGTATATGCCATGGTTAAGCTCCAAACGTCCTCTTTGACCCACTGGTGATTGCATTAATAACTCTCCATAATTTACCCTTCAGCTCTGATGCAGGTCATGGGTGACTACCCTCTGAACACTAAACAAGATGTTCCACTTCAGCAGGCACTCTATGAGAAAGTGGTCTTCATTCTCAAGGTAATCTATGCTGTATCCAAGCTTATTATGCAAGTATGTGTTTTTGTTAAAGTAACACAACGTGTTCCATAATGCCCCAACTGCTCTCCATGCCTCAGTGGACATGTGAGAAATGCAATAGGAGAAGCATTGTCTGTAACTCATGAGATACAAGTCCAATGTGAGTTATTTTCAGAAAACACTGTCCAGAGTTATTATGCAACAGTCCACTGTACAGTAAAAGTGGGTAAAAAAAAGTGATCTCCAGCCTGCTGAAAAACAAAAAATTGTGCAGTTGCTTTCACAGGGCCAATATACGTTGAATATTGCCAAGTGCCTTTCCAGAGATCACCGTACTGTGCAAAAATTTCTGGCAAACAGCGAAAGTGGTCGAAAAAAGCGAGTTCAATCAAAATATCAAAAAATTAATGCCCGGCACCTTCGACAGATTCGCTGTCATGTTACCAGAAATCCTCTAGCAACCAGCAGAGAGGTATTTGAAGCATGTGAACTTCCCAAAGTATCCAGACCCACACGCTGTAAGGCCTTAAAGGAGGTTGCCAAGGTTTGAAAGGCTCAAAGACGACCATCTCTCAACAAAAACCACAAAGCCAAATGCATTTCCTAGGCTGAAAACTATATGAAAATTGACTTTTCACGCGTTATTTTCATGGACGAGTGCATAGCAGCACTGGATGGACCGGATGGATGAGCCAGAGGATGGATAACTCAGGGGCAGTCTGCACCAGTGCAACTACGTCGACAACAAGGTGGGGGTGGAGTCATGTTTTGGGCTGCTATCGTTGGAGATCAGATGATTGGACCATTTCGTGTTGAGGACGGTGTTAAACTGAACTCTGAAGGATAGTGTGATCTTTTGAATGCCAACTTTGTGCCATGGTGGAAGAAGCATCCGGCCAGACAACGCAAGCTGCTGATTTTCATGCACGATAACTCACCTTCGCACGCATCCCATTACACAAAAGCCTGGATGGAGCGCAACGGATTCAAGCAGGAACAGATCATGGAGTGGCCTGCTTGTTCACCGGATTTAAATCCGATTGAGAACCTCTGGTCGGTGTTGAAGCAGACAATTTATGCTAATGGGGAACAATACAACTCCAAGGATGCATTGTGGGATTGGCCTCTGGTCGGTGTTGAAGCAGACAATTTATGCTAATGGGGAACAATACAACTCCAAGGATGCATTGTGGGATGGGCCTCTGGTCGGTGTTGAAGCAGACAATTTATGCTAATGGGAAGCAATACAACTCCAAGGATGCATTGTGGGATGCAATTAAGGAGGCAGCAGCATATGTTTCGAAGGAAACAATAAACAATTTGACAAAATCAGTGGACAGCAGACTATTGAAAGTCATCAGCAAACAGGGTGGCTATATTGACATGTGACGTTAATTAGCATAAAATAGGATGCTCAGTGCAACTGTTTATTTTTTTTTGTTCGCTTAGTTTTGTTTTTTATATTTTGATTTTTTTCTGAAGGTGCAATCAAAATGATTTCAGCTTTACAATGACCTATAACTGGGAGAAAATAATAAAATATGACTGCACTGCACACTTGTTGTTACTATGTTGCATAATATCTCTGGACAGTAGAAAACAAACGATATGAAGAGATGACAATATTATAGTGATCTGGAGAAAATAAGTGTTTGTACTGAATTTCATTTGCAAATGAACATATGAAATATAATATTTGAAACCAATAACTTTACCAAAAGTGGTGTTTTGCAATGGAATTTTAATTTCAACACTGAACTTTGCATTTGCATAATAAGTTTGGACACAGTGTAGCATGTCGAGCACATTTATTTCTTGCTTTACACAATTCTACTGATGCACTTTCCTTTCATTTTTCTGGGAGGAGGGGGTGTCTGTCTCATATAACATGCAAGGGTGAACTATAGGGAAATATACGCAGTGATACAAAACAGATCAGAGCAGTAAGCTGGGTGATTATACCGGTCTGAAAACATTGCACATCATCTGTTGTCCCTTAGCCTTATTTTCCAAAGTCCTCTATCACTGTTCAGTTATTTCTGGGTAACCATTGGAAAATACAGCAAATGTTACTATTCAAAACAAACTCAAGTGTAACCTGTTTCTTATTATTCAATACGGATTTGGAATTGATTTGTATTCCTAAGTTCTTATTTTCCTTTAAATGAATACCTTTTCATGAATGTCAGCTAACATGTTTAAATGTGAAATAATTTTGTCCTATTAGATGATTTTAAGTGACTACAAAGATTTCCTTATTTTAATATTGCTTTGTGTTGTCAATCACTTTTTATTGTGAAGGCATGCTTCAGTCACCGTGAGATATGTGATGAGGTTTATTGTCACGTCATCAAACAAACAACCAGAAACACAAGCTCAAAGAAGTAAGTCTAACACAAAACAATCTCTCTGTGTTATTGGGAATGTTACGTCAAAGTTTCATTCATTTGATTATGTATTGTGTAATTATCAAACATGATTCGGATTATATAAAATAGAAGATAAAGCCACCTTTATAGGTGAGGGCTTGGATTTGGAATATATATCATTCGCTTTTTCTTTTTGTATGGTGAAGTAATGCATAACACGTATTTCACCTGCACAAGCAGGAACTCGAGGGACTTTGTTTTAACTAAGCCCTAGTACAGCATTTGTTCTCTGCCTTCCCTAAATGCTCCCCCCAGGTTGAGCCAACTCCATGGCTGGCGTTTCTTTGTCCTGCTCACGGCCATCTTTCAGTGTTCGCCCACCCTCAAGCCCTACCTGTTCCAATACCTAAGCATGGTGACCCAGACGGCCGAGTTCCAGTACGGCGGCATTGCTGGGGTCTGTCTATTTAACCTGCGTAAGACCTTCAGGCATGGGGGTAGGCGCCTGTTGCCGGGACCAGAAGAGGTGGAGAATCTCCTGGTAAGGGGTCATTCAGTTTGACTCGTAGGTCGTAACATGCATCAATCTGATTTTAATAGTTCTATCAACGACTGTGGCTCCGCATAGTGTATGTTCCACAGTTTGCATTTTGTGAGTCCCAGAACCCACACACTTGAGGCTTTCATTCATATGGACTAGGATGTTGGATGGAAGATCGTACGGCTTGAAATGTTACCCAGAATATCATAGAAATTGAATTCAAGAAATATTTCCAAAGAAAAATTCTGCTACATAGACATAAATAACTATAATGCAGTAATAAATGATTACAAATTTCACCCACAGTTTTTTGCTTATTGGGAACCGTTGTCACAAAGCCATTAGTAGAGGACTTCAGAATTGAAGTGATTGGACTCAGACCTGTAAAACTGCCCTTGAAATCTTGAAGTCTGTGCACTAGATCATGATGCAGCAGTGTCTCTGTGATAAAGTCAGGGGCAAATGAAGAGTGATTTACTTTTGTGCATTGTATACCTTGTAAATTTCAGAGCATTATTGCTGTTTACTAGTAGCCAAGTGATTGGAGACAGATTCGTGAAGGTAGATAGGATTTTATTGTGGTGGAGACTGGAGAGCATTTGGAACAACACCTGCCATTTTTCCCTTGGCTTTTTGTGAGATAGGTGATGAGATGGCAAATTGTACATGTTTCATGCCATGGGAGCCTTACGGGATTCAGGAAATGTTGCCATTGTAAGGCTCCAGCTGGCAAATTTTAAATCATAATCAGAGTCTCAGTAAAGCACAGTTTTGAGCCATTTACTGTTTCCACAAAGTGCTAAAACACAAAAACGTTAAAAGTTGCTCTGGATTACAGCCAGAGTATTTAAATTTGGAGACATTGGCAACTGACTGCTGGAACCCTGCATTGGATCAGAGTCCAGATGATCAACAAGACTCCCGATCCACATTTGTACTTTTCATTCTCTCAGGCTGGGCGCATGGTCCGGCGTCAACAGATTCACCTACCGGGCAACATGCGCACCATGGTCAAAGTGTCCACCAGTTCAGTGGTTCTGGATCTCCTAGAGGAGCTGTGCACCGAGATGGGCATACAGCAACCAGCCGTGATTGAAGAGTTTGGCCTCTTTGGGCTGGTTCCACAGAGTAAGGAACAGCCTCTTCCAGGACAGGAGTTTTCCTCAAACTAAAACAGTTTGCCTTTACCCATATCCCTTGGGTATATTTCCATCTGTTCCAGCAGAGTAATTTCTGATTTAAAAAAAAGTGTTTATCCCAAATGTCTGTGTTCTGTATCAGCAGGTGTTGAATGTCTCCCTTTTCCAGGAGAGTTTAGGTAAACAAGTGGGCAGTCATAAAAGCAAATAGGAAAGTCGTATGTCAAATTTTGGGTAGCCCTTGAATACAGAATATGGCATAGGGCATCACAGAGGCAGGATTTGAAAGTGTGTAAATAGAGTAATCCGATTGCTTGTGGAGGTACCACGCTTTCATGAGGCCTTATGTTGAGCACCTATGACTTGCCTATTAAAATCGACCTACCTCTCAAGTTTACGCAACTGTGTGATGTGCATGAATGTAATACATGCCATCACAGTAAAGACGCATCCTTGAATTAGTCTGTAACTGGAGGCATCATCGGCGCCGGGATCTGATATGCCAAGATATCCCAGACTAAAAGTTCATAGCAGTTGTTTTTTCTTTGTCGTGGCTCAGAGAACAAAGTAGTGCCCTTGCAGCTGTCTGACTACATGATGGATGTGACCACTCACTTTGATAATCAGGACTTTGAGTACGCTTTTCTCTTCAAGAAGGTGGTGTGGTACCAACCGATGAGCGTCAGCAATGAGTTTGCCTCAGCCATCATCTACAACCAGGTATTCCTGTCATTCTCAGGAGTTTGTCAGTTGCAGGGTTAATTGCAACCCGTTCTCTTTAAAATAATAAGAAAAAAAGCTACCGAAAATCAATTTTTGAGTCATGCGTCTTTTCAAATGTTCTTGTTATATCTTTAACCACTTGCAACCGGGTGGATTTTCCAAATCCGGGACAAGTTCCTGGGTGATTTTCAAGATTTCCCGTTCTCAAAATTCTTCGAAAATTCATAACTTCATTTACTGGACGTTTACACCCACACGAATGACTGTCTGGTGGCTACTCTAATCTGACAGGCAACCTCCATTGACGCCGGTGTATTAATTGCAGCCAGGCCTGCTGCCCAGTAAAGAGAGCCCAGCTTGTGCGGTGTTGCATAATTTCCTTTGTTCCCGAAATTGGCCCAGTGGGTTGCTGAATGGCAGTGGAGTCTTTACAAATGCGGCCAGATTAGTGTGCAGTGGTACCGTATCATCACGCATCTCTGGAGCACTTTTGTCCCCGTTTATAATTTGCAGGAGCTGCATACCACAAACAGTGGTTTACTGTTTCAAAACAATGATGGATTTCCTCTGCTAATGCCCACTGAAAAAAATGGCAATTTCCAGCAGCTCGGTCTTTCGTTCCAAGTACATTTTTTTGTTACAAGGACCAGCTCTTTTGTCCAACTTCGGGCACACCCCTGCTATGCGTACAAACCCAAAGTACCCGGTACCAGGAGCCCGGGTGACCACTTAATTGTACCCAGAATTCTATTGGAGTGGTTTTAAGATTCCACCTCATTAATGCAAAGCTTACATCTTATTGAGAACTCAACACACCTTTGCTTTTCTCTAGGTCTTACCCAATTACCAGAACGGTCATCTGGTTATCTTGGAATTCAACACCCTGACTGAACAGCAGAAGACTAAGATTGTTAGGCTGGCTGTTCTCATGCACAGGGCAGCCGACAAAGTCCAGATACCAACAATGTGAGTTCTTTTGGAATACAACAAGGCTGTGATCTCATTCTGAATGTCTAAAGTGATTTTCATGAATCTCCAACCCCCCCCCAAAAAAGGAGTGAGAATTTAAGTTTAAAGCATGAGAGGAAGCCTGAATGTCTGTCTGTAATTTTTTCTGTACCAGTGGGCCCCCTGAGCAGGCCTTGTTCTGTAAGGCATGCATTGCGTGCTCTTTCATTTCTTTCCTTTGTAAGTGAGATTCCAGGCCTGGTTGTTGCATGTGCTTATGATAATATTTGTGACCTTACTGTAAAGCATTATTGAACACAGCACTGTGTTGATTGGGTTGCAGGTTTTGCAGAAGGGCCGATAGGGGCAAGTAAAATAATTGCCCAGTCAAGAATGGGTGCACAAACAGTCTACCCAATAAGAGGGTACAAGAAGGTTCCTTTTTCTCTAATAGTTCCATAGAGCACATGGAAGCCGGAACTTAATAGTGCAACTTCAAGCCTATTCCTGGTCCGCTCCATTTTCTTTGCAGGAAGGATCTCCCTAACCTGGTGCCGGCCGGTGTCATCAACCACATGACCAACCAGCAGTGGTTGAACCTGATCCATGGTGAGCTCCCCCTCTTGGAATCGATGAGTCCCCACATGGCCCGGACAGAGTTCATCAACACCATCATGAAATGGCGGCTGTTCGGTTCCACTTTCTTTGATGTTGTGGTGAGGAAGAAGTTTTTATCCATTGCTGAAAGACTGCCCGATTATTCAAAAATGCTGGCCTCAGGCAGTAAACTTGCTCAGGGAATATTCTTAGGGTTCATTGATATTAAGGCAAAGGATATCCCCATGATGTGAACAAATTAAATGCAGTTGTTGCCTATGAGAGCAAACAAACCATGCAATAGGGCAATAAACTGCAGTGTTTATACACCTTAGTGATTTCTTAAATAGGTACCGAATTCTGGCCAATCAGATGTCATGTTCTAGCTCCAGTTCTTGCTCAACATTGCTGCTCAATACACCGGTCACTCGCACTAAAACTTATGGACATCATTCCTTCATACATGCATCACCATCTCTTCGGAACTCTCTTTCCACACCATATCAGAACTGTCAATAACGAAAATGAATTTAAAGCAGTCCTTAAAACTTACCTGTGCCATTAATTACTTTTAATTGTTGTTTCTTGTGATGAAGCGCATCGGGAATTTGGTGTGATGCGCTTCAAAAACACTGTGTTATGATCATTATCATGTTAGGTATGACGTAACAGACTTACTGGCATGGTAAAATACATCCTTATCACATCTTTGATGCTTCCTGTGGGGGTATTAATGATGCTGTGGAGAGTCGGATATTGGCATTTACCAAGCGGGTTTCTGTTTTGTGTCCAAATGTGAAATATCATGCTGCATACCATTCTCCATCTCTGCACTGGTTACTGCTGGTCTGTCAAGGCAGTGACATGATAGTATCTTATGGGAAATATCGTGTTTCAGTGATAGTTTCCCTTCAAAGATTTACATCTTGCGTGTCTGGTTTGCTCTCCTGTTTAACCAACAGCATGTCTCTGACTCCCGCGTGGGCGGAGGATGCCTGCTTGCCGTCAACAGGAGGGGAGTACACTTCTTGCACCCCCAGTCCCATGTAAGTATATGGCAAGGTTATCAGTTCACCCGCTTCATTAATATGAAGCAGGTGTGTCGATCAACAGTGCTTCTTGTGAAACACATGATGAACATTCTTAAGGGCAGTGGTAAGGATCTGTTTTATTTGCATCAACATCACTTACAAGTTCTGAAAGTGCTAAAGAGTGAGCAGTGTTGATGGGTAGGTATCTGCCAGTGTCTCATGTTGATGGGTAGGTATCTGCCAGTGTCTCATGTTGATGGGTAGGCATCTGCCAGGCATCATGTTGGTGGGTAGGTATCTGCCAGTGTCTCATGATGATGGGTAGGCATCTGTCAGTGCATCATGTTAATGGGTAGGCATCTGCCATTCTGTGTGAAGCGCTAAGCTACTGTTTAGCAGCTGGCTGGAATTTTCTTTTAACCAAAATGAGCTTCTGTGTGATTTTATTTGTACCAATTTTGTGTTGTGACTTTCTGTGCATTGACCTGAATATTTCATGTCTTGTGATCTGTACATAATTCACCCAATTAGATGACACGATCTTATTCACGCATACAGAGAGTACCAAAGTGTGGTATCATTTTAAACCAGGAAGGGCGCTGCAAACAAATGGAGTAGGCATCCATGTCAGTCCATATGCTGGTTCTCGTACTGATGCCTTTCACACATTGTGTGCATGACATATTCACCTCGTTACTTTATAATAACATGTGCACCATCCCAACAGGTGAAAGTCGTTCTGTGTGTGGATGTATATTACAAAAAAATACCAAGCCTGAATACACACTTGAACCAGTCTTACCAAGAAACTGCCCGGCGTATTTGGCTTTACAGGAAACACTGGTGTCTCATGGGTTTGATGAGGTGGTCTCCTCACGTTACCTGAAAGGGAATGACGGAAGACAGTATGTGGACCTTAAATGCGGCAACTTGATGGTTCAGAAAGTGACCAGGATTCAGACTAACCAAGTGAGCTCACAGTCAGCTTTATTCCTTAATTCTGTAGAGTTGTTTAACCCAAAGACGCCTCTTTTGGCATTGTGAAGTTGCTGTTGGCATAATGCCGGTGTAGTATTTTGGGGGTTGCATGTTTGACTCCTGCTCATGTCAGTTACATGTATCTGTGTTCATCTAATTTCAAATACTCATTTTTTGGTTAATAGTGCGTCTTGCATGTTTTCCTTGCCAAAATGGAAATATACCACCCATCTGGGTGAGATATTCAGTGGTAGTGCTTGTACAGTTGGAGGTCACTCTGTTTCTGTCTGCTTGGATTTCTTGTGTATTTTGGAAATTTGTTATTTGTACTGTAAGAGACATTTTCATAATTTGATTCTGCCTCTCTGTTTTCAGTTTCTAACCTTATCGCCAGAAATGCTTTGAATACCTTCTTGCTTTTGTTCTTAGTGTACTGAGATAATCAACGTCATTGGTCAACATATCCAGTCGGAGATTGCTGCCAAATCCCAGCAAAATCAGTCTGACAACATCGCTGATTTCAACAACATCAGATCCCCAACGTATCCCCCTAGCCAGGGCCAGGAGAGCCCCAACAATCCCGCCAAGCGATGGGGCGGGGTGGCCATGCCCATCCAGTCAGCTAACGTGATACGATCCCCGAGTGCGTTGTCTGATCGCAACCGGGCGGCCTCACCCCGTCGTGAGCCAGAGCGCCGACCTTCCCCAACATCATCATTTGATGATGCCACCGTGCCAGAGACACGCCCATTGTCCTGGAGGCAGCAGGAGTCGCCCTCTCCGTCAGACGGGCCCACCCACAACAGAGTAAGGCAGCTGGATTCCAACTGGCTGTTGGCTCCCAAGGGTGCTGAGAGAGGTCACGCCCGGGTACCGTCCTGGGACAGGTCCACCGGCAGTGCCCGTGACTCCCTGGAGGGGGATCCGCCTCCTCGCTCCCCTGTCGCACCCCTCTCGTCGGAGAGCATCTTGAAGATGGGGATTCCACGATCTGCCACCTCGAGACAAACAGCAAACAAGGGGGCACCTACAGCCAAAAATGGAGCTATCAGCAATGGCAACATTCGGAGCAATCGGATGGGCAGAGGAGCAGTGCCTGGTGTTTACTCAGGGAGGAAGTAAGTAATGGTTGCCACGGTGATAGTACTGATCAACATGGTGATAGCATCATCATCAAAGCAAGAGGATTAGTGAGGTAAAATGGGAAACTGATTCTAATGGAGATTAGAAATGATGCTGCTTTCACACTTATTACATTTGTATGATCCCTTGATTTACTCTGCCTGGGTTCATTTTGTTGTTTGTGTCTCTTTGTGTACTCCTTGAGCGTGACTCCTTGGGCCTGACTCCTTTCTACATTTGATCGCTTTGGAAGGCATCAGTGTAGACCATGTGAAGATTGACTGACAGATTAAAAGATTGCCTGATGCATATCCCACATTGTGGGATTCGTGGGCGCAAGTGGTTTGCATGCCCATGGCTTTAAGTAAGCACAATTCATAGAGATGTGAATGCGTGAAAACCCTCTTTGCATGGAAGCTGGCTTGGGAGTTTGCATGTGTGCAAGTAGTCTCCCTTTTTCACTGTTCAGGGAGTTATTTGTATTCAAAGTTCATAGGGTGGGAGGTATGGCAGTGTTTGTAACAGCATTTTACTTGTTAGCTCGTTGTTAACAATCACAATCAATGACAGGCTTTGCCTTTATACCGGCATATGTTCATAAACACTGTATACTCAGTGCTGGGATACTGTACTCACTGTATACTCAGTGCTTGTCTAATGAAAAAATCACAAGTCCACTCGGGTGGGACTCGAACCCACGACCTCCTGCTCACAGGCAAACCCGTAATTAAAGTAAACATCTCCTGATGCAAAGTACATCTTGAAACAGCCTAATGTCTTTTGAGTTTTCAAGCTTGCATGAATTCACCTCGGGTGGTCACGATCATTTCCATGTCTTAAAGGCTGGAATGATTAGAAGATTCTTTTATATTATAAGCATTTGCATCTGCAACATGAATTCTTTGGTCACTTTTGTTCCTCGTTAATAATTCCTCTGTTCAGAATTGAAGGCTAGGTGATAATGCCAATTGTGGGTAATTGTTCTTTGAGTTGCAGGATAAATTTTTCAAAAACAGTACTTAAAAGATAGCAAAAAGCGAGAGCTGTAATTCATTACTTATTGAGGATTTCTTAAGATGTAGATGCTTCTATGTTTATCTTATTAGGTCCCCTTGAGGTGATGTGGAGACTTATAGATTGGGTATGCTTAACACAGGCTGAGAACTATTAAATTGGAAAAACAAAAAATTCCCTTGATTTTTATTGTGTCACCATAATGAGCTTGTTCTGCTCTGATAAATCTGGAATGTCTGAGGCATACAGCTGTAGTCAAACGTTCCATTCATATCTGCTTTTTTAATTGACAGACTCAGTAATTCAAAACTGCCTAATATGCTGTCATTCTTATTAGCTTTGAAAGAGAAGTGTTTAAATGTGAAAAATTACATTACATAAAATGGATTATATTTTTGCTGATGTGAATTCACGAAATGGTTGTGCCAAATATTATATATGTAGGACCAAGCCTTACTTGTAGAAAACAGACACGTGTGTGTATTGATATGGCACTTTGAGCTATTTTATTTAGTTCCATATGCTAAAGCAATGTGTGATTGACTTCTTAATATTAATGATATTTGTATTCAACTGTGACATGCAAGTTATTTAAAAAAGCACTTGTGTAGATGTAAATAAACTATGAAGAATTTATTTGTTGATGGTTTGATTTTGTAAACTGCCAATTGATGTATACAGCTCATGTACGGTTTCTTGTGTATTAAATTAATCGGCATGGTCATTTTCAAACCATAAGTTTGAAATCATCATAGTTGTGGAGAGAACGTATTTTAAGATTTTGAGGAAAAAAATTATTAGTTATACGTTGAGGCTTATAAGTACATGAATGGAGTGCACGTGTACGTACGTTTTTGCCTTTTATGCAAATGCGTATTAGCTACTTGTAAGCAAATGATTTCACTATTCTTTAGGTGCTGCAAATGGAACAGGTTTCGTTTTTGTAACTGAGAATTTGTTTATTCAAGGGAAAAAATCTAAAATCTCCCAATACCCACCTGCTAATGCTTTTATTTGAAATCAGGTCGTTCGTGTTCTGACAGAGATAGCCTTGTGTAGCCAGTAATGGCGAGGAGTCCAGAGGGATATAATGTCTCAAAGCCTGAGATAAACTTCTTTGGAGTCCAGTTGCACAGTATTGGCATACCTTCGTTGTTAGAGGTACGCAAAGTACTGTGTTAATTGAACATGCCCCAAGCATTGCAATGGGCTGCTGAAAGAATGAGCCAGTTCAGTATTCCCCCAATAAAGGTCATCAAGAACAAAGCACCTGATGATGTCACACCAGTTTACTGTCCAACCTGTTCAGTTCATGTGAGCTAGCATATTGGGCCACTCTGATTGGGGTTGATCTTGCATGTGTGTTAATGTTCTCCAGTGACCTTTGACATGCTTTCTTTTTGAGTGTGTGCTGCTGTAATAACGCTGGCTCATTCTGAGGAAAAAGACTGCCCAACCTCCCCACCCAGTCAAACTCTTCTTCTTAAGGCACTGCCACCAATTTCCTGCAATATCTACTGGCAGTTTGGTTCTTTTTATTATTTCTGGCTTTGTCGAGATAGGTGTGCTTGTCAGAAACAATGCTCGCTTCTGCATGATGTTAAATGGCAAGGCTTTTGAAAATTTGAGTAGGATATATCCAATCATGTCGGAAAATGTACTAACATTGCTTGTTTAACTTTATTTTTGTACAAATTGAAATCAGTACTTTGATAACTGTAAAAAAAAGAGAGGGGTCATTTAACATGTTTTACATGAATTGCCGAATCTTTAAGTTGATTGAAATTTTTTTACTTCTTATGCCCGTCAATTCAAGCCAAGAAAAATGTTAATAGTAATACATGCCTTTTGAAAATAATGCGTCTTTGAACTTCCTCTGTATTTAAAACTCCATAACATTAATGTAGAGCTTTCTAAGCAGTGCTCATGTATGTGCATGTCGTACAAATTATCTATCAAAAAAAAGACGATCGTGTATATATCTGTTTGAATCTTCAAATTTTAAGTCATGTTTCATAAAGCATTTTTGGTCATATTTTTTATTAAATCAATCACAGAAACTTTTAATCAAAGTTGGAGTTACTTTGTTTATCAAGTCACAAGCACCATGATAAACAATACTTGAAGTGTAACAAGGATGTTTCAGTCCAGACTGTTTAAGATGTTACAAAGTGCATGAGATCTTAAAGGATTTTGCCAGACTCAAGAAGGTAAAGTACGCCACTGTGGGTTGACTTTGGGCTCAGCGCCCCTTGGAAGTTGACTGATGCTTGGTCCTGGCAGAGTGCTTGATGTGAGAGGATATGGGAAGATTCTTGGTACAGACTTATCCACTGAGTTAGGATATAGCATTGGTAGTTGATGTACTCAGAGACACTTAAATGTTTATACTCTTACAATTCTGCCAGTTGTGGAAGAGGTTGATTGCAGCCAATCATCAAGAGATCATTCAGTTCCTCTGACATGAATCAATGTATTCCTTTAGAAAGCAAGCAGGACTGCCATTTTGCCATTAAAGTATATCCCACATTTTGATTTGAAAGCTTAAGGTATGACAATGTACTTCCGTAACATTGATACACAATTATCAAATATGTTGCAAAGGTACGAGTGCATATTGTAGTTTGTTACACGTATTGGAACCCTTGTTTCATAGTGCTTTTCTCTCCAGGATTTTAGTTTCAATGGGTATCCTGCATGCATATATATGTAAAGTTAAAAAAAGGAATTAATTTGGCAAGTAAATTATTTTAATCATTTGTATTTTATTATAGAATTGGTGATTTGTTAATTTTTATAAATCAGTTCTATAAAATTTCATATAAATTTGATATTTTTGTAATAAATTATTGATCTGAGATTTGCAAGACAAAGACCTTTTTTCCCATTAGCAGAATCAGTGAAAGTTACACTTTCTGTGCACTATTTATACCTGACGCAGTGTCAAACACATTGCTGTGTTAGTCCTACTGCCTTGGTATGTTGAGTAGTTCTCAAATCAAAACAAAGGAACATGTGCACAAAGAGGCAGAAATGGTAAAAATTCCACTCCGTGCTGGAACAGAAGAGATGGCGTCTTCTTACACAGTGGCGTCCCTTTGGAAGGAACTCTTCATGTGCGTGCACTGATTTTATGCACATTCGTGCAGGGACGTGCAGAGCTTGTGTGACCAATGTTTAATCTCAAGATTGTATAGCATCACATGGCAGCGCAAAATGGAGGACTTCACCATGAATATGCGTAAAATGTTGTGATTGCATGGGCACCATTTGAGCGAGCAATATGCCCGTGCAGTGCATGTTAATGCATAGGTGCTGCGACAGGTACACACACCTGGTGCACCTGCACCTGTGCATTAATGTGCACTGTGCATGTGCAGGCATATCGTTTACTTAAATGGTGCTCGGGGTGATTACATCTTGCGCCGCTACGCAGCGTTGTACGATCTTTGGTCCAGTCACATGTACAGTCTCCACCTGTGCACCAGTCAGTGTTGTGCACCAGCTAGGTCCAAGAACTTCCCATTCCCACCAGTCTGTCTCTTCCCCAGGTGATGAGGGTTACTTGGAGCAGATAGTTATGCCCCTTTGGCTTGATTGGCACAGCTTTAAAGGTGATCATGCACCAAACAGAAACCAGCAAGCAGCCAAAAACATACAAAAGAAATAACAGAAATCACAGACCTCATGCTGCAGCATTTACAAGCATTTTATTGGAGTTGCAACATTTAAATTCTGTGATTGTAAAGTTATAGTTAAATTTACACAATATGATTCTGAGTTTTGTGGATGCCAATAAAAAAAAAGCAAAAATAAAACCTACATTCATTCAGCGCGTATAGTAAAAAGAAAGCCTATTACATGGTTAAATTCATTTATCATGCTTTTTTGATAAAAATGAGCAGCTGTCACAGAGAGCATACTGTTTTAAGACAGTTTTTAGTACTGAGTTCACACAAAAGCTGAAGGGTTAAACTTACAAAAGCAAGACTTTGCAAAAAATTCATCCAAAGGCTACGCACTATTTACACAAGGTTACTGGGCAGGATATCAGCATTTGCTTTAATTTACTCTACACAAACACAGCAATACACACAAGTCAGTTGGTATTAACTACACCTACTTGATTCAATGAAATAAAACTATTTACTATTCTGTTCAGAAATATGAAGACAAACTCACAAGTGGGTTTGTCACCCAAGATCAGTTACACATGTCTAAGGCTTATCATTCATAGAACAATAAGCATTGTTATATCGTGTCATGATGGATTACTGCGATTTCATCATTTTAAATGCAAATGTATTCAGTTTTAGAAAATGATTGTTTTTGAATACGCCATCTCCTTTTATGTAAGTTTCTGTACATGTAGGGTCAAATAAACTGCAGCTTTGCTGAGCAAGTCTACTGACACGATACAACAAAATCATTGACTGCTTTGATGTGGGACATGTTTTGGGGGTTCTCTCAAGAAGCATTCCACACTTGTCTGGTGCCATGAATCTTTACAATGTGAAAATGCCATGTACCACATCAAAGCAGTCAATTGTCAACCCATCTCCATTTTGCAGGCTGTCTCCTGAAATTGGACTCTGAAGGAAAAGGTTTGCTAGAAATTAGAACTACCCAACCACTTGGAACAGTATTAATTTTCTTCAAAATTGTGAAAATCAAACTCATCCTAAGTCTCTTTTGTTTTTGTTTTTCTGAACCTGCAAGCCAAGTCCTTCAATCTGCAATTACGGAAGCAAAACCTGTCCATAAAATACCACTCAATCCCATCGCTGGGCCTAGCAAAGTCACATTAAAATCCCAAAACAAGATCAAACCTTAGACGTGATATATGAAAAATTACACAAAAGCCGAAAAAATACAAACAATAGAAAATTTATGACAGAAGTGACAAATAAGAGGGAAAATGCAGACATAAACAAAACCAAAAACAAAGCTTTCACAATCTAAAAGACATTTCACAAAGCAACTTGTCGAAGGCCCTAGGATGGGATTAAGCAATAAAATGCTCCATGTATTTATCACAATCTGTTTCTGCTCAGAGTTTCTGTGAATTACAGGAAAGAAATACAGGCCCACAATTTAGTAAAATATGTACACATATCCTGGATTTTGAACAAAAAGGTTCTGCATCATTCATATGAGAACTGTTTTTCAAAATGGATGGAAAACTTTCCTCTTATGACAGTTCTCTTGGCTAGATGATGGCACTGCATTTTAAAAGGAAGTGTACAGACTTTGAAACTCCTCAAATAATGGGATGTACAGAAGAGGCACTGAATGTTTTGTTTTCCTGCCAACTGTCCTCTTGATAACACCAACAAAACAAAACAACACTGGTAACCATAGTAACCAAAACCTTGTCAATGTTTCTAGCTGGTCCCTCTGCACAACACCCATGGCAAAAAGAGATTGTCATAAATACTGAAAGTTAATATACCTTCTGATTTGAAGTTTCCATTGTAACAGGTAGGCATCTTGTCGCTGCTTGCATTGTGGCTCTTACAACAAAGCCACAATGCTACGACAGTGGTTAGGTGTTATCGGTGCCTACTACACTTTTTATGTACTACATACACTAAAATACACTACGTATAGAGTTACATCAAATGGTATCAACGTACCATGTGACCATACAGTTTTGCTTAGATCCGCCACTGTTACAGTAGGCAAGCACGTGCTTAACAATCATAAAACGTACACTGTAAACCAGACAGTGAGGTTCACTGTAACTTCACCATAAATTCTTTGTCAGTTGGCATAATTGTCACAATCTGGGCCATGTACTCACATTGTTATCGTGCCGGTTAATCACGGAGTACTAGTCCCACATTTTTCTCACACTTTTTCTCAAATATCAAAGTTCTGAAGACTTGCCTGTGACCGCAATTACAGTGTGTGGCGCTGTGGTTTTTGCCTACAGCAGTGGCGGATGTATGTTTTGGTCACCTAGGTCAGTGAGATCAGCCTATACAATCTATGGTTATGCTGCAATGCACAAGCAAGAAGGAAAATATTTCATGAAAAACTAATCTACTGCATCATCTGCAGAGCATTTAATTACTACAGGTGCTTAATATCAGGTAAAACCACACTCAAGTTTATACTCCTGGTTCTTTTCAGAACCACACATACTCATAAGAGATATATTCCTTCGCATGGTGCTACCGTAAGCCTTTCCATCTATTGCTGTCTTTCACCATGAATAGCCTGAAATTCCATCCAAGTTTTTACTTCTTTTATTGTCAAAATTTGCTCAAAAAGCTGATTTGAAAAATTTGTGCAAAGTGGCAGTACTTGAATAAAATTGATCATGAGGTTTTATTTACATTTTTGTTGAGTGTTCATTTTATGTGATGTGAATCGTCTTTGAACAGTTTGTGTTTACATGTAAGTGAATAGCCGCACCTGATTTCAGTTAACATGTACAAGTCTTCCATGTGGGTCGTTCTATAAATTTAGGATCTGACATACATGTGTATGTGGCATGTTTTTCTGTCCCTGTTACACCTGACCTGTGCAATTTGTTAAATGATATCATTGACATTGATTTCTAACTATTTTATTGGTTTGACTGGAAAGTTGCATTACTTAATCACTCTTGGAGAGTAACGAATGTGTTTTTAAACTTACTAAATCATTAATCAGATGTAACAGGGACAGGAAAAATTATACCCCAAATTTAAAGATTGACCGTTATCATAGGGTCTTGCTTACACTGAGACAGACCTAACACCTGTCAAGAGCTTCACGGCAGTCTAGTTGTCAGGAGCATCATTATCCACAGAACTGAATGGCATCATTGGATGCTGCTCATGCCTTTCAGTGTCCTGAGTAACGAGGGCACGATGTTCTAGGGAAAACATTGCCAAAACAGACGAAGAAAAAGGGAAGAAGTTTTAAAACCCACAAACTCTACAGTACATGTTCCTTAGCCCTTTGAACTTCTTTCAAGTGTCTGTTTAAGAAATGCACTATCGACTCTTTGTTTATCTGTGGTGGAGAATGCACTTGCAAAGGTACAATAGGACGAGGGATAATGGGTTGACAGAAAGTGTGATGTCACACAGGGAATTGCATTTATTGTCAAATACGCAAAGCCTCACCTCTCTTTGGACGGTAGCGTCTGTACAGGAAAATGCACAAAACCACTGCCAAAAGGATGACACCTAGCCCTATCACACCTAATTAATGACAGACAAACGAACAGATTTCAGTCAGTGAATGATGATTTGAAAGCACTTCAACATCTGGATGCGTGTAATAATTAAGATTGTGTCACGCATGCATAGTTAAGAGCGTCTCAACGGGTTCTTGCCGACAGTGCAATCCAGTTAGCCCCGCCTGCAGAACTCTGCAGCCCCACATGTCACACGTGTGTGCATGACTCAGACTTTTATGAATACCCGATAGACATAAATCACAGCTATGATTGGTCAAGAGATCATGGGGTGGGGCTTAATGGCTCCGTCTGGTGGATGGATTCTGTCAGACACCTATGATCGATGCATACATATACAAGATATACACTGAAATGTTTCACATGTTTACATGAGAACGAATTGAAATGACAACCAAAAGTGCAAGTGACTACTCTGCAAGGTGCAATGGGTCAACTGTTAGACTTTGCTTTTCTTTTCAACAAATTCTACTGGTGGTTGAACTCGAACTCCACAAAGTTTATGTAAATTCATTGCACATTCTTGAGTTCTTTAGGTTTTCAGTCACTCACAAATCCTGAGTTAAAAAAACTAAAATCATAAAAGGTTGAAATCAGTGAACCTACTTTTTATCTACAATTTTGATAAACCGAACAAGCTGGTTTGATATTTCAACAGTCTCTGCTCAAAATAAAGAGTACTGCAGATCATTTAAGAATATTAAAAGCAGTGTGTACAGTCACAGCAGGTCGGCCTAATTGGTGTAGCACTGCTCTCTTCTCAAATAACCTTGCCTTGTTTTAAGTAACAAACTAGCTCATTCGGTTGGCAATATTCCTACCGATTGCAATTGAAACGTAAGTCTGCATGCTGGAATAACTTGTAGTGGTGTTGGCTGACAATGGTGAAGTCATGAATGACTTCCATGTTGTCTGCAAGACTGTCAAGGTGGTCGGAGGAAATCTAGTAGTCTCCAGGTGTGGAATGCTCGTGACCGTCTCTGGAGAACTTGAACATTTCAGAATGCCACCATCTGTACAGAGCGATAAGAATTTTTTGACAATCAGTGTTGTAGCCAAGGTCACAACCTCTGAGGCCGAGGCCAAGACCGAGGCCATAACCCCGAGGGTGAGGCCAAGGCCACAGATACCAAGGCCGAGACCGAGGCCAGCTATTGTTATACATCCTAACAACAAATCAAATTGATCACTCAAAACCAGGTCAAGAGGTCAAGATTTTGTTAGATGTATTACTTGTTTATTTTGAAGTCAAATGGCTGAATGGCAGGTTACTGGTGAGAGACTTAAAGAAAATGCTTGTTACATCTTAAAAACATTAGGGTCTCCAACATCTCCTGGGAAAGTCACAACACTCATTCATGGCAAAGTGGTAGATGGGGGGCTAGACTATGGTGTGCGTTAGACTGGTTCGCAAACAGCAAGGTGCTACATGTGCAGCGGTGGCCATGACTGTCACACGGAAGTTACGGAACGTGTGCACATTACGTGATTTTGGTTCAACGAGGGAAAAAAAACACAAAAGGAACCCAAGAAAAGAATGTTCCAACTTGCAACTTGACGTGGATGACGCTGCTTTTATGTTCATATATCCTAATGAAGGTCAGTAACTGTAAAAAGATAAGAAAAATTCACACTTATTGATTGAAAAATACGTGTTGAATTGTAGGGAAAATTGGGTGGCCTCAAGCCGGCCTCGATTGATTAGTCGAGGCCAGAGATCTCTGAGACCAAGTCTAAGGCCGAGGCATCGCCCTCTGAAACCAAGGCCAAGGCCGAGGCCATAAAAATCGGCCTCGAGGCCAAGACCTTGAGGCCTCCAACACTGTTGACAATTTCTTTCTTTGCAAAAAACAATGCCACCGATAAGATTTGAAGCTTTGCATGGTGGAAGTTAAATGAGCTGTAGGTTTGCAGGTACACCACAGAAACTATCCTTTCAGAAGAGGTGTGGTTCTGAGAAGAACCGGTGAGTATCGACTCATCGTTTCGGCCAGGATGCTCTGGCCGTCCTCAGAAGAGTGTGCTGGACTCGAGTGGTGAGCCAGAGGTAGTGGAGCATGGAACAGGATCCATGGAGTAAATGGCCTGCTGTGCATGCACTGGAACATGCAGGTGTTGAATTCTGTTGTGGGATGGGGAAGCAGAATTGGCAGGATATTTGGTTACGGGTACACCGGGGCGATTGCTGGGTAATTGCTTGTCCTTGTGGGTGTGGAGTACAGACTGCAGCTTTTTGGGTGCTGAGTGATGGACTTGGATATTGGCCAATGGTAGGATACTGCAGAGTTGGTGGGAAGTGGGGCCCAGGTAGGGTAGACATACTGTGGCGATGGGGTGCTTGGCTTCTGATAAAGGAGACCCTAACGCCATGGGGGAGGAGGGGACTTCGGGTATGTAGGAGACCCTTGCATCCTGGCAGGGGGTTCGGGAAGGCAGATGTTCTTGTGTTGGTATCTGTCCAGTGGGAAGGCAGTCTTCATGCACTGGAGCTCTTGGCGCAGGTTGTTCTGGTTACAGATCTTGAAGGCTCTGCAGACAAGAGTGTGGTTGACTAAGGACTTGATGGCTGGGTAGTGGAAGGATCTCTGGTGCAGATATTGATCAGTGTGGGTAGGCTGGGGGTGAATACGGTGGTTGAGGGTGCCATCAGGGTTCTCAGACAGGTGAACATCCAGGAAGGGGAGCTGCCCGTCTTGTTCTTGTTCCATGGTGAACTTGATGGTGGGTCGTTGCTCGTTGAGATACTCAAGGAATTCTTAGAGATGACCTTCACCATGGGGCCATATGACAAATATGTCATCAACTTAGCACAGCCATTGAGTAGGTTTGTGGTCCACAGTGAGGAGTGATGACGTTTCAAGTCTTTCATGAAGATGTTGGGTAGGACTGGGGAAATAGAAGATCCCATGGAGGTCCTAGCCGTCTGCTCTGAGACCTTGTCTTGGAACCAGAAGTAGCTGGATGACAGAAAGAAGCAGATGAGGTCGACAATCTGGGCGGAGGAGAGAGCTGTACAGTCAGCGAGAGAGGGGTTGTCCAAATGTTCACTTTGTCGAAGCTCACCCTTACATCGGTGGGCTGGAGTGAGAGATTTAATTCTGGTGAGCTCTCGTTAATTGGAGAATCCCTGGATGACACGATGGGACGGAGGGGGATATCTGGCTTGTGAAACCTGGGCTGACAAAAGAATCTGGGACAGGATGATGCCAACGGGCAAAAGCAGTAGTTCAGAGCTCCTAGGATGGTGTCAGAACAGTGGAAGGCAAGGAGCTTGCAAGTGATGCATTTCTCAATGGCTTGGGTGGGGTTCTTGGGCAGAGGACAGCAGGTGCAGGATGTGAGCACATCATGTACTTTGGTGTTAATAGCCAGGTCCAAGACTACTGTTGCGTCGCCCTTGTCGGCCGTAATTATGTGTATAGTCTTGTTGCTGCAGAGATCATGGAGGGCTTCCACTTCGGGCTTGGTGAGGTTGGACTTGGCATGGCGAAGGGCATGGTGAATCTTGACATGGATGAATATCTGCCGTGGTCTTGTCGAGCTTGCATAGAGCTGACTCCGTGGCTTGGTTGATGTCTGCTGAGCGGATAAAGTGGATCGGGGTGGCAAAGTTCATGCCAAAGGAAAGGAAATCTGTCTCTCGGGTGACAGAGGCCGTTGGCTGAGGTTGATGATGGTGTTGTTGGAACTCATCTTGGTTACAGAGGTGGGCTGGGAGGGATGACGATTGCCTTTGGGATATAGAAGATCCGTTTGGCTGGAACAGAGATATACAGGATCTCATATTCCAATTGGAGAGACAAAGGTGCTTCTGAAGTTGTTTGCTACGGGATGAGGTGAACGAATGGCGGCTGGTGAGGGAAAAAGTCAACCAGGTCTCCTCCCTCACCCAGTCCTCTATGCACTCGCCACGCATCCACCTCATTCCGCAGCAAACAACTGCGGAAGTGCTTTGGTTTCTCCAATCAGAAGATGAGATCCTGTATATCTATATTCCAACACGTTGAGCCAAAGGCCCACCTCTGTAACCAGGAGTAGTTCCAACGACACCATTGTCAACCTCAGCCACTGGACTCTGTCACCCGAGAGCCAGATATCCTCTCCACTGGCATGAACTTTGCCACCCTGACCCACTTCATCCCCTTAGCTGACATCATCCAAGCCACAGGGCCAGCTGTACGCAAGCTCAACAAGACCACAGCAGATGACAGCCGCGTCAAGATCCACCACAGCCATCACCACGCCGAGTCTGCCAAGTCCAACCTCACCAAGCTCGAAGGGGAAGCCCTCTGTGATCTCTGCAGCAACAAGACTATACACATCACAGCTGACGAAGGCAACACCTCAGTAGTCTTGGACTTGGCGAACACCAAAGTACATGATGTCCTCACATCCGGCAACTACCGTCCTCTGCCTAAGGATCCCAACCAAGTCATTGAGAAATGCATCGCTAGCAAGCTCCTCGCTCTCCACTATTCCAACACAATTCCAGCAGCTCTGAACCACTGTCTCTGCCTATCGGCATCATCTTCGGTAGTCCAAATTTCAAAAGCCAGATATTCCCCCTCCCATCGTGTCATCCAGTGGGTTTCCCACTTACAAGACCACCTACTTCCTCGCCAGCATCCTCCAGCCCTTGGTGGGCAACACACCTCACCATCTTACCAACTCCACCCAGTTCGTGAAGCTAACCAGAATTAAACCTCTCACTCCAACCTACCGACATCATGGTGAGCTTCGACATAGTGTTTCTGTTCACTAATGTTCCTACCAAAGAAGCATGCCACATTGTTAAGGAAAGTTTGGACAGCGACCCTCCCTCATTGACTGTACAGCTCTCTTCTCCGCCCAGACAGTTGACTTCATTTGCTTCTTTCTGTCATCCAGCTACTTCCGGTTCCAAGACAAGTTCTAAGAACAGACAGCTGGGACCTCCATGGGATCTCCTATATCCCGGTCCTAGCCAACATCTTCATGGAAGTGTTTGAACATCATCACTCCTCACTGCGGACTTCAAACTTACTCTATGGCATGGTCAAGGTCATCTCCAAGAATTCCTCGAGTATCTCAACCATCAACACCCCACCATCAAGTTCACCACAGAACAAGAACAAGATGGGCAGCTCTCCTTCCTGCATGTTCCCCCGTCTGGGAACCCTGACAGCACCCTCAACCACCATATTCACCCCAAGCCTACCCACACCGATCGATACCTGCACCAGAGATACTGCTGCCATCAAGTCCTTAGTCAACCACACTCTTGTCTGCACAGCCTTCAAGATCTGTAACCAGAACAACCTGTGCCAAGAGCTCCAGTGCATGAAGACTGCCTTCCCACTGGACAGATACCAACACAAGAACATCTGCCTTCCCGAACCCCCTGCCAGGATGCAAGGGTCTCCTACATACCCGAAGTCCCCTCCTCCCCCATGGCGTTAGGGTCTCCTTTATCAGAAGCCAAGCACCCCATCGCCACAGTATGTCTACCCTACCTGGGCCCCACTTCCCACCAACTCTGCAGTATCCTACCATTGGCCAATATCCAAGTCTATCACTCCACACCCACAAGGACAAGCAACAACCCAGCAGTTGCCCCGGTGTATACCGCATTTCATGTGAATGCAGCAAGGTGTACATTGGAGTAACTGGCAGGAACCTCCCCACCAGGATCCAACACCTCCAGTGCATGCACAGCAGCCATTCACTCCACAGATCCTGTTCCATGCTCCACCACCTCTGGCTCACCTTTACAACCCAGCTCTCCACTCGAGTTTGGCACGCTCTCCTGAGGACAGCCAGATCTTGGCTGAAATGTTGAATTGATACTCACCGGTTCTCCTCAGAGCCACACCTCTTCTGAAGAGATTGATTCCATGGTGAGCCCGCAAACTTACAACTCAAGATTTCAAGGTTTTGACTTCAAGAATTCTCCATCTTCATCCATCTTATTTGTGTTTGCTATCAAATACAATAAAACACAACAAAAGAAAACAAAATTAAAGCTTAAGCAACTGAGAAAGTAAAGTGCAGCTCAGTTGACCATTTTTTGGATTGGTCTCTAGTTTACTTTATTCTCCGCTCCCATCTCTGCATGGCCTACTGTAGTAATACCCAGTATACTGGGTAATTCCACAGAGAGACTGACATTTTGGAAGAGATTTTCACAGTGTATCCTGTTCCATCGTATGGTGGCAGTAGGTTAGGACGTAAACTCCAATTCTATCTCTTTTGTTGGAAGTGTCCATCTATCAAAGAGATTTACTTAGATCAGGTAAAGCTACATGTACATGTATATATTGCCTACTGTGATAACCAACACCTAAGGGTCATTCCATGTCGATTCAAACACTTTCCATGGTACATTTCACATATTTTCTAGAAATTTGCTGAAATATTTTGTTTGTCATGGTCACGTGGTTTGTAAGTTACAGGTTGCTGAACTTTGACCTTTGGATTTGTCTTTTATAACTTTGAACATCTGTATCTCCGGATAAGACTGTCAGACAGGGATAAATTTCATGTTCAATTAAACAAGCCCTACCTTGGCATTTCACGCAGTGTGGATTATTGGCAATATGACCACACTCACAACTTCCACATGATACGCAAGTCGCCACCCCTTCATCATACACATAGTTCCAGCCAAGGTCATCCTGGCATTGTTTGTCCTCATCATCTACAACTGATTGAAGAATAGCCAGCAAATACTTTACTGAGTGGTTTAAGTGTTAAGTGTGTAGATATTCATGTCTCTGAAATGATATTCATGTCACAGTGCTTAAAATGAGTGGTTTTGAACAAATAAAGTTCCTCCTCTCAATTACCACAACATGCACTTGGAACTCGCAAATTGTTCAGAGAATCAAGTGTTACTGGAATGAAATTAGGAAACAAGCCATGTGGTAAAAATGAAACCAGTTTGAGTTGATGCAATCTCACCTATTAAGATTTCACTTTGATACCCCATCAAGGAAAGTTTGAAAGCTGATTCTCTCTCTTCTCATTTTCCTAAGGCTTCTCTTAATGTACATGTACTTGCAAAAAACTACCAGGTTTTTGTTTGCCTGTCTGTTAAGAAAATATAGATGTCAAATACAGTGTGTACAAAAATAGGAAAACCTGTGACTTTTAGTGCAACTTTGGTGTGCACAAGATTTTGCAAAAATGAGAGTTTTCCACTGAAAATTACACACCTGGGTTTTCTTGAAGTAATTTTACTTACAAAGTTCAGGCTGAGATTCAGCAACAAGAGGTGCTGATGTAGAAAGCAGCACACATGCCTGAGATAGCCACAGGAAAGTGAAGAGAAGACGGAAGCAAATGCGAACTGTGAAAAGAATAAAAATTGGAAAACTTATCACTTGGTACTGGCAGCATGCCATCTCAAACTCAGGGAATAAAAATCAAGATGACTGAATCTTTAAAACGACACAAATTCACGTGTTGGATATCACTGTTAACTGTACTCACAGGTGCATGGATGACTATATGATCTATGCACAGTGTGCTCATATCCTGTGAGGAATGTACCCAGGGAACGGGTTGAACATTATAATTTCGGTGATCTAGAATGAGATGCCCACTCCGTCAAACCAATCAACTTTAATCCTAACTTTCTTCCACATCATCCTTGCAAAACTCAACACCATATAGTAAACTATGCAAATGCAAAACTTTGGACTCTCATATTTGTGGTATGCCTAATCATATATAAAACATACAGTGCAGCAGTCATCTCAACAGATTCCAACAAACCCCGGTGTTAGAGTTTGGCTGGCTTAGGACGGGTTAATATAAACTGCCCTCATTACATGTACCCTCCTATGGCCCAGTAAAATAAGAAACAAAAATTAAACACAAAACAAAAATAAGACAGGTACATGTATGTTTGCTCTCTTTTCTGTCCTTGCCAAGATGATCCCCCAAAACTCAAAATACAATGTACATGTATAATGTAAACATGACAACATAATGCTTATGGTGAGAGTATGGGACACATGAACCCACCGGGTGGTTACATTTACGGGGGGGGGTAGCATGTACAGTGAATCGCAGCCTCTATCAAATTTGCTGAATCATGCCAGTGGTACAATGTACATGTACGTGTAACAAAGCAACTTTGGACTGCTCTGAGGTGTAGCATGGTTTGCATTTGACACTCCTTGGGTGTTATGTGTCCCATGCATTGTGAAAATACTCTATGTCCTGCATCACAGCAGCTAGCAATTGTTCTCATATCAACCATCACATCATCGGATATGACAGGAGGATACACATACATGTACATTATTTCCCAAATGAGTTTAAAGGGTAACAGAAATTGAAAACATTTAGTTCATGTGAAGTATTTCAAAATAACAATAAATACTTAACCATTTCAAAAACATCAGAAATTCAATGTTTACCCCATTGATTGTGACCCCAAATGAATGAAAGGTCATGCTCTTCCCCGCCCATGAAAAAATCCCCTTTTGGCCATTTGCGCTCCCAGCCTGATTGGATGGCATCATTGCAACGCTCACATGTACAATGTACATGTACATTGCACACAGTACATGCAGTATCGCACGCTTGCAATGGACAGATAGACTACATTGTATTTGACGAAGCTTGATAGAAATTAAGACACAGTCCTAGCGTGTTTTCTTGAACTGAGCCAGAGTTGCCTGTGGGCCGAGTCTACATCAAACACGACGTGGTCTATTGCAAGCGTGTGATACTGCATGTACTGTGTGCAATGTACGGGCACACTGTAAATGTCGGCGTTCTGGCGATGACGTCATCCAATCTGCCTGGGAGCGGGAACGGCCAAAAGGGTATTTTTTTGTGGGCGGGGAAATGCAGGATCTTTTTATTCATTTTGGGGTCACAATAAATGGGGTAAACATGAAATGTTACTTTTTATTGTTATTTTGAAAAACTTCAGGTGAACTAAATGTTTTCAATTTCTGTTACCCTTTAAAGCATGTCAGTCAAACAACACTGTGCATACTACATATAATGATTTGAAAATCACGAGGCCAAGAAAAGAAAACAAGCTTCTTGTCCTATTCTTTTTTTAATGGAGACTGCTGCCATTTTTTGGTATCATACAAAGGGCACATTCAAACATGCAATACCATGCATACCTGTACACGCAGCTACATGTACATTGTAAGCATGCAACAAGAAAGTGTACTGGACATGCTAATACCAGCATATACATATGGCTAAATCTTCCTTGGATGTGCTCAGATGTTGCCCGAGAATTTCCTAGACTCCTTTTGGAGATACTTTTGGGCCTGACCACCAGGAGCTTTTGCCCCATCTAACATGTTCTAAAAGCACTTATTCAACAAAAAAGAACAAAACTTAAACAAAACAAAGAAAAGGGTGGCAAGCAAGGCCAGAAAAAGCTGGCAGGGATGAGAAACCAATTCATTTTTTCCACTCACCCTTCTCATGGGGTTATGCAGCAGTAGTGTGGCAGATTTATTGCTGCCTGTTTGGATTCAATGGTTCAGTTGCTGTCTTTCCCACAAATGCCGCAGAAGTCTTTAAGTATACGTAGTTTGCATTGAGAAAGAAATGTCAAGACCATTGTATTTCTTTAAGTTACATGTAAATTGTCACTGGCTACAGCATTTCATAGTACTTACATGTACCTTTAACCCCCCCACCCCACCCCAAAAAGAAGTGGGGTAACATGTACTTCTCACGTTTGACAGTGAGATAAGAGTCTTCAAGTGGAGCATACTATGTGTATGACTTCTTGGGTCTACATTTCCCATTTAACTATTTTGGCTACACTGACTAAATGAACCAGAAAGTAGGCCACTAACATCATAATGTACCTCACTTGAAGACTCCTAACACTAAAACTTGGAAAATAACCTCAGTTCTGGTGCTCTTGAGATCAAACAAAAACTGGGGACTGAACTGTGAACAAGCATCCACAGGGAACAATGGCCAAAACTGATTACACCAAGGACTCACCGTCACTTAACTTCTAAAATGAGATATCTAAGCAATTATCGCACAGGTTCCATGCCACCTGTTTACAAAAAAACTGTGACAGAGTGACGGCAAACTACATGTGCCTTCTGTGTCAAAAAGTCCCACATCTGGCCTAAAAAGGAGTTCTACATCTGGACATCAGTTGACATACTGTGAACCAACCCAATCTGACAATTTCCAGGCATTTTCTTAGTACTTCCAAAGTCCTAGAACTTGCATTGGAGTAGCCATGGGCCCCCAGGACTCTTACCCCCCCCCAAGAGCCTGGCTGCAGAGTCAAGGGGGAAACTTCTCCCTTACGAGATCTCCTACCCCTCCCTCCCTGAGAGAGCCTGGCTATGCTGTCAAAATTAGAAGAAACTTGAACTTCGAGGCACCCAAAAGTTTTCCATGCTAAACTTGACCTTTTTGGACATGTACTTTCTGATGATTGATAAGTTTACAGAAAAAAACCCAGCAATGATCATCATGGCCCATGATAGCTGTAGTTGATTCCCCTCACGTGACACACTTAGACGCTTCCCCTCAACTTTCCTCATGTGGTGTTGCCAATTCAAATTTGCGGAGTTAAGTATTGGTGCAATTACCTTCATAGTACATGTACATGCTGTTGAACCTTTGTGTACACTTTCAGGCCTGCATGTTTTGCCTGGATCCGAATCGCAGTCAGTGATCTAACATTGGTTCACATGAGACACCAATACCCACCTAATATGTAAAGTGAACCAGCTTTGGGTTCACCGATCCAGATCTCTGTGAAACAGAGGTCAGAGTTCCATACATATATACAGATGCCACTTGACACCCTGTGTACAAATCCTATGAGACTGGTCTGAAAAATTGTGTGTTTTCTAAGTAAACGACTTGTTTTTTTTCCTCCTAAATTGAACTGAACATTTCTGGACATGTTCTTGCTTTCTGAAGGCTAACAGGCCATTGTAGGGAGTAATTACTGGTGTCCATACATCATGGAACTCTTCCCCAAAGACACCCTACGTGTCATGAAATAATAGTCTGAAATTAAAAAATGGTAGCGTCTGGAAATTGGGCACCAATTGAGCTGAGTGTTGCGACATCAGCATTTCATAAATTCTTCAAAGCTGACAAATTTTAGTAAATTGTTATTACCTCCACTCATAGAGGCAAAAAATCAAACTGCTCCAGGTTCACATTATTCTTCCCTTGTTTTGGTGGTGAGTGCATGAGGTGGGCATGACTCAGCAGTTTCCTTAGCTAGGGACATGTATAAATGAGTGACAGGGCTGTTCATTTGAGAACTCATTTCTTAAATAGGAAACTGTGATTAAAATTTGTCATTTTCCGCATGCTCTGGCTCCTCTATTTAATGTTCAATTTCAAGTTTTTTGAATTTTCAAGTGAAGATAACATTCAATTCATTTTAAAAAATTGCACAAATATTTATTATGAAATAAGAACAAAAATTTTATGAAAATATGGATTTTAAGCTTCTCGTTCAAAATCTACGCTCATTTTTGAGTACAAAAAAAATCACAGTTTGACCTGCATTACACATGCAGGCCTACAAAAAACAATTTTCTTTGCTTTACAGGGACCGATTGAATCCAAAATGTTTCTGAAACCTCTCCTATATCACGTGCATAAGAAAACAGAAAAAAAGCTGACAAGTCCATAACTTTGATAAGCCTCCCTACCTTATAGTTATAGCTAGCCTTCCCATACCAACATGACCGCCCACCACTGCACAGGGTATCAAAAAAGACAATAAGCCTATTTCAATGGGTCTACGGTCGCAAACTGTACATGACAGGTAACAAACACAGGGGGCCTACCTTTCACGACTCGGTCCAACATGACTGGGCAACCGGAAGATCCCACCACCCACACTCCACAGGCACAAGCTGCTATCATTTACGTAGGCCACCCTGACGGTACAGCTTATTTTTCAATTATTTCATAAAACTGTCTAATACCATGGGAAAACAATTGGAAAAGATGGAGGCTTTCCTATACAGACCGGAACTTCGGCAGTTTTGAAAGAAAAATGACGAAATTTTGGTTCTAGAAGGTTCTTCAACCCTTGTGCAAGTGGTTGCGCAACATGCGCCATGCAGTGTTACGGGTTTTTCCCGATTACAAATTCAGATATCGCGCGGCCTAACTTTACATCTATTTCCCAGACGCAACGAATGTGGCTACCCTCTTTCCATTGGACTGGTCCCCGTCCCTATCCGCCCCGAGCTGAAGTGCACCCCCAATCGGCGAAAGAAAGACAGGTGGTTACAAGCGGGTTCTTACCGTTGATCTCCATTATTTTTATAGAGCGCTAATGGCGATCTATGGTGTTCCATATTCTTGCACACGTTCTGCGTGTACGCAAAGACCATACATGCCGGAACACGTTATGCGTACTCAGCGTGCTCCGCACATTGATCTCCATTATATAATGGAAATCAATGGCTCCGCATCAAACGCGCATATACTTGCGTGCCTCGTGGCGCGCCTATGCGCTGAGCACAAAAAAAAAAAAAAAAGCCTCGCCCTTTTTTTCCCCGTTCGGAACAGATTATGTGACCTATCTTTGGCCGTTAACCAATACTCAACTTCATGTCCGTCTCAGGCGTTGACTCCAAAAACCAATCCCCGATTGTGGGCCTGAAGCATTTAAATTAAATAGAGGTACTGTAATGTTTTTTGAACAGAACCATTTGAAAGGTAATTTTTGAAAACGGGTTCGACCTTGTGACTGAAAAGGTATATTCTTAGCTCTAAAATTCAAGACCGAATGAAGAAAGAATGCCCCAGCCGAAGGTATGGAATTCCATATCTGCCGTCGCCCGTCGTGCGTCGCCCGTGGTTTTTTTTGTCACGATTGCGCAGTGGTATTTTTAACTTTGACCCTTGATTGTTTCACATGTATGTCCTTGTTCGATCGATCCACCATGCCTGACTCTCATTTTAGCAATAGAACTAGAAGATGGACATGTAATCGTTTTTGCAGTTGCGCCAAACTCCAATGGAAAGAAGAAATAATATCCTGACATCGGTTAAGTAACGTGTATATGAAATAATACCATTTTGGTTACATAAATAAATTAACAAAATAGACTTTTGTTGGGGTAGATTGTTTTTCTCGATAACTTAGTTACTCTAGACGTAACTTTACTCGTTAACAGCCTGACTTTAGGTCTATAGCCTATGTAATATTTCTGTCTGTCCCTGTACGATATTCCACGGAACGGAATGTAAATAATAGATTGTTTACAATGTTTGATTCCTTAATAGTTTTCAAAAGAGACGAACTGATTCAACATTATTTTGAGGGCGGGTATACCTATGATGAAATCTGTTGTATACTCCAAATCAGACATGACTTTAGTTGCAGGTTGGCTCACAGAAGTCTTTTAAACAGTAACGTTACTTGTTAGCCCCATAAATAACGCTGATATGCTGGACAACCTGTTCTCATTGGTCTATCCACCCTGGCATACACACCCACAAGAACCAACACGTCATATTTTCTGAAACTTAAACCAAGTGGTTGCCCCCTAGCAATACATTTAATAAACAGCACGTCTAGTATTTCTGGAGTTCAAGGTGAAATTGAGAGGACAAGATGGAATATCTGTATCGGTTGGAAGATTTCTTCCTGGAATTTGATGAAAACAAGTAGGCACATTTTTACAGTATGCAAATCAGAATAACACTGTGGATAAGTTGGCCGGAACATTTTTGCTTAAAATGTTTTTTCCCCCAAAAACACTTGGTTGAATTCCCAGAGAGGCGCTATTTTCTTGTCAAGGGGCAGGGGTAGTCTAGCATTATTGGCATTAATTATGTGACTAGTATATGCTTTGCAAGTGGGATTTGTACTTGCCTTATTCGGAAAAGATCTTTAGAAGTGAATGGAATCATCACATTGACATTTGTTAAACCCCGGCTTTTGCAGGTCCTATGCAACCCATTTGACGGGCGACGCACGACGGGCGATGCGCGACGCACGACGGGCGACGCGCGACGGACGACGCACGTCGGGCGACGCACGACGGGCGAGGGGCGACGCACGACGGGCGACGCGTGGCGCACGACGGGCGACGCACGACGGCAGATACGGAATTCCATAGTTTTGCCCTGTGTTTGCCCATATTTTTCAAACACGGTTATACGCGCAAGACCGGTAGTCTGTGTGTTATAATTATGTTTGTGCACCCTGAGTTGAAGTGCACCCTCACCGGTGAAAGCAAGACAGGCTGGTGAGATCTTGGCCGTTTTCCAATACTCGACTTCCTCTCCGTCGGAGGCTTCGTGTATAGGAAACCAGTCCCCGATTGCGGGCCTGAAGCGTTTAACTTAAATTGAAGTACTGTAATGTTTGGCTCTTTTGCATCTTACTTGATGTTTTGTGGCACTATTGGACTTACTATTGCAATTATAAACTTAAAGTCAGGAAGAAAAAACAGTTGAAGCCTGTTTCGGAGCCCAAGTCGAGTATTGGAAAACGGCCCTAGTTTTCCAACCGGGTTCCTGCGCGCGTTCGGCCCACACGCGAAGGCCATATATGTACATGTACATTCCAGCATAACATCGTTGCACATCCTCAGTCGTGCCCCGCGCCAAACACGCGTAAACTTGCGTACCTGCGCAGTGACTTCTTACCGGAGAACCGTCAATTTCATTTACAAGCACGCCCTTTTTGTTTCCGCTCCACTCGCTGGTTGCACGACCACCCGTACCGACTGACCATTCTGATGTCTCGTTTTATCTCAGGCAAGGAAAGCCGATTGGTTGAGGTAGAAACTGGTTGTTTTCAACCCTACCGCGGCCAACTTAATGACGGACGTTGAAACGGCCCCTCCCTTGTATCCAAATTGAAAAACTAAAATTAAACAGTAAGGCATTCAATTATTATTAATTATAGAATGCATGCTTACACCCACAATGTGGTTTAAGGTAAATCAAAAACCTTTCATCATTTGATTATTCTTATTTAAGAGCGAAAATGCATAAAACGTTGTTTCCATACAGGCAGCACTTATTGTAAGATGAATCTATAAACAGGATTAACATTTTCTGCTATAATAATATAGTCTGCTTCCACGCTCAACGAATCTCCCAGAAGTTGTAAGTGAATTGGAGTTTTGGCGATTCATCGCTTCCGACAGTCCTACATCTCCGTTTTTTGTATTACCGTGAGTTATTCCGCCTATTTTTGGTCGCACAAAATAGGTAAATAACAAATGTGTGTGGGTGTGTGCGTGAGTGGCTAAACTGGAACAAAATGAAGACCGATGATTGCCCATAAGCAGTCATTTTTTTAACCGATGAAATATCGACAGCAACCAAGACAAAGAATAAAGAAATACCTCAGTGGCCTCTGTGATACCAACTAATTCTAAACTAATCGAGTATAAGAACCTCGAAATGTTCTTATGAAGTGCACGTTTTACTTCAACCAATAATAAAGTCCGGAAACTGTAATACCACACTTTGGGACAGGAAAAAATTTCCAAAGAATGACATTAAAAGTTGGTCCTCTTTGTTTCTGTTTTGCTTGTTGCTTTTCTCCTGTTTGTTTTCCCAGAATATGCCAAGATGGATTGATTAGATTACACTAATTATCAAAAAAATAACCAGGTACTTCAAGCAATACGATTGGCTCCGAGCCTGTCCTGTGAATGGCCATTAATTAACAAAATGAATGGTAAAAAATGGCTGAAAAGTGCCTGCAACGCTGCAAATGTCTCCCGCGAGGTTTGTTGTCTAAAATAGGGAGAGGTAAATAAACGTGGCCGTGGACGGGGCTTAGACAGAGTGAATTCAGAGAAACTCATTCAGATTTCATAATTTATTTAAAGAACGTCATTTACAAAACAAAAATATTACCGGTACGGTATATATTGTTCAGACCGAGGTTAGAAAATTCTTAATACATGTATGTGGTCTGCGACTGCGCGGTAGCTAAGTGTGATAATTAGTATCAATGTCACCAATTCCATGGGAAACCACTATGTGTTCGAGATTTTACTCTTTAAAAAAACTCGCTTCCTCACACTTTCCTTCCCTTTCATTTCGTCAAGAATGATGTGCTGACATATGGCGTCATTTATATTCAAATAACTTACATGCTGTAATTAGGAAAACTTAGCTTTTTGATGCTTTATATTTCATCTTTTCGCTTTTGACAATCCGGAGATATGCCCCCAACGCTCAAAACAGTATTTTTCTTACTCTGGGAAAAGGGTTACTCCTTTGACACGCTTTGGTGCATTGCGTTGTAAGCAGCTCCTGTCTTCGTTATTCCGATCAAGAGCTCAAGCAATCACACAAGAAAGTGGCACAAATCCAACTCTGATTGCCTGCCTGCATTTACAACGAAAATACGTCTGGATCGCAAAACGCAAATAAAATGAAATCAAAACATCACCATGCCAAGAATGTCCTCTATGCAACCCAGGAACGTTTTAATACTACTATAATTGACAGTTTGTGCTTAAAATGTACAGTTTTTACTCACAACATTCTGGGGGACTCATCAGGTCGGGACCTCACATTCATGTGTAACTTCTCCCAAGACTAAAGCTAAAATACTGGAAGACATGTTTTATGGTAGCAACTTTATTTTCAGTGGTTTCATAAGGTTACTTCGAGGGAAATATGATTTTTCAGTAAGGAATCCGATTGCAAATGAGAAAGGATTGAAACGTTACTGTTTAATAAACTGTGTTTCCAGTTGCCCCATGCTCACGATTAAACATTAAACATAGATGAATCGGCCTTCGATGGGCGAGGAATATCTTCAAGTTGTTTAAATTCGATGAATATATTCCAGCTTCTGAAATGGTCATTATGCATTTCATAAACAGACAATAAACAAATAGATATTCCTCCCAAATATAGATATCGTAAGTGTTTTGAGTGCTCAGCCGTTAGAAATCGATATTTACTAATCCAAACAACAGTGACCGTATATAAAAATTTTATTACACACTCAAAAAGTAGAGGCTTTTGCAGTATTTGTTGTTAGGTTCCACTTTTTTCTCATTGAAAACCTGTAGGCCTACAGAAAGCCTCTACCCTAATTTCCAAACGATCATGAATACCCGATATGCAAATTGTGACCAACAGAAGGTGTATTTCACGTTGATCTTGCAAGTCGAGATTCGACACGTATGTTTGTTTTCCTTTGCTCTCGTGCTTTGCTCTGTCTTTGTTTTTTTGGGGGGGGGCCGGGGAGTGGCGAGCCCAAAACCCCGTATATCTTGCTCTATCGAAAGAGAGGTCCCTCCCCTCCCCTACGACCCTCCCGTAATGAAGGAAATTGGAAGAATCGGTGCACTAAACGTAGGCCTCGCTCTCACAGGCCTTCTGATTGGGAGGTAAAATCCCTGTCTGAACGGGTTCTGACCGGCCTGTCTCCTGCAAAGGTACACGCTGAAACGAGGCTGAAGAAAGAAAGCATACAGAAACATGCACTTATTAAGCGAATATATTTGAGCAATATTTCTCGCCCTATATAATGACTGTGTAAGTGCGCTTCTACAAGCCACTTGGAGCTTTTTCTGTCCCCTTAGAGGGGTTGGTTTCTGTCACTCTTCTCGAAGAGTCTCAAACACCATAGATTTATCCCTTGACACGTAGTGGAGTTCTGATTATGGAGCGAAGTCGTGAACGAGCAGATTATGTTTAGGACCCGTCCGTCGCCAAATAATTATAGTCCAGATTTTATTATACACGTCCGTCCATTTGGCGGCTGCCTGAGCCACCCTGTAAGCCTTCGACCCACGTTGTAAATCGGAGGGCCTCCATGGAAAGCAGTGTCGACACTGATCAGAACTTACCCTCGTTAAAGATAACATAATGAAATAAATAGTTCCTTAAAATGAGGGAATCCTTTGAAGCCAGCAAGTAAATTTATGCCGCACATGGTTAAGTAGGCATTTTACTCTAAACAGACAAAGTTCAAAACATACCTCGAATTCTTTTCAACTTGAATATCACGAGAACCAGAACAGGAATTCCACTGGCTGATAAAAGCACGGCCATCAGTAGCAAACCTATGAGCCATAATGAAGAAGCGAATTCACAAGGGATGTTTCGAACTGAATCCATGGAGCCCATAAAGGGGCATAATACAGGCAAACTTACTTACTAAAACAAAATTATTTTGGGCTCCTCATTTCGTGCACTGGCAATAGTTTCGCGGCCCATGAAGTCATTTCGTGCAGTCGAAATAAAGTATTTCGTGTGCTACAAATCATTTTGAGCACTAAAAATAAGTTACGTAACTTCGCTCGAAATAAAGAACTCAAATAAAGAACTCAAATTAATTCTGCTAGGTTTTTTTTCAGTTATAGAGGTCTACGCTGTGTCCCATTAGAGGGTCCGTAGAATCCCAGTGAGGAGGGAAATCCAGTGAGAATGTAAAAAATTCGTTACAATACTGCTCAGAGAAGAAATAATACCGTACCTAGTCCTGGCAAACATGTCTGGGCTGGATGGCCAGCCGAGTCACCTTCGAAAGGCCTTTGAGGTGAAGCTGTACTTCCTGTTGGGTGGTACCCTGTGGTTCCTCCTGTTTCTGCGTCTGTTTCACTGCCCAAGGTATCATACTCGACTCCTTCACCGTCGGCGACTTTAGCCGGGATAAGGGGGCTGGATGGAGGTGTCGATTTGCCCGGAATAATCCCTAAATCTTGGGGGGTGGGGGAGGAGTGTATTAAACTATTCAGAAAAAATTGCAGGGTCTGGCGATCCGGTAGTCTTTCTCGAAAAATCTGATGTCTTTAAGAAAGCCTCTGCCGGGATTGCAACGTCAGGCCTACATTTTTTTGATTTAATGATAAGTAAAAAAGGAAAAGAAGTTTCAAAGAGGCTGATTACAACACCGAGTTGGAAATGCAGACCATGGAGTCCATTTCATTAACTTTATCGAGAAATGGAAACGGAAATTACAGTTGGGATCATAGTTTCTGCCCATATAGTGGATTTGAGGCCATGCAGTCACCAATATTGCTCTAAGTGTATTATGCCGATCGTGAGAGAAGAGTTTATCACCAGCCAATCACGTACTGTTTTTCTCAGCTGACGCCATAACCGACTGTTTTCTTATGAAATCTAGGGCCGTTTTCCAATACTCAACTCCGTCTCAGGCTTCGTTCCTAAAACCAATCCCCGATTGTGGGCCTGAAGCGTTTAAATTACAATGGATTTCTGTAATTTTTGGCTTTCTTACATCTTATTTGATGTTCTGTGGCACTTTTAGACTGATAACTACGATTGCAGCTTCGAAGTCAGCTAGTAAAAAAACAGTGGAAGCCTGAGACGGAGCCGAAGTTGAATATTGGAAAATGGCCCAAATAGTTTTTAAACTAACGCACTCCTGTAGGAATTTACACTACAACCCCTTTTGTGTCTGGTTGGTTGCTTTTTAACGCTGTATTTGACCCAAGTCCAAGAAAGAGATTTTGGATATGCATGTCGTGTGAAAGGGCTTGTTGCTGCATTCCAAAAAAGAGGCCACTGTCGATGTCGTTCTACATTTGGACTCTTTAAAATCGGTAAATTTTCCTGACAATGAATTCCCAGCCTTCTATCTCTCTGTATAGGTGCAACGATTGGGTCAATATTTCATGCAAGCCGAATTTCACGCAACAACGGAACAATTTTTCCGGAGGATTGGTGGGGGATGCCAGAAACCTTAACCATAAAATATTGCTTTCTTACCTCGGCATGTAACACAGTGGTCGTCCTTAGATTCGGGGTCACAAGAAAAACACGATATGCACATCTGTAAAGCCTTTTCGTAAACCGTCGTTTTGTCGTTGTCCTGGCAAATTTTGTTCATATCTGGACCGGCTGCAAAGTGCAAAAACAAACAATATGATAGTATCCACTGTTTAATCACTTGAAATGCATTGACTCGTTGAGTTTGTGTCGAAGGGACAAATGGAGACAAGTTGCAAACCTACAACGTAAATGTCCACTGTCCATCTGATTAGACGCCATAACTGCAGTGGCACCGCACTCACACACACATTCCTCAGCCTGACGCGCGCGTGTGGCCGGCAAATCATGACACTAGGGCGCGTTCGATTAGCTTCCCTGAATGACACCAGTGTTACACGCAAGGGAAGCTTCGAAATGAGGCGAATCGAACTTTGCAGTGTATTTGCTAAGGCATTCTGGGTAAATGGTCAAGTCCCTGCCACGTTCCATCCTGTCCATGCTCAAAAAGTCCATCAGTCACGTCATTACACTCGTTCCGCCTTCGGAGACCCGCTCGCCAGCTTGGGTCGTAGTGGCCGACAACACCAGGGCAGGCACGAAGATTACGTGATGGCTAAACGAACGCTCTCGTGTAAGTTTGACTTACACGTGTAAACTAATCGAATGCACCTATTATTGGTCAAAGAGGCATGTAAGAGTTAACCCACCGCAGTATTGGCGTCTAATTTCCCGTTGTCGAATTACACTATAAACAATTAATATCTCCCTCATTTCCATTTGGTCGTGCACTTGCATTTACGGGAATGAGGCATGTCATCAGTGAATTAAAAGTCCTTGGTAATAGGGGTAGGGTTATGGA